TTTAAGATCTCATAACTCATTATTACGTATGAATGTATTGTGTATTCTTTGTTTTATAGTATTTTAAATTAAATTAGAACTTCCTACATTTATTTTTATGTTCGTTGATATATATTTGTGAAGGTATGACGTTCTATTTGTTTTTGTTAATAAAATATTTTTTATGTCGAACATCACACCAGTGCAATGGTACACCCATTGCACTGGTGTTCTGCTGAAGTTAGTGCTTACCATCCATTGCTTACGATGAGCTGAGGTCAGTTTTGTCAGTACACAACATTACACTTTAAATTATTGTATGTACTAATTGTTAATTGTCTTGTTTGTTTTATACTAGGTTGTGTTGTGTATTGGCAAAAATAAATACTTTATTATTATTATGTTACGGAGTAAAATTTTGTAAATATCTAGTACTGTGCCTATAAAATGCGAAGAATATGTAGCTATCTATTGGTATGTATATAGAGTTCAACAGAAGCTGCCACGGATACAGGTACCGTTATATAAGAAGCAGTGATGGCTCGGCTGGTATACATAAATCCCGTCTGGCTCGAGTCGTGATAATTATTTTAATCAATAAGTAAATAGGTACATTTATGTGATCTTAAAATAAACATATTAAATTTTTTTTTTCAAGTAATGATCACATTATCCATTAGGTTTTCACTGTTTTACATGTTTAAAAAACAAGCACATTTTGCTAAAAATTTTAGGAAAAATTAAAGAGTGATTTATGGGATTCTCTTAAAATTTTCCTAAAGCTTTAAATTGATTTTATTACAATATGATGACGAAATTTGTACATTAAAATATTGTAGTAAATAAATGATATATATCTTATTGATATAAAGTGTAATTCATTTCCTGAAATCAACCACAATCTATTCTGTTTTGCGTGCTTCCCAATCATATCATAAACGATTTTTTTTTCAGGTCTTGTTTAGGTTTAGTTACAGGGTTGTAATGTCACCAATGCTTCCAGATTCACTGTAATAACGTAAAGTAGATTTACTGTATTTAGACTATTATGCTATATACTGTAATAATAAAATACTGTGTATGAATATACTGAATTTAATTTGAAATAAATTCATAAAATCAAACACGTAAAACGAAACGTGACTAACCTAGGGCCATAAATATTGTAGAGTATAGAAATACTCTAATACTACTCGTATAAAACATTGTCATTGAAGTTTCTGTGCAGGAACTTCCCCGATTTCGAGCGCATCTTCTGTGATCTGTGGAGCGCACGCACCGTACCTGATTGCAAGTAGTAAATCTCGCAGTCTCTACCAGACAAGATAATACTGTATTTTCGTCTAATTCGTTACGTTTATAATAGCATGGTACTTTAACACTTTAACTACAATTTACTTTCAATTTAAAAAAATATTATAGTGATGTTTTGGGTCCGTCAAGGGCACAAAATTAATATAAGCAACATTTTCGAGATAAATTACTGAGATGAGACAAGTATGTACAAGATTATCATTCAGTGAATCAATAATATGAAAACAAAACAGAGAAATTGTCTGATCATAAACATCATCGAAGTATATTTTTTATTTATTATATAAATTAAGTTTCCCTGTAATTTTACTGTAACCGACTTTGATATCTACTGTATTGTTTATAAAAACTACTGTATTTCAGTAGATAACACTGTAATTTTGGTTTTGGGATCTGGAACCACTGACTGAAAGTGATCCAAACAAAATGTTAATCGTTTTTCCCACTTACATATTCTTATCACCTTGGCAAAGTGGTTGGTAAAATTGACACCCAAACCTTAAGCTTTATGCTTCATTTATAAATATTGAATTTATAATATGCATTAAGCCTTTGTTTACGCCTATACAAAATAAACGAAAGCTCCCCATCTGATTATCAAAACTACATGCTGATTTGAGAAATATAGATGTCGAACGTAGTAGGAGGTACCTTATTCAGACACAAATTATTTTGATTTACGTAGTCTAATTCATGAATAATATTTGTATCAAGAACATTTTTGGAAAGCTACAAAACTTCTTCACAAAATATAAAACTAAACTATTAACATTTAATTAATCTTTCACACATTCTTAGGCAGGATTGTACTTGAAGATTTGACGATAACTGTGACGCTGATTGTGGAATGCAATATGTTGCACCATTCTCTTTCTTTGCATAGTAAAACAATTACTTTTACCAGCGAAGCTTGAGCGATTATAGTTAACAGGTAAGTTATGACGTCATCTTACCATTACCGAATGGTTTGCACCATGATTTGCTTAATCCTTTATCTTTCATATGGTTACTACCGCAAAGTTGGTCTTAAAAAATGGGCTTGTTGTATACACGGAGAAGCAATTGCAGCCCTAAAGGTGATGAATACAAGTGAGCTTGAGCCAGGGCGGTATGGTACGAAATTTAATCTACCCTCCCCTTGTCTGCCACCCCCTGTTGCCACCCTGTGAGCTAGACCATACTACATAGTAGGTACATACAGACGCTCCGGCAAATTACTTATTCATGTCAACACGCCTATGATAAGTAGACTGATATCTGTTCAGTTCAGAACTTTGTTTTTCATAGACGTTACCATGAGAACGATTAGTACTGCTAGCATTAAGGCTGTGTTGAATAATTGGTTGCAAGAGGGTACCTAGCAGACAGGTAGGTATGTGCAGTGCTCGCGTCGTCGCCGCTGACAGTATAGAATACCGTTAGAAATGAGATAAAAAAACATGCAACGAAATAATGAAAAAGCTCTCGAGGTAGCAGACAAAAAACATGATACATTGTTGTTGTCGAAGTTGCTTCACAAATTACTAGCCTCATTCCAATGCTATATTATTTTCTATCTTTTTTATTCATATTAAAAAGTTAAAAGTATTGTTTTAAACAATATATAGATAACTAAACTTTTAAACAACTTTAACGAAAGAAGATGTTCTAACATCTTTTTTTACAAAATTGCGCGTTACTTAGCCATTTATTACAGGTTGTAAAATTTATGGTTTTTTTTTCTTAAAAACCTTTTGAATATTCTGGAATATTTAGATTTATAGTTTGTTGAAAATTATTATATTTATTTTAAAACTGATCATGTCAGTTTCAAGACGTCTTCTTTCTTACTTTTTTATTTTGAAAAATAAAACTACATAAAGAAACTTAAACGTCATCAAAAACATTAATAAATATACTAAAAAACCACTATGACATTAATAACCAGAAATAATTTATTAATATTTTTTTTTTAAATAGAGTCGAAGAATTAGTTGATTTCGAAATTCGAAACTCTTCAACTTTCGTTTTGTAGTATTTGATTTCTATTTATATACGTATTAACCACACTTATTTGATTTTTATTTATATTTTTTCAGAAAATAAATACATTTTTTTTAACAAAACCAAAACTAAAAAAAAGAAACAAAAATCAATTAGAAAGACAGTAAAGAAATCAGGGAAATATTATATTATTGTCATTTATAAATTTTAAATTAGAAATTTTATATTAGAAGTCTCTTTTATTTGTTGAATTTATTTATTTGCAATTTTATTTTTTACTTTACGATTTTTACAAAATAAATATGTTATCATGTTGATTTTCAATGTTATTTTATATTTTTATGTAAGTATATTTATTACTTAAATTTAAACAATAGTACCTTACTGGAAATCCTTTTCTAGATTTTCCCAGTATTATTTTTTTAATAAATAACAGCCATTTGCACAAACGTCCATTTAAATTGTAATTAGTTCAAAGCGACATTATCGAAACATATTATATTTCATTAGAGCTTAAAAGCATCATTAAACCTTAATGTACGTTTGTGCAATTGACCGTAATTGTCTTATAATTACAATGGTGTAAATTCTTAAAATTTACCATGCTCTACATAAATTACAAGACAGAGCGGGACGGCGCTATACGAGTTGTGGTCGTCGCATTCGCCCTCCACGAAAGCCTCCTGAAAATATCTATTGATTATCGTATACACGGAGGTTGGTACGTATACCTACCTCGCCCGTATTATGTCGGTTTCGAGTGCCAATTTATTTGAAGAACGTTTCAGAGGAGAGTGTACTAACCACGTCGCTGGTGTAGAACGAGACGCACCACCTACTACCTAATATCCGAACCCACCTAATTCAAAATAATGCCAATATCTTCGTACTGTTAACTACTGCAAAAATAGCCCGACCGGCCGATTACCTTACGTATCAGAAACGATATTTTCGTTCAACACAGTTTTTTTACGTTTAACAGAGATGACTCTACATTCCATAAACATGTGTTACATTGAGAGTATGAGGGCGTGTGTGTTTTATTTAAAACTTGGTCGCAAATTCTTGTTCCTGTTCTTAAACACATCAGTTCATTGCTCTGAGCGAAGTGATTTATAGTAGAGTAAGTTCCTATAAAGTACATAAATGTATCAGATAAGATAATAATGACGGGTTCGATATACATATGTATGTATAAAAACAGTCATACCATGACGTAGACGTACAGTTTATGTCGGTCGAGACCTGTCGAGCTGGCCCAAGAGCAAAAGGTTGTGAACCTGTGTTGCTGCTCTATATTTACCAACGTTTATGGGAAATTGATTAATATGATATTTGGAAATATTCCGTTATATGAAACGCAATAATAGACGTAGACCCTTTGTGTATACTTTAATATTACAAAAGTCCGATATACCGAATATTTATTAATGCCTCCTTAAACACAGTTTATATAATGATGTGACTACATTACATTGTTTTAATTTATCATATTGATTTTTTTTTTTTATATTATTAATGTTTAACTGTGATGGAATTTTGATATCTCACATGGTATTATTACATTTGCAAGAAACGGATCGCACTTGCGCGAGCCCGCGGGGGGCCGCGGTGGGGAGGGATGCAAGGCCGGGGCGGGGCGCATGAGGAGTGCGGGGTGCGGCAACGTCACGTCGAACAACGCAGATATTACACGATTCATTTCAAAAGGCAACCCAAAATACGGCGAGTAGGTTTATCCACGGTACACAGTATTGTGCCACATAAAAACTTGCCTGCGTCGCTCGAGTCGTCCAACGCGATTACGCGAGGTGGGAACTGTGAGATCGGTGTAGTAAAAGTAGCTCTCTTTGCGCGAGTGTATTTTTATGCTCAATATTTCAAAATCTATCTCCGTTTGAAGGCCATTTAATTGTGCATACTGATAGACGTTATTGTCACTGGTCGGATACACGAAAAAATAAACGTCATGGAACGCCAAGAACATCACTTGTCACAATAAGACGGATAATAAATAAATAGGGCTGAAATACAACGGCGCGTCGGTAGCAATGTTGGATAGTGAACTCTATTGAGCGATGCCATTGAAGTGACTTTTGTATATGATCCAATGGCAGATTAGTTAAAAGAAATTATAATTATACTGGACTTGTGATTATGATAAAACACTGTTTATCAAAAGGTGTCTTAGTAATCGCCATGGACTGGAGACCTCAAAAAGGAACACACACATACCGATGAAGATTGTCGAGGCCACAGACTTTTAAATAGGTAGGTACCGGTTTTGGACTATCATTCTGTTTGATTTATAATATAATATTACATTGTGTAAGCGGGTGCAGGTGGTTTGCACCCACTGAGATGTAATCATTTGATATAACAACAATTCTAGTACTGCTTTAGCTATTTAATAAGTTAATATTTCAAATGCATAATATGTTTTAACAAGACATCTACTTTATATTGATATTATTTCTGGTCATATAATTGCAATAAAGACTTTAAATATACTCTCGAAAGTTATAGTAAGTATACTCAATATTTAATTATCTGTACCCAAGTATCGACGGTCTTTACAAGCAGTAATCTTTAAAATATATTTGATATATTGTTTTTAATTTTAGCTTATGGTAGTTCAATTCTTAGGCTTTATTTTGAAAGCTATAAGCAATGAGGAATAGCTATCTAAGAGGACCAAGTTTCTAACTAAAGTTATCTTAATTGAAAAAAGCATTATAATAAAATATAACATTTGTAGTACCTTTTTAATTTGGCCTATCATGATCAATGAAAGCGAGCGAATGGTTAAACCTCCTAATACGGCTAACTTGAAATTCATTATTATAAAAGAATCGAACTATCAGGGTTAGAATAAAAATATAAAATACTCTTTATAGACCAAAGAACTAACAGAACTTTTGCCAAATAATTATCAAAGCTAACTGTTTCTATAAACATCCTCACCCAGACCTTAAATCATTTATTGACCCATTATGAGCCAACGTGGATTACTACTAGTGATACGACTTCATTTTCCTTGTGAATTTCAGTAAATAGTATCTTTTTCTGCTTAAGGTGCCTCTCCAATATGTGAAGGTTGGCCCTTAGGTATCTACAGCCCCACGACTCTGCTTCCTGCAAACGAAACGTCTGCGCTGAACTGATTACTCTTGTCCCGTCTCTAATACTTTTACCTCTGGATTCTTATCTACTTACCTACTTATATGCTAACTTTTATACCTCAAATTTCTTTTCAATCAGTTCAAATACTTATGTATTACCTAGGCGAGATATTATCGAATTTTGTTAATGAAGCACGTCCAAAAATAAAAATAAATGTGAATTGTTTTATAACTCCTAGGTGAGTATTTTTTTCATAATTTGCAAATCCAAATGAGTTCACCTAAAAGATAAAAGCTTGTATCAGTATTGAATATTATGATGACTATAATATCAATGTAAAAATATGTATACCTGAGTATAAATCTGTTAGTCGAGCACTTATCTCTATGTATGATAGAAGCTCTTATTACAAAGACAATAAAGCACACGAGCTATCATTATTATACCTACGTACTTTCTGAACTGCTTTAATTAGGTCTATATTATTATATTTTGCTTGTAATATCAGCTCGAGTGGTTTAATATATAACTGAAAGAATATAAAAACAAGGCTAACAAACTATAGGTAATCCATCGAATAAAAAATAACTATTATTGTATTAACATTTATATAATTTATTGTTACAAAATAAAAATTTGAATGATAAACGAAAGTTTTGTTCTATACATACATTATTTTGGAATTTTTTTTTTTTAGTTGGCAAGCTAAAAGCTGTAATAGCTACATAGCTTCCGTTTTATCAATTCTAGTGAATAGGAATTAAAACAAACCTATTTGAAACCCTCCTTTGCCAAGTGGCTCGCGGTTTGCAAGGTGGCGCTATCTCTGATTCCTGGTCGGGTCAATGTACAAAAAGACCTTTTGTATGTTGTCTCGGATCTGGGTATACTTAAAATTTAAACAAATTGGGCAACTCTTTTATATGCCACTACATATTTACCAACTTTCGTTTACGACACGTGTCGGATTTTTTATTTTATTTATTTATTTACCAACTTAAAAAAATAGTAAATTATATAAATATGTTAGTGAATGCAATCCAGCAACTTAATATCTATCTATAAAGTGACAGAAACAGTATATCAGCATTTTTTTTATATATAAATCATCCCCCCTCCATCATCTCCCCGTTCAATCGATTCTGTCCATAGAGAAGGTCCGAGCTTCAGCAGTGAAGACATCAATGGACATTAATGATGCTAACAATGATGAAAGTAGTGCATTAATTCTAATACTTAATATTTTTTGTTTCAGTCATGGATGACCCTTCTGTCATACAAGATACACCCCCTAAAAAGGAGGAACTAAATAGTAGCAATGAGCCTGAAAATGCGTTAGAAGAGAATATAGAACAAGAGTCCTTTTGTAGTGCTAAAGACGAAAAAACCAGTGACAGTGATCTAAGCTCCAATGAAGATCAGAATAATGTAAATAGTAATACCAACTCTCAGTTTTATGAGAGTAGTGATAGTAAAATAGACTATGCTGTAAAAATAGATGATAGTGATACTTTAAGCGATATAGAAGATATAAAAACGGACACAGCTTCAGCCGACAGTGAGGATTCTGCGCTTGGCAGTTTGCCTCCTGATGGTGTACCAAATGAAAGAGAAGAAGAAGTTCAAGATCGTTCAGATGGCAGTGACTCCGGAATTGGATCGGAAACAAACGAAGATTCTAAAGCACCGTCTTTTAATCTGTCATTACCATGTACTAGCGGTGTAGGTAACAATAACTCAAGCGAACATAGACCAATTCAAAATAATACAAGTATAAATGACAACTCTGGTGATAACAGCAATAATCCCATTTCAATACAAAAACAACAATCGCTCAGAAGTAGTCTTAAACGGAAATACTGCTCAGAAGGTAACGATGAACCGCAATCGAAAAGGAGGAAAGAAAGTATACAATTTGACAATGTCACTGTGTATTATTTTCCTAGAGCTCAGGGTTTCACTTGCGTCCCATCACAAGGTGGTTCCACTCTTGGAATGGAATGGCAGCACACTCACACACAAAAATTTACTTTAGCTGAACATGCTTTAGAACAAAGACGACTGCACAGACAAATTTTACAACAATTAAAAAGTGAACGTCATACCCTTCAAGGTGCATCTCTATCGTCGAGCGAAGATAGCGACACTGAAGAAGAAGCTAGCGATATATCGGAGTCAGAACTAGATTTAGACAGTTATTATTTTTTGCAGCCAATTCCGACACGACAAAGGAGAGCGCTTTTACGTGCTGCAGGTGTTCGGAAGATAGAGGGTTATGAAAAAGATGAATGTAGAGACATCAGAACTTCTCGTGAATTTTGTGGGTGTTCGTGTAAAGGAGCTTGTAATCCTGAAACTTGTTCATGTAGTCTGGCTGGAATAAAGTGTCAAGTCGATAGATTAAACTTCCCTTGTGGATGTACAAGAGACGGTTGTGGAAATACCACTGGTCGGATAGAATTTAATCCCGTAAGAGTACGCACGCACTTCATTCATACTCTTATGAGAATAGGTCTTGAAAAGAAAAATGAAGAAAACCAGGAAGCAGCTAGAAGACAATGGGCGGAAGCACACAATGCGACAGGTTCAAGGTGCACGCCAAACACATATGACAGAGAACGTTGTCAGCGTCACGACGATGGCTTACTGCGTGATGTCAGTTTAAGTCCAAGAGTAGAAGTCGAATCCTGTGTAAACGCTGGAAATTTCAACAACGTCCATTGTGATATAAATACTAATGTTAATCAAAATAATATACAAGGCGATATGAATTATGGATACCGTAATGATGCAGTCACCGGTACAATGAACGAAAGTAATATGCATTACCAAAACATGAGCAGTCACCATAACCACGCCGACCCATACACTTCTAATATTCTGCAGGGAAAAGGACCACCTTACTCTGTTACAAACGCAATGAATTACGATTCTATGCCAAATAACATGCATCTCAATTACGCCTACGAGCAGCACAATGAAAATCAACATTTCAAAGGTTTACAGAGTTTTTCTGCGACAAGCTTTGAAGAATTCGCGCACAATTCTCAAATTAATATGTTTAGTCATTACGGTCACATGTACGTGCCACATTATTTGCATAAATCAAACACTAATATTAATGAGCATAATTCCCTGCAGTATCACAACATGCCTCAAAACCAGTATGATGTATACAAAAATAATAATCCTTCAGAATATATGGAACCAGAAAACAAAGGTGAATCACAATATACAACTCTGATGTCGTTGCCATATCAAAGTAGCAATAAGATACAGTCTGTTGAGAACGATGAGAACTGGTTCAGTCATAATACCCTTTTGGGCTTGGACCATGCTGATCACGCCACACAAGATGCCTCGGACTTGCCTCCCCAGCCCGCAGAGACGCAACCAGAAAGCAATACAGCTGAGACCACGGAAAATTTCGGAGAATTAATCAAAAAAACTATGGTAGAGTCTGTTATTGTGTAGAAGAATTATTTGTTGTCGTCATTATGGATTATCATGTTATTAAATTTTTAATTATATTGATTGGGACTTCATCGCTCTTTTATTATTCTAGCTATTTTCACCAAAAATGTTATTGAGACTACAATGAAAGTATGAATTATAAATAACTATACTAATATTACGAACCCTTGTAATTTTGCCAAGATTCTCAAAGAGTATAAACAATTACCAATATTTTAGTATCTAATAAAATATGTAAAATTGATTATTTCACTTTCATCATCACTTATTATGGCACTGCTAAGGTACAGGCGCCTACCCTCGTAGAAATAAAGGGACAAATACACCATAACCAAACATCCTCACGACTACAGATACAACGGCTGAGCGTCCCTTCTTTAGCATGAAGGGCAAACAAACGAAGTAATAAAATTTAGTTCACCTATCCTATGTCCAGCCTTTACAAAAGTTGCTTAACAAGCACAAACACAGACCGATCGCACTAAAGGATGCGCTAGTGAGTTGCTCTAAAATATTACAATTAATAGAATCTGCGTTACCTATCGGAAATCCACTGTAGAAATAACTGTGACATATTTACACTGGTTGATCATTGTTTTATTGACCAATGAAATGAGCGCAGAGGTTATCCGCACTCAGCATGCTGAGTCAGCATGCATCGACCAGTGTAACCGAGCCTTAACGCCGTCCTCCTTAAAAGGCATGAAATTACAATAAGTGCCAGAGGGCATATTGAAATAAAATAAATTCAGTCGAATGTAAGCGTTAGGTACGGTAGTATAAACCTAATAATAATAACGTTACTTGAGATTAGGAAGAGTTTACAAAAAAGTATCGATTTAAAAACTTAAAGACTTTTGTATTTGGGACACGTGACATTAAATAACAATAGTCATCAACGCCTTAGGCTATATTACAAAACACAGTTAAATCTGCCACATTATTCTAAACTTTAATTCGTTATTATAGAATTCAAAATCAGCTGTTGAAAATTATTAATTTACTGCTGCACGTACTTTGGTAAAAAAGGAGTCTAGCTAGAAACTGACTAGACTTAAAAAGAAGCGTTGTTACGAACAATATTCAGAACTAGACTGAACTAGACGTAGAATTAAATGTATGTAGATAATTATTTTTTTATATTTATTTAATTAATTTTTGAATTATACTAAATTTTGGATCAAGGTATCAAGAACAAAACTTTTATCTAATTGAAGGAACATCAAACCGCCTTCATTCGACCCCATTTATTATTTTTGCGATTGTGAAGTTTAAGCGACGTCTGCAAAGGTAATGGGATGGGTGATCAATTTGTTTTATTAGACTGAGCGATGTTAGGATAGGCGTTAGGGGATTACGTGGGGTGGTGCGATTGCGAAGATTAAACTACATTCGCAAAGGCCGGTAATGGCACAAGTGGAAAATTTTGACAGCTTTGTATTACCTAACGTTCTGTTGACTAAACGTTTATAAATTAGAATTCGTTTGGGCTCAGACCGTACTAGAATGAAAAGCAAGTCTGAAACATTTCAGTTTGTAATACATAGCCGTCGCACCGACTGGGATGAATACAACAAACACCTAGTACGGAACTTAGAAGTAATTCCTAAATGCATTAGAACGATTGAGAGCATTGAATTCGCGGTAGATGCTGTCTCTAATGGCATTAAAGATGCCTTCGAGGCTAGCTGTACACTCAAATTCAAATCATCCAAACGGAAAGTACCGTAGTGGAACTCAAAGCTGAAAAAGCTTAGCGAGAAAACACGAAAGTCATTCAACAGGGCCAAAATCACACATGAATGGGATGCCTACAGGATGGCCCTAAACGAATACAGTAAACAAATTAGAAAAGCCAAGCGTGCATCATGGAGGAAGTTCTGCGAGGAGATAACTAATACGCCTCAAGGAGCAAGACTTCATAAGATCATGGCAAAGGCACACTGTAATCCCTTAGGTCTCCTTAAAAGTCCTTCACGACTAACGAGAAGGACAGTTGCAGCTAATGGCTATCACCCATTTTCCAGGATCTACTGATAATGCAGTAGCGATCACTCTTCGAAGGCCTCTACCAGAGGACTGGAGAAGAGCCGCTCTCGGTATTGGGCCTGGAATAGTGCAATGGGCCATTAACTCGTTCAAACCTTTTAAATCAGGTGGAATTGGCGGCGTGGCCCCGGTGCTTTTACAGCGGGGTGCCGCCAATATCATCCCTTATCTGGTAAAAATCTTCAGAGCCAGTTTGGCCTGGGGATACATTCCAGAATCGTGGAATAAGGTGAAAGTCGTGTTCATACCTAAAGCTGGAAAGAAGGACTATACATCACCAAAGTCCTTCAGGCCAATCAGCTTTACGTTATTTCTACTGAAGACCATGGAGAAGGTATAAGACAATTATATCAGACAAGGGGGTCTCATCAACAAACCCATACATGATACCCAGCACGCCTACCGAAGCGGCAGATCTACGGAGATTGCTCTACTAAACCTTATAGATAAGGTTGAAAAGGCACTGGACGATAAAGAAATAACACTCGTTGCTTTTCTTGATGTGGAAGGAGCGTTCGATAACACGCCGTAAGATAGTAAGAGGATTAGTCCATAAAGAGATTGACTCCACTACTGTAAGATGGATAAGAGCCATGCTAGAGAGTAGGACAGCGAGGATGGAACTACTCAATGATTCACTAGAGTTAGCAGCAGCAAGAGGATGCCCGCAAGGTGGATCACTTTCTCCGCTACTGTGGACTCTTGCGGTGGACCAGCTCCTCCATAAGATGGCTGAACTCCGCTTTGACACCCTGGGCTATGCCGATAACCAATATAGCCCTCTGGCTCTACACAGCCATCATAAGGCCGATGGTGTCTTACGTCTCGGTAGTTTGGAGAAGAAAAACGACACAGAGTACTATTATATCAAGACTTAACAGTCTGCAAAGGACTGCTTGTCTTATAGTAACAGGAGCTATATCTTCCACCCCGACTGCTGCCCTTGAGGCTCTGCTAAACCTGCCGCCCCTACATCTACACATTGAAATGGTGGCGAGGGCTTGTATGTACAGGATCACCAGCATGGAGGCGAAGACATGGCTGTCAGGTAATTTGAGGTACCTGAAGGACTCAATATACAATATACCAATCCTGGGGATGCCTACTGACACCATGCCCCCGAGAGTCAATTCACACAGCTCATCTTGTGGAGATATCCACCAGGGACGACTGGTCAAACAATCGTATAGTATGGAAAAATGGAAGCCTAAATTGGTACACTGACGGTTCCAAATCCGGCCCTGAGGTAGGAAGTGGAATTTATGGAGAAGCCCCAAGGAAGGCTATAAGTCTGAACATGGGAAAGTACTCCTCAATATTCCAGGCGGAGGTGTACGCCATTTTGGAATGTGTGGCAGCCAATCTGCAAAACAACTACCTCAATCGTATTATCTACATTCACTCTGATAGTCAAGCTGCACTCTTAGCACTAGCCTCCGACGTAACTAGATCGAAGCTGGTTGAGAACTGCAAACAGACATTGAATTCTTTGGGCAACAACAACAAAGTAGTTCTAAGATGGGTTCCGGGTCACGCTGGACACGAGGGCAATGAACAGGCGGACAAACTGGCGAAGAAGGGTGCTAAAGACGCCCTTATCGGACCAGAACCTTTCTGTGGCATCCCTCAAAGCCTAACCCAGCTAACCTTGAAAACATACTGCCATTATGCAGCTATTCAACTATGGAGAAACACTCTAAGACCCTGATTAAAACCTTCAACAAACAGGCGGCATCAGAGGCCTTAAACTTAACCAAAAATCACCTTCGCACACTAGTTTTAGCACTCACAGGGCATTGTGGACTAAACAGACACATGAACAACATGGGGATCAGCGGCAGTAGAATATGCAGAGGATGCAAAGAGGAAGAAGAAACACCCTTGCACATTTTGACTGATTGCCCGTCACTAATGCGAAAACGATGTATCTATCTGCGAAAGCACGTGATGCACCCAGACGATATTAAAGAACTTACGGCCAAGAAAATACTTCATTTTCTTGTAGAATGTAATCTTGACCGTGAACTGTAGTATGTGGAGGTCACAATAGGTCAGCAAAGGTCGCAATGATACTGGACTGCATAAACCCAAGATAATCCACAACTCGAAACAATACAAAATACAACAACACATAGCCGTCTATACAAGCGCACGCATTAGCCAATTGGAAACGCAAGCTGTGGTATACTTAAGCGTTTCCATACCTAAACAGGGCATTTATACAAAGCAGTGCGGCCTTATGCTTATTTTTCATTATCGTAATGAAAATAATCAACGAGAATGTTATTTTACTCTAAAATATATATTATGTGATGTTGGTTTAATAAAAAACATATTATCATTAAGAAAATTTACAAATATATTTCAGCACAGTTTATTTATTGTTTTATCGAATCCTATCATCATCATCAGCCTTTTTACGTCCCCACGTAAGTACGTCCTGCAGGGGCTCAGGCCTTCCTTATGGATGGTTAAGGAGGACGGGCCATAACCCTCCACACTAGCCCAATGCGGATTGGAGGGTATTAACGACTGCAAATGCAACCGGGACCAACGGCTTAACGTGCCTTCCGAAGCACGGAGTAACTCGAAATAATCATTTTTTAGTCACCCATCCCGTGACCGACCCTTGCAAAAGTTGCTTAACGACAACGATCGTGGGCAGCGGCGCTTATCCATTACACCACCTATCTACTCTCGGATCCTATACATGATTTAAAAGTTTTAACTTGCAATTTAAAAAATAATTTATTTTTGTTTTTTACGATTAATAAATCACGATTATTAAAAAGGTTTCGCATTAATTCAGTAGAAAGAAACAGGTACATGATATGATATGATAGATGACAGAGCTCACGATGTTTTTACTTTTGGCTACCATGAACTCTGTAATAGATTGCGTTACTCCCACCTAGTATTTCGCACCCAGCGAATATAAATGAAAATAATCAACATAGTGAAAGTCTTAGAAAAGGAAATTTTATTAATTTGCCCGATATCTTTTTTTCAGATAATCTATACTCCTATTATAAAGAGGAAAGGAAAGAGGAAATAACATAGGCTATAATAAACGCAGGCGGAATCGTGCGAAAGCATCTAGTTTGATAGAAATTGGTTCACAATTCAAGGAAAAAAACACGGCGGAATTGAGAACCTCCACATTTGTTTGAAGATTATGAAATCGATGAAATCTACATCTATCAGAAATATAAATCTACTTTCTTATCTACTTATCAATCAGAAATATAAATCTACTTTCATAAAAAATCATATACTATTTAAACAGCGTATTTTGTTTTGTACTAAAAGGAAAACTACTGATTCGATTTCGATTAAATTATAACGGGACCACCGCGGTCCATCACGCTGTCTAATAAAAAATGAATTTTGAAAATCGGTTAACAATTATTAGTTATGAGTAGTTAGAACTATTTTTTTTAAATACTTCCACTAGATGTCGCCACAGCACGTTCTTGATTTCTCCATGACAACCTTCTCGGTTTTCTTTCATGTTTTAAAATAAATTAGTTTTCAAAACTCAATAAAACACTCATATTCTATTTGTACTTTTTCGTATTTGTATTGATATCTAAGTGTCGAACTTTTTAAATTTCAATTTTTTAATATGTTAGTTAATAAGCACGGAAATGGCTGTCTTTGGTCCATTCGTTTCCTGCAAAAATCAACTTTTGCTAGAGTCGCCATCTAATGGAGGTGCTTTTTTAGTGCTCTCGTTTTTTTTAATACTTCCTCATTGACGGAATAATCGCCGTCGAACATATAACCTCCTTTTTGATTTTGAAGTCGGTTTAAAAGCAACTGATTATACTTCCACTGACAGGGCCGGCTCGTCTATATAGGCAAACTAGACAACTGCCTATATAACACTCGTATTTGGTGGCGGCATGGTAAGGCAACAATTTTTTTCAAAGTGAGATGTTTATTGAGCCTGTCGGGCACAAGAACATTTTCAGCTAAACCTTAAAAAAATTTGAAACAAGAAATTTATTTTATAGCTATATTATAATAGAGATGTCCAAAGGACAGCGTAGTTGTATGCCACTGATCATTAAAAAAACAAACTGTTCTGGTACTGCCGCCTAATAAGACTATCAGTTTTTGGCCGCTAGAGCTAATAAAACAAAAGGTATTCCTCTCAATCACAGTAATTCGTCGGCTGTGTTTAAATCTATTTCAGGTAGGTTTTAGCACTTCAGCAATCAAAAGCAGCGGCCTTATTTAAATCTAGAAAACAATACAAAAAAACATACACAGCCTTATTATTGAGGGCTGCAAATTTACTAATACGCAGCAAATATGCAAAACATCATAAACATGGTAAAACAAATACAGATGAATTTAATTTAATATTTAATAGATTCTTAGCGGTTGCATTATCCTCTCGACATCGATCGATGTTTTTTACATTGACTACGCAGCAGGTTTCGTAAATTTATTAATTGTACTTAAAACGCACGTATCCCATAATTTCTCTAGTAACAAGTAACAGTTCGTTTTTTCGCCACTGTGCATAGTTCTCTCACCACCTACTTCGTACCCCGCGAATAAATTACACTATAGTAAACTATAATATGTGGTTAATATGACAATGTGTTATGTATGTATTCATTATATTCGTACATGCATTGGTTGTTAAAAACTGTGATAAATGCAGCTACCCTATCCTGCTCCCCCTCAGGAAACCCACCCACGACTCCGACCCAGTGTATCCTTAGTTACTGTATAAATACTATAACCCTATATACAATACTGTATGCTAATCAAATCAACTAACCTTAAGGTGTAAAATACGACGCATTAGGTTTCCCTCTCACTCACACACAGCAACGAGTGACGAGACGCAAAGATCGCCCGAATGGTACGCTACTTGAATCATTCTGATTGGCCAGGATTTGCTGCGCTACGAAATTTAGCTTTCTGTGCATGCATTAGTAAACCGCATCAGTTTTATCTTAAGGTATTCAACGGTGTTATACAAATATCAATTAAAAATTTAACATGTGATCCATACGAACTCAGTTCACACTCGATCATTTTCTTATTAAGGGGGTACAGAAAACCAATTACGAAAGTTAACAATTAAGGGGGTACAGAAAACCAATTACAAAAAGTTAAAAATAAATATTTGCTTCCAAAATCAGAGTGCAGTAAAAAAACGTTTACTTAACATAAATTTTATTGTCAATGCATATTGACTAACTTATAACAAAATTATTGTAATTAGAATAAAATATCACAATTCTTGATCAATAAGAAAAACTTACTAATATTTAAGACATATTTATAATACTGTCTAAAGGAATATATGAACAAGTTATTTCGTCAGGAATCCGATGAGAGTTGCCACAGCTTTACTGTTTTATCCTTGCTCGCAGTGACCAGAGTTTTCGTAGCCTCATCTAGGTAAACGCAAGTGATTGTATCTGAAACCAAAATGGAAGTAACTTTAAAACAAATATGTGTGTATAAATGTTGTAATATACCCTTACTTTTCTTATAAAAGAAAAGTCAGTAATAAAAGCCCCAAGAATTACAATATTGGGTATGGAGTTGGCGACCTACAGATCAGTAGCCCAATTCAGCCCCTTTATTTCTATGAATAAAGTCAATTTTAAAGTAGTTCTATCGGAGTATCGTCGAAGCGTTTTCACCTAATCAATCGTGTCAAAAGTTGAGAAAAATAGGATAATAAGAGCTATTCTGCTAAACAAATAACATTTCTTACGATCGGATGCGGATCGACCAAACGTCAACACGACACGATTTAAGCGCGGTTGAGCAAAAGTTCATTAATTGGTTTTGTCGACATAGTACAACTTCGAAACAAACAATATTAATCTCGGTTAAGCTTTTATTCTATTGGATAATTATTTTTCCATTGGATATAAGCCAGTAGCGAAGACGAAATGACTACCAACGGCATTCAATATTTTTTCTTTTTAAAAAAAAGAGAAACGAGTTCAAAATTTTATAATTGAAAATTAATACTTATCTTAAAAGTGACTCAATTATTCATGAAACAGCTAAATATTGAAATTAATTATTTTAAAGTCGGTTAAAAAGGGACGTCTTTGAAATGCCTGAAAAGGACTTCATAAAAACGATTAGGCTCGCCAAAGAGATAGAGCTAACCACAGAACGCGTCTTTCTATAATCTGTGGTTCTTAAGTCTCCCAAGGCGAGGTCTGTGTCTGTTCTCTCCATAAAATATATCAATATTTCAATTTGTCACAATGAAACCGGCTTATTAGGGCTTAGTTTTAATTCAAACTTCAAAGAATTATTTATGCACCTTCTAAGTTATCACACAAATAAAAACGCTGAAATTCTCTTTAACTAAAACTTTATTAGAATGCTTCCATATATAGGAACTTCTCTTTAGTGTTAGCAGAAAGATTTTTAAAATATTTATTGATCATATAATATAGACATGTTTAAATTTTAAAGATATTTTCTTTTATTTCACCAAAATTATATAATTTTTATTGACTCTTCACGTGTATAAGCCACTGACTTGATATAGGCAAAATTGTGTAAACGCGATTAAGCAAAAACTAGAAAAAAAAAATTTAAAAAATTACAGATAAATGTCGTCCGCAAACAATTTCATATTAACTCTGTCAAATAATAAGTCTGATTTTCTATTTGTTCATTAATTTTTTTTATTATAAATTAATTAAAATTAATATTCTAACACCTACTATCTAATAACCAATTTGGATTTCGACATGGTAGGTCCACGGAAGGTGCGGTAGGTAACCTCATTAATTTTTTGTCAATTAATTTAGACTAAAACGAGTTGGCATACGAGGCTAGGATTGCCACGAAAGCGAGATTAAAATATCTGGACAAAATTTGAAAAAGTCGGGATTTTCGAATCACAGTCGGGACAAAAAAAAACTAATCAAATCCACTTTTATTAAATTTATAATAATAACAAGTGTCTACTTTTTTTCAATTTATAAGATGACATAATAATGGTATAACATTTAAACACCTAAAAAAATTTTTTGTGATATGTGTGTTATTTTATTTTTTATACTTGTAATTCGATTTTACAGAATCTAACAGTTTTTGTCGGGACATATTGGTTTTTTTCGGGACTCTGGACATCATACAAAATGTGATGGACAATCCGGATGAATCCCGACCATCTGGCAACCCTATACGAGGCACACAGCTTAATCTTGTAATTGACTAAAGTGATAGAACACAGTATGTGAAATTGGGCAATAACTTGAGTTCTGATATTGCTACCGATTACAGTGTACCTCAAGGCAGTATGTCTTAACGATCTTCTTTTGCAAGGCACTCATATTTGCACCTTAAACATGCAGTACCACGATATTTATAAGTACAAAATTTTCAGACCAGCAGTACCTAAAGAGTATTTTTTGTTATTAGCAAAATTACTCACTTAAATCGATAAACGTTAGTCTTTTATTTTGTTGTGGTTACTTGTTGGTTCCAGTATTTGCCTAGAACGCCAAGTTCCAGTTTTTCGCCTAGAGCGCCAAGTTCCAGTGTTTTGCCTAGGGCGCCAAGTTCCAATGTTTTGCCTAGAACGCCAAATTGCAGTGTTTTGTCTAGAGCGCCAAGTTCCTGTGTTTTGTCTAGGGCGCTAAGTTCCAGTGTTTTGCCTAGGGCGCTTAGTTCCAGTTTTCACCTAGGGCGATTAATTCCAGTATTTTGCCTATAACGCAAAGTTCCATTTTGCTTATAGCGCCTTGAACCGGCGCTGCTACAAAGTGTTTACTGTGTTACCTTGGTGCGCTGGTAGACGTGTAGTCTGTTGTACAGCAAGCATGTCCCACTGCACGAGTTCTCCCCGCGCTCCCCCCACCCACACCACGCCGCGCCCGTCGCACGCGCAAGTATTAGCCGCCTCCGGTAACTGCGTCTCGTACACCTGCATATTCATCATCATCATCAGCCTTTGACGTCACCGCTCAGGCCTTCCTTATGGATGCTTATAGAAGATGGGCCATGACCCTACATGCTGGCCCAATGCGGAACGGAAGGTATTAATACGGAAGGTATTAAAGGACTGCAAATGCAGCCGGCACCAAAAGCTTAACGTGCCTTCCGAAGCACGGAGTAGCTCGAGATAATATTTTATGAAAATAATTATTTGTGCTAAATAGCAATTTTGTAGAACGACTACATGGGTAGTCGTTCTACAATGACAACGAATTGCTAATAACCATTTATTATGAGTATAATATAATATCAGAATATGGGGTAAATCATGATTTCATAATCAATAATTGACTTGCCTTGATTTTGGAGTAAGATAATGACCCCGTGTAAACGCAGCTTTACGAATATTGGTATACAGTTGAATATTGTTATGTTACCATAGCTGATATGTTTTTATGTTTAAGGAATTAAAATAATCTCTACGTACCGTATGTGCCACACTAAGATCTGTAACGTGGAAGTCTGCTGCCTGGCTGGCAGTGAGCAGGCGTGCAGCTGGCAACACTGCGCATGCGCACACGGCGGCGGTGTGAACACGCAACACTGTCTGACGCGATTTACTTCTCAGCTGCCATATTGACACTTCACCGTCGCTAGTACCCGCTATAATGTCCACTTCTTGACCGCACCGCCTGCGATCAAAAAGCTTTTTTCTTTACAAAACTAGATATCTATGATATATTGGATGAATAAAATGCAAATTCCACGTAAACGAAGTCGTGCCGCGGTAGTATGTGACGTTACTGGATAATTTTACATATCGCACGTTGAGAACGATAGTGACACAATGCAAAAAATGCGCAAATGAGTAATGAGCGTTTAAAGTTCAAGAAATTGTAAGCGGCCCCTATAAACAACGTATCGTCACTATGCCACCAAGCAGTTTCTATGCAAGCTACGTTTACAGGGATATTTGCATTTAAAAGTTTATAGGTACCGAAGAAAAATGTGGCCAAAAGTAAAAAATACGTCATTTTTGGTTAGTGACATTGTCATTCTCAACGTGCGATATTGTGCTGGGTAGGTAGGGTAATAATGTCGTTAAAAGTATCCATTTTATATTAAATCGAAATACAATTCAGACGTGAAATAATATTAGGTAGTTATAATATGAGGGGTATGTGTCCTGATGGCTCGGCAGCGGTCAAAAGAGGGTACATACACATCCCAATTTGCTTGACAGGTTACAAGGAGAGTAACTGACGCATTACCTCGACGAAAAAAAGGTAATTAAAAAAGATCGAGGCCAGACTACCCGGTATTTTATTGAGGAAACCACAGAACACATTGTCACACCCGTATATTTTGGTTCTTATTAAAATTTACAATAGGCTTGTGTGAAGTGAAAATACAGGTTTCTATTATGTATATGGAAAATATAAACCATTTTAACTTATAAATATTTAACAAAATAAATTTTATGCCACTAATTTGGAAAATATTATGCTTCGAAAACTTGAAAAAGTAGGGAAAATATACTACAAAAATTTGATAAAATACATATGGCATGAAATTGATCACATAAAATGTTACAACTTGCATTATAAGAGCTACTAACATAAACGCACAAATAACAAAGAAGATACAAAGCTCTGACGCCCTTACGCTTTTTGCTAACCGTAGCACTATGTGACGTCACTTAGTACCTTGAATTTGTAAGGAACATTTTAGGCCGACTATTAGCAGAAACACATATTCCACAAACTTAGCACCGTATCTCCGAAAATATTAATCACAGACATGCTGTTACTTCTACTACATTATTTCTCAGACATTAATGGAGTATTCATATAAAAAAATGTGTTAACTAGCCTATTGTTTCTATATTTAAAATTGTAAATAACATTTACTCATAAAATGATAATTTTGAATGTAAATTGGCAAAATTTTTATAGCAGGTCACCAAGTAGTTAGGTTATACTTCTCGGTGGCTAGTCATCGACACGCGTAGTATATTAGTGGCCTGTACATATCGTAATGGAATAAGGGCTTAACTTGTACCTGTATGCCAACGTGGTGACGTTTTCGTCGTGATCGAACTCGGCCCGCAGTCCGCGCAGCGCCTGCCCCAAGCGACCCACGTTGGCCCACGCACGGACCACCCCGTCACTACCGCCAGATATCAACAGCCGTTCTACATTAAAATAAATAATTCATAAGGTAACTGCAGCAATTAAGGTCCGCATTGATGTTTCGTACTAATACACTTCTATTCCTGTTCAAACTTTACTCACACGATACATACGCTGTGTTATGCACGTGTGAGTCAAGTTTGAATAGGAATAATAGAAGTGTTTCAGCACAAGCAGCGTGTATTATTACAACGCAGGCCTTATACGACGCAGGTACCTTACTCTGTCGTACTACCGCCACGATATATCATAGGGAAAAACTGAAATTAATGCAGAACATTTAATTTGTGTTCGGTTTTGTATTGTAAATTATTTTTACGTTATTTTTCTCTCTTTTTTTACCTTCTAACATCGGAGATGAAGAAGAAAAAACCTGTTTTACACTTCATGATATCCCTACTGTACCGGATGTTAATGACAAAAAACATTTTGTAATTAACCTAAATAAATATCTTATTTAATAAAAAAAAAACTCTAAACCCTTATTTATTAGTGACTTAATTTACGAATTACATTAAAATATCTATAAATTCTGCCAGATAATAAACCATACCCTATTATTTGTAATGTACACAGAGCTACAAATCAGGTTACTAGAATAAGTCAAACTTCCTCAGTTGATTTTGAGTAATACCTTCAATGCATTAAAGTATAAATCAAGTAAAGAAATTTGACACTTGTATAACCGAACCTAGTGACATATTGATAACCAAAACTACAATTAAAAATATATATACTTTTAAATTTTCGGTATGAAAGCATTCAGTAGGTCAGTAGCGGTGTTATGCCTGGGCGAGATTGGGCGACAGTCCAAGGTCGTCAAATATAGGAGGAGCCCCTGAGATCGAATGTCGAAACATTACTGTTCGCTCATTCAAAATGCTTTAACATTGTGACTCATTGCACTCTCCGCAGCGGCAATGACCCGGTGAGTGGGTGACTAACTGACTTAATTAAATTAAATGAAATCATATCAGATATAAATAAACACTGGGTGATTAATTATCTCATAACAATAAAATCCTTTGTCGAGGCTTCATCTTGAGACTATAGTTAGTGATTTTATTTAATTAAACATCACAACATACAAAAATTCTATATTTTATCGACAGTATTACGATTGTCAGATTAAATGATTTCTTCGGTATTAGGTATGTAAAGTAATAAGTGTTTTAGGTAAGTAAAGTAGGTGGCAAAATTTATTCCTGAGTTAAGTTCAATTTCAGTCCTTTAAAAAATTATAAATAAGTTACTTAGAACTGACTTACTACTAATTCATACCTTTCTCCAACCACAGTAAACAGGTCACGGAATCATCGTGGGCGCGAAAACTTTCCACTTTCCTTCCATACTCCACGTCATATAAATATCTAAAACATATATTTACGTCATATAAATATTTGAAATAAATAAATAAATATGGTAAAAATACATCAAATCTGTAAAAGCAATTATTAATAAAAGACGAAATAAAACTAACATCTCATTATCCCATGAACCCACAGCGACAATATTCTCGTCAATCATCACGCACGAACTCAACGGAGTGTGGCACAAGTTGATACTTCTTATTTGCTTCTTTTGTTCTATATCATACACTTTTAAAGCGCCGTCTCTGCCAACAGAGATTATTCTGGAGCTTTGACGTAACGCGCAAGTTACCGCTTCCTTATGAAGGGTTATCACATCTATGCATTCTATTTTATAAGAAGTAACATGTGTTGGTTGGTAACTTAACACTCTCTCTATCACATGCCCAACTTTTCTGACGTGAGGTTTTGTGAAAAGCTGCTTAGGCACTTGTCCAAACTCCATGATCTGTACCTCTAGCGCATGTCTATCGTTCATATCCAATATACGTTCGAGATCCACTGCGCCTTCATAGCAGACGTGGTGAAATACTGCATTAAAAGAGTTTACTTTTTATAAACTATTCACTTCAACTTTTTACTTGTATAAAATACCAGCATATCAAATTAAATCTATGCTAAAGTGTCGTTAAATCAATTCGCGGCCATCCATTGATTACGTAAGATTAAGAAGGGGAAGGGAATCGACCATATCTGATATTGTATAGGGGGGGTACGCATAAGATCATATAAACCCATAAAGGTTAAATTACACTTCGGAAAAGTGCGGACGCGCAAGTAATGAATGCAAATAATTATTAATACCTTCCAAACAAATAGTTTTATTCATATATTTCTTTAAATATATTCTATTCTTACGTAATGATTATTTAACAGAGAGAAGAGGATAAGACTAATGTTATATCTTCTTACATAGAGTTTGAATCAAAACTTACCATGAATCATTTCACTTAATATATGTATGGATCTTATATAATTAAAATTCTATAAAACTATATAAGAATAATAACTATTGAAGGAATTCAAATTAAAGAAATATAACTTACCATTATCAGCTTTTACCGCCTCTTCACCTCTTTGTTTATAGCCAAAAATCAAATCTATCCAGAGGTGTAAATGCCTAGAAACATAATCAGACTCCAATGCCTGTCTAAGCTTCGTAACGAAGTCTTTAGGCGACGTCGCCCATGGCGGCAAAGCTACATCGTTCACCTTCGTCCCATCGTGTCGCTCTCCAAAATCTATCTCATACATGTTCACCAAAAAGTCTCCTTTAGTATCCGTATTATAAAATTCTGGTACCAGTTCCTGAATACATATTGGATGAATTTTAGAGAAAATAAAAAATAATATCCTATAAAATAATGAGATGCTGTAGACAATATTTCATTATTACCTTAAAATCAGACATATTACGTAAACAATTATTATAAACATCTTTGACAGAATTAAACATTCTATCTGGATGATCAAACCGACCATTCTGGAGGCATAACATATACTGTGGATACTTTCGAACCTAAAAAAAATTACAATACAAAAATATTAATAAAATAAATAAATATAACTTGTAAAGAAAATAAGAACTCTTTTATAGTAAGTTTATACAATGTAAATGGATATATACTTCTTATTTATTCATTCAAAGTATGATGATAGGTCATCTAAAATATACTAAAGCTAAACTATTTTAATTCAAAGAATAGATACTTACTAAGTAAAACAACACAAGACCCGGTGCAGAATAATGTGATCCATATAAAAACTTGGGTTCATTCATTTCATGGTATCTTTCTTTTAATTTCTCCAAACGGTCTTGATTCAATGCACCCATTGGTTTAGACAAGTCTCTGTATGTATCAGTGTTACTGAGGTCCAATGTTTCAGATGTGTAATCTGCTACTACCCACGGAAAGACAGGGTACTGGGTTAAATCTTTTTCACTTCTGTCAGCTTGACTAAAAATAAATCAAAATTATACTATAATTATACATTTAAGACATATGAAACCATCATTCTAAATTGCTATTCCTTTTTATGTAATGAGTAAAAGCTTTGTTTATTTGCTTAAGAATTTTAATTTCAAACATTGAAAGATTCAAAAGTTAAATACAAATATTTCTTACCAGTTCAAATACATTAAATAGTCATAGTTAGACACAACTCCATTTTGCCACTGCATAGTCATTTCTTCAGCATGTTTTTTGACTAGATTAACATTTGAAGACTCTTCCAGAATACCATATGTTTTTTCCCTGTCATCTTCACATTGAAAAGTTAAATATATATGAGGTACTGTACTTTGTTCCTGGCTATACAATTCTAAACCCTAAAATATAAGATTTTTGATAATAATCAATAAAAATTATAAGATTTGTCATTAAAAAATTTATATTCATTTTTGTAAATTCTTGTATTTAATGATTTTGTTCTTTAATTCTTCTTAGCCAATAAGACTTAAAAGTTTCTAGCAGATAAAATATATATTAAACAGAGTATAATGAAACATGCTATAATATTAATAAATGATATTACTAAGATGAAAACAAAACACGAAACACATGATACATACAACTTGCCTTAGCAAAAATCTCCTTCTGTACATTCTTCTTAGGTCACACAGTTTAAGTTTCAAAACAGGACTCTGAAATTAAATATTATATTTATTTTTAAAATATAATTATAATAATATGTTTCCTTATTAAAATATTTATAGAGTTGTTATCTAAATATATTATTACACTTTCAACATTGCTGAATGGCTGGAAATAGATGGTGGTAGGAGTAATAGCCAGTTTTCCTTGATGCCTGACGAGTGGTGATATTTTTTCAGCTTGCAACTCACAAAGGATTTGCTCAGTAAAATCATCCATCATCACAGGATCAAACACCATCCTCATATAACGGGAATGTAATATAGTTGCAACCATACTGTTGTGTTCTGGTGCATGCAGAGTGGATGCTCTCTGCAATTGCTCCATTTGACTCAAACATTCCTCAGCTGATGCAAAGTCAAAAAATATAAAAAATTCTTTCTCCTCATACATAAATTTATATGGTGCTAATATATTTTCTTTGAGCATCTCTGCGTATTGCTTCATTTTTATCATGATTATATTGCTTACTCCATCAATAAAGTGTGGTCTTACCACCGATATTGAAATGCAATCCCTAAAATATAATTTCACAAGAGGCCAAGTCCAGTCTCTAGGTTCAAATACTAATGATTTAGAACAGAGTTTTAAACAACCATGCCTCGGACTGCCTTCATTAAATTTGATGTGATCGTTTAATGTACAAGAAAAATCTTCAAAGTATACTTCACCAGGTTCTAAAAGCAATAAAGAAAACCTGGAAAAGGGATAAAATAAGTTTTTATATTTCTTTAACTAAGAGAAAACTAACAGGTTCTTAAATTCTTTTCAAACAGAAATCTAAATGATGACTTTGTTTATTTGGCTATAAATAAATACAAGATAATAATAAAAATAACAAACAATTTCGATGTATGTAATGTGTACTTAACCGTGACTTTTCCATTGGTACAAAAGTTGACGTTTCTTTCTTTAATATTATCTTAAAACAAATTATTTCAAGATTATTTTGACATCCGAAGAAAATTTTCTAAACTCTTCACACTAATAAATTTATTCTACGCTTATAAATATATAAGATTATTTTGGAAAGTACTTCAAAACAACTAAAACACAACACAAAGAATAATTTGGTGGGGACATTGACAGTCACAGAACAATAATACTGACATTGACAGTTCATCTGTCTGACACAACAGGCATGACAGCGACAGTGTTGACAGTGTACTTTAAGACAAAGTGATACGGTCGTAATGCCAAATATGGGTAACGTTGTATACTGCGGCTGTCCCATTTTAAAACCTAGTAAGTCTACAAAATGTAGAAATTGTGTTTTTTTGTTAAAAGTGGTTTTCCAATAAGTCCCCACAAGATGCCAAAATGCCCTATATCAAAATTCACTTCTATCAAGTTATAGGGTACCCTAAACCTAGTAAGTGCTTCTAAATTTATGATAAGTTAAGTTTTAACCATTATAAAACCTAGTATGTATCTTTAACTATTTCAAAACTCTAGTATGTGTTAGCACATACTAAGTTTTTTAAATTGTCAAATCTAGTTACTAGGTTATGAAGTGAATAAATGTATAGAAACAATATTTTGTGGTTTTCGTAAGACATTAAAATATTGAGTTACTAAGTTTATAGTAGTAGTAAAGGGAAAGATTTTCGCTGTAGTGTAGAAGTTTATCGACAAACAATTAAAAGACTTCATATTTCATTTAATATGCCAAAAGACAATAAGTGTGCGGATTGTTCATTTTTTGAAGTAGAAATTAAGAGAAATACACATAAAGGTACTGAAGTGCCAGAAGATATTTCGACTAAACAAAAAGAGCATCAATAAAAAGTTAAATTAGCAATGGAACCATAGACTAGATCAGGGGTTCCCAAACTTATGTCGTCTAACTTATGCCCACTTTGAGTATTTGACTTAAAATGGTAATCTTTGGAGCAAGGTCCGGGGCGTACGGCGGATGTCTTAGACATTCCAATTGAAGCTCTTCTAATTTGGTAGCCGTCTGTTGTGCAGTGTGTGGTCTAGCGTTATCGTGAAGTAGCAGTGGCGTAGAGCGATTGACCAGCCTCGGTTATTTAACAGCTAGTTTTTCCAGCATGGATTGCACTTGCTGACAATAGACGTCTGCCGTAATCTTCTGGCCAGATTTGAGAAAACTCTAATGAACGACACCGGCACTCGTCCACCGAACGCTTACAAGTAACTTTTTTTGGGGTCAATTTTCGTTTGGGGCAGGATTTGGCTGGGATGCCAAAGTCCAACCATTGCGATGAGCTCTTCCGATTATCGTAGAGAATCAACTTTCCATCACAGGTAATGATTCAATTTAAAAACCCTTCATTATTGTGCCAGTTAAAACACAGTCGAAGTGCGTTTGCCGGTTTGCTTCACTCCATGCGTGAGGTACCCACCTTTCAAGCTTTTTAATCTTTAAAATTTGCTTCAAGTGGATTAAAACAGTTTTATCACTAACACCGCAGCCTGCAGCTAACTCGGACGTGGTTTTCGATGGATCCGCTTTCACAATACCCTTCAATTCTTCATTATAAAACGTTGAAACCAAAAACGTTTCTCAAACATTTTTATTGATGTTGGTATGTAAATAAAATTTGTTAATGGGACAAATTATTGTATGGTAGGTATGCAATACAATAAGTCTATTTCTTTTCAAATAAAACTAGCAATTGTAAGAGTAAAATAATTTTATTCAGAATCTTCCCCGTCTTCCTCTGAGGAACTAGTCGCACCAACTTCTATCACAAAACTGTCAATCTCCTATTGTTACGCTTTTTAGAGCATCGGTTAATGAAGATTTTATTTCATTTAACTTATAACAGAAAACAACAAACTTAACAACTGGAATAAACAAATAACAAGAATTTAACGAAAGCATTTTGCACGAGTCAACGAGTTGATCGAGAGTAAAAATGGCCGGTATAAACCGACAAATTACAAAATTTCACGTTTCTACGTAAAGTATTTAGCTTATCACTACTCCTCAATTTAGTAGTATTATAATACGTCCAATGTTTGGGAACAGATTCAATTTTAGGTGTTTTTAATGTCACTTACTTTTTTCATTCTTTCTAAATTTTATTTTTGACATTTTAAAGAACCTTTTTCCAGTTTGTTTACATTTTGTCTCAGAGGAAGATGAACAGACTATAAATTCCTAGCAATCAATAGTAGCCTTAATTTATAAATATCTTTTTTCCTATATACATTATATTTGTATTATCTTTAACAATGTAATCAGATAGACGCGGTCAGTTTTTTTTTATTAACTTTTTATTTTATTGTTTCTTTTCGTGTAAAGACCACAAACGTGACATTGGCATAATTGTGTAAATCCAAATAGGCAATGAATTAAAAAAGAAGAAGTTGTTGATCGTGTTGTTTTAGGTAAATCCACATTAAAGTTAAGAAGAAGAAGGTAAATCCATGTAGAAAGATAGAATTGGTAATTCAAAAATTGTTTGGTTGAATGAATGAATGTATTTAAATCGTGTAATGGTCTCCTACGTGAAGCTGGGCAGTATTGTGGTGACGCGGTGCCATTAAAGTTAAGAAGAAGAAGAATCTGTGAGTTGTTGTGTCGAATAGAATTTATACACTTTTTTATCTTTGTTGTGTACAAAAAATTGTATCTATTATTAAAATTAAAATAAACATGTTTTATTCCTTTTTCAGAGTATATAAATAATATTTTAAATATTTTTATTTCATCATTGTTATTGGTGTTATTTGGTTGGGATATCTATTAACTACCTTAAATCTATTCTGTAATAAAATTAAATAAGTTTTGGTGAACTTACGATTATGAACACCTTATTGAAAATGAAATTGTTGAGAGGTAGTTCGTACAAAGACAAAATATTGCGGGAAAAACTAAAGGACATGTCAAATTGCATGAGTTTATCAGATTCATATTTACTGAAAAATTGTGGCGTAAATAGATGTGTTTTTCATCAAATCCTAAGAATTTTAGAGCCAGTTGTACCAAAAACACAGAGATCTAATGGTATACCTTTCCCATTAAAGGTAATAGTCAGTCAACTTAATATTTGTAATTAATAACCCACTCTCATAGTAATTTTTAATTTTTGTTACAGGTGTTAGTAACACTCACATTTTTGGCCCATGGTTCTTATCAGAAATCAATTGGTAAAGATTTCAATTTAGATATATCACAAAAGTCTGTTAGTAGAATTATAAAAATCATCATAGAGGGTTTTAACATGTTGCTAGATAAATATATAGAATTCCCAACAATGGCCTTTCAAAGGGAACGAATAAAGGAAGGGTGAGTTTAATTGCATACTTTATGTTACAAAAATAAATATAAATCTTAACACATAATACAGATCAAACCAGATTTTATTAATTCAAAATTGTAATAATTGATGCAGTTCTTAATCATTTATGTATAATAGGTACTAGTATTGTAACATAATAGCTGTTTAGACAATTTTAGTTATACTATGTGTTTGCTATTTGGTGTCAATATGTACAATCAACAGCACATCAGACTAAAAAAAAAACTGTTATATCTACTTGATTTTAAATCTTTACTTTACCCCCAATGCAGGGGTAAAGTCCAAAATCAATTGAGGAAATTTGACATATTGTGGTAGTCTGACTTGCAGCCTTGTGTACAAATACAAAGGCTTGGTTAAAATTTCATCATGAAACAAAAATTAATTTCTAGCCATCACCTTTAGGGATGAAAAGGTATGTATGGTTCAGTGTAAAGACAAAAAGAGAAAGAACGAAAATAATTACTATTTGACATTAATTTTAAATCTCACCCTGCACAAGTTTATATCAGAAGAACAGCCCCCATTATTTCAATTATATGCTTAAGTCACTCATTGCCTCTCAAAAGATGACAACATTACCGCCATTCCGCCATACATGGAGTCTGCCCGCCCATAGGTAGACCTGGCATATTTTTAGTGTAGAAAATTGATTTTATTTTCTTTACAAAGTAATGGTCAGTTGCACAAACGTCCATTAGGGTTTAATGACGCTTTAAAGCTCTATTCAATATGATATTTGTATGGGTTATGTTGTTTTAAATTATGTCAACTTTAATGGACATTTGTGTAACTAGCTGTAAGTTCTTTAACTTCGAAGTTTTAAATTTACATGGACTTTCAGATTTTATAGAAAATATCACTTGTCTGGCACTTATGGATGTATGAATGGTACTTACATTGAAATAGTTTGCCCTAGAGATGATGAAGAGGCATTTTATGATAGAAGAGGACAGTATTCCATTCATGCACAAATTGTAAGTGGTAATAATTCATAGTTTATTAATATAAATATTATATAAATTAGTAATTATTTTTCCAGATTTTATAATACTATTTGTATCAGAAAATCACATTTTATATACACATGACTGTACCTCAGCTAACCACAATATGTCTTTCTTCAATTGATTTCAAATGCTAGCCCCAAAGCATTAAGGTTTAAAACCTACGCTAATATCGACATAAGTAACATTAAATTACATAATCACGATTATTTAAATAATCCAAATTACATTTTAAATACAAATTACATATTCAATAAATATTTTATAAATTTGACTAATAGCAATGACTTTGACAGTAAAAATAATCACAAAAGTGCCTTAAGTAATATACCATTTCACTATAACTCGATTTATCTAAGACCAACAAATGATAAGGAAGTTTCCAATATAATAATGAGCCTTAAAAATACTTCGTCGACGGGATAAAGTGACATTAATACTAAAATTATAAAACAAATAATCAATGACATACTTCGCCCTCAGATAGAATATAATTTTTTTTTAACACATACAAGATATTCGGTTACAACAATTCGGTTTTAGGAAATCCAAATCCACAACACTGGCCTGCTTTGAACTTATAAAAATGTTACTCAAGGTTTTGACGTTGGAATGAATACTCTCGCGATATTTCTAGACATACCTAAGGCTTATGATTACGTTTCTCATTCTCTCCTATTGAAAAAACTTGAAAGATATGGGATAAGAGGGATAGCTATGTCATGGATAGAAAGTATTTGAAAGATAGGCAACAATGTGTACAGATTTCAAATATTTAAAAAAATAAAAAAGTTGTATGCCAATCCACTTATCACGTAAATAAGACAGGAGTGCCACAAAGAAGTGTGCTGGGCCCTTTTACTCTTCCTAATCTACATAAATGACCTCCCAGATATGACGGAACATAAATGTATACTATTTGCCGATGATACAACACTTATTGTAAAATGTCGAAATATTACATAATGAAATAAGTGAAGTTACAAATAAATCCCTCTGTAAGATAATGGAATGGTTAAACGTAAATAAAAAGTAAATTTAGATTAGACTAAATATATATTATTTAAAACACGTAATATTAATAATTGTAACATTAATAACAATAATATGGATATTAATTATAACTCTGAAAAAATCAATGAAGCAGATATGACGAAATTTCTGGGTATAACAATTGATGATCAATATAACTGGATAATACTTATAGACTCAATGATGCTTAAACTTGACAGATTTGTATTTGTGCTAAGGAGAATAAGAAAAACTGTATCTGAACTGCAGCTATAACAGGCTATCATGGATATGTAGCATCTGTTATGGTATAGCATTATTTTATGGGGAAACTCAGTTGAAAGTGACAAAGTCTTTATTAAAAAAAAATGTATAAGATCTATTTGTGGTGCTGGATTTTTGGACTCATGTAAGCCAGTTTTTTTAAATCTGAATATTCTTCCTTTGCCATGTCTATATATTTATGAAATAGCAAAATTTGTAAAAAAAAGTATATGGTTCTATTTGAAATGAATGGTAATAACTGTAATTATAGGGGTAGATATAAAGATAATTTGTGTGTGCCACCACAAAAATGGACTCTTTATTTCAAAAATGCATTTTGTATGGCTATATGTTTTTACAATAAGCTGCCAAAACACCTCACTGACATGACTTTGACGAAGTTCCAAAAACAACTGCATGAATATTTAATAAATAAAATGTATTATAATATTAATGACTTCTTAATGGATAAAATTGGTATTTAAATTGAGATGACATTTAATTTGAAATTTGTAATGATAATTGTAAATAGATTATTATGGTTGAATGGTTAATTATTGACATCATCTATACTGTAACATTATTCTCTGTTTTCATGTAATAACATTTAAAAATAAAAATATTTGCAAACTGTTCATATACTGTAGAATGTGAGAAACTATTGTTAATAACTGTGTAACATCATTTGTACCATATTCTTGCAAATAAAAAATTATTATTATTATTATATATACTCCTAGTGGGTAGTAGGTTTGCTTACTCCCTGTATAATATGAGTTTGTACTAATTCTAAAATTGCGATTTTAGAGTAAAATTACTTTGACGCTAAAGCTTATTTATTAATAGCACTGTAAGAGACCAAGATTTAGGGCCAGTTTCACCGGTTACTGATAAAGTTTCAGATAGTTATCTGATAGTTAACGCTATCTACCGGATAAAGGTTGCTGTTAACTTTTTTCTGTTTCACCATCAAACTGCTAGATAATTTATCTGGCAGATAAGTTATCGGCCACTTATTAGTTGACGGAACGGCAACGTCGCTTTTTTGCGTTTCAATACTACGACCCAAATTATCGTCAATCAAAAATCATTTTTAAAACTTAATTAATATATTTTTTTTATGTTCAATATTATTTAAGTAAACTTTTTTCACATATTTTGAATTATAATTTTATGATTCTAGAATGAAAATAATACGATATTCGTATACTTAGCTACGTGTTTACAGAAACGAAACGCAACTGTCATATGTTTTGCTTTGTTGATATTTTGTGTTTAAAATCTTTCATTCATTTCATTTTCATATTTCATGTAAAATTAATTTATTTACTTGACATTGGCAGAATTGTGCGAAATGCGCAGATAAGCCATTAATTTAAAAAAAAGAAGAAGAAGACGCTTTTCATTTTTTAAACTTTTCTTTGTGTATTCTTTTCGTATTTGTTAATTAATAATGGAAAAACAAAAACGTGAAAGAAGTGTGAATTTTAATCAAGAAGAAACGGAGCTTCTTTATTTTTTACTTAGTAGCCCGTTGTAGTTTTTATATCACTTTCTATTAACGATAAAATATAAACAACAGCCCGTTCGGTAAGCCGAAATCGATTCCTAAAAATCTTGATCGTCAAGTGATTCTAAATAATTAGGTCTAGGGTTGATTACTCGATTTCTACGGGTCGCGTAATATGTTCGAAATATTCATCTAATTCGTATTCTAAAAACTCAAATAAATCCATTTTAGAATATTTGTGACACTCGTGACTGCAATCGACGCAAAGCACACAATAATGGTCTAAAACTAAAACTATTTACGTTCCCGCTACTTGAAACTTTTTTTTATCTATCAGATAACGTCTATATCAGCCACTTGAACCGGCTGATAACATATCTAACACTTTATCTGCCAGATATTTTTATCCGAGACCTGTGAAACCAAAAGTTATAGTTTATCTGGCAGATAAGTTCCTGATAGACTATCAGGGACTTTATCAGCAACCGGTGAAACCGGCCCTTAGACTATCTATTTAAATTATATATATCTAAATAATATCTTTTATTGAAAAAATATTTAAAATGTTTTGAGGGTTACCCTATTTACTACATATAACAATAAAATGATTCTTAAAATATATGAATTTCCAGATATGTGATGCAGATTCAAGAATTATTGCAATATGTAGTAGGTTTGGCGGAGCAGCCAGCAGTGCCTATATTTGGAATAAAATGAACATAAGACCGTTTGTTGAATATATCAATAACCAAGGAGAATCAGGCTGGCTTGTCGGTAAGTTTGCAAAGTCGTTTCTCGCTGTCTGTACACTGAGGTCTTTTAAACAGATATTAATGCAGTTTTTATCAATATACATTGATTCAAAAGGAAGATTCGTATGTATAACACAGGACGATGTGGGCGAAGCCATTGGTTAGCTAGTAGAAATGGAAAAAACATGAAATTGCAATTTTGCATTTTTTACAGCTGACAATAAATATCCACAAAGGGCATGGCTAATGACTCCCATTGCACATGCTCCTCATGGGTCTCCAGAATCGCAGTACAACCACTTCCTCCGATGTACTAAATCATCTATAGACAGATGCATCGGTAAACTGAAGGGCAGATGGCAATGTCTTCACCGGAGACCACTGCATTATACACCTCAAAGAGCTGCAAAAATCATAAACGCATGTGCTATACTCCACAATTTGTGCATCAGAGCTGATCTACCAGATCCAGAACTTTTTACAGACTCAGACTCAACAATAGTGTCGAATGAGGTCACTGAAATGCCCGATGATAATGTACATGACCTCCATACAGGCATAGAAGTTAGGAGGCAACTTGTAGAGAGAATTTATTACAGTGTTTAAAACTATTGTTTTATTACATACCGAAAGTAACTTTAGAAAAATTAGTTCAATCAAATCAGATAGGATTTAATATGAGAAGAAAAATAAAAGATACAAAATAAAAATAACCCTTAGTAAAAAGACTGAGGGCCGGTTTCACCGGTTGCTGATAAAGTCCCTGATAGTCTATCAGGAACTTATCTGCCAGATAAACTATAACTTTTGGTTTCACAGGTCTCGGATAAAAATATCTGGCAGATAAAGTGTTAGATATGTTATCAGCCGATTCAAGTGGCTGATATAGACGTTATCTGATAGATAAAAAAAAGTTTCAAGTAGCGGGAACGAAAATAATTTTAGTTTTAGACCATTATTGTGTGCTTTGCGTCGATTGCAGTCACGAGTGTCACAAATATTCTAAAATGGATTTATTTGAGTTTTTAGAAGACGAATTAGATGAATATTTCGAACATATTACACGACCCCGTAGAAATCGAGTAATTAACCCTAGACCTAATTATTTAGAATCACTTGACGATCAAGATTTTTAGGAATCTATTTCGGCTTACCAAACGGACTGTTGCTTATATTTTATCGTTAATAGAAAGTGATATAAAAACTACAACGGGCTACTAAGTAAAAAATAAAGAAGCTCCGTTTCTTCTTGATTAAAATTCACACTTCTTTCACGTTTTTGTTTTTCCATTATTAATTAATAAATACGAAAAGAATACACAAAGAAAAGTTTAAAAAATGAAAAGCGTCTTCTTCTTCTTTTTTTTAATTAATGCCTTATCTGCGCATTTCGCACAATTCTGCCAATGTCAAGTAAATAAATTAATTTTACATGAAATATGAAAATGAAATGAATGAAAGATTTTAAGCACAAAATATCAACAAAGCAAAACATATGACAGTTGCGTTTCGTTTTTGTAAACACGTAGCTAAGTATACGAATATCGTATTATTTTCATTCTAGAATCATAAAATTATAATTCAAAATATGTGAAAAAAGTTTACTTAAATAATATTGAACATAAAAAAAATATATTAATTAAGTTTTAAAAATGATTTTTGATTGACGATAATTTGGGTCGTAGTATTGAAACGCAAAAAAGCGACGTTGCCGTTCCGTCAACTAATAAGTGGCCGATAACTTATCTGCCAGATAAATTATCTAGCAGTTTGATGGTGAAACAGAAAAAAGTTAACAGCAACCTTTATCCGGTAGATAGCGTTAACTATCAGATAACTATCTGAAGCTTTATCAGTAACCGGTGAAACTGGCCCTTAATAGGTTAATTATATTACATGTATATTATTAATTATTAAGAGACTATTTCTCGTAATATTCATTTAATATTGATATAATGTAATTTATTGTAAACAAATAAAAATTATAGTCCAATTTATTGTCTTTTTATATTCATATTTTGCAGTGGAGTGCTGTACTAGTACTTATTATGAAACTGAAGAAACCTGATGGGTTATGGGTTAATGTCGTCTAAAATAAAAAAAAAACTTTTTTAATAATAAATTTAATATTAATGCATTAGTATTTGCATCTGTGCTAATTGGCTGTAGGTATCTCCGGGCATTCTGTATGTAATGTTGCCAGCAAATGTGTTGAGCACTTCTGCCTGCTCACGAAGCCACTCAACTTGCTGCAAAAATAAATATGTATGTATTAATTACATATTTTACGCATAGCAAGTAGGATGCGAACGCGGATGTTTGGTGATTTAAATAAAGTACTTGTTTACTTAGCAACCAAATTAATAAATGCTAATGTTTCTCAGGCGCTCGCACGCCGAAAAAAAAAGTATCTCCTGTTAATAAGGAATCAGTTATGGTTAATGTCTTCCATCTACAGCGACTTGCCTCGATTTCAGTCATATAATAACTCCGTGTAAACACAGTTTAAAGTTTGATCACCAATCGGACGACAGCATTTCATACAATCGTAAAAAAAATAAATATAGTACAATTTTCGAGAGCAAAAATTTGCATAGAATTTCCATCGCTTGTAACAGTATTTAATCCGCACATATGACACGGCAGCCGGCTCCTTCCGGCTAATGTGACACGAAAACATTTACCAGTCGCTGAGGGTATTGTAGTGTATTTGCACTAACCAGTTTCCAGTAGATGTAGCATCTGCGGCCGCGGTCAGCTAAGTCCGGTTAGTGGACATCGTACTTTAGGGTCTCTGCTCACCCTGCTGCATAGCATCTCTGCATACCCCATACTATAGTGTCTCTGCTCACCCCGCGACATGTGTATCTACTCACTCTACGTAGTGTGTCTGCTTATCCGCTCATCAAGTCTGTTTATCCCGCGCTAGTACGCAGCAGCTCGCCGCGCATCTGACATGTACACAGTACGTATGTGTGGTGTGTGGGGTGTACAGTGACCTTGTTGTTGTGGTGTTGCGGCGCGGCCCGCAGCCTGGCTCGCTGCGCCAGTAGTATAGTGCACAGCGCCCGCAGCACCGGCGGCAGTGTACGCAGCAGCTCGCCGCGCATCTGACATGTACACAGTACTAGTGTGTAGGTGTGGGGTCTACAGTGACCTTGTTGTTGTGGTGTTGCGGCGCGGCCCGCAGCCTGGCTCGCTGCGCCAGTAGTATAGTGCACAGCGCCCGCAGCACCGGCGGCAGTGTACGCAGCAGCTCGCCGCGCATCTGACATGTCCACAGTACGTGTGTAGTGTGTGGGGTGTACAGTGACCTTGTTGTTGTGGTGTTGCGGCGCGGCCCGCAGCCTGGCTCGCTGCGCCAGTAGTATAGTGCACAGCGCCCGCAGCACCGGCGGCAGTGTACGCAGCAGCTCGCCGCGCATCTGACATGTACACAGTACGTGTGTAGTGTGTGGGGTGTACAGTGACCTTGTTGTTGTGGTGTTGCGGCGCGGCCCGCAGCCTGGCCCGCTGCGCCAGTAGTATAGTGCACAGCGCCCGCAGCACCGGCGGCAGTGTACGCAGCAGCTCGCCGCGCATCTGACATGTCCACAGTACGTATGTGTGTAGTGTGTGGGGTGTACAGTGACCTTGTTGTTGTGGTGTTGCGGCGCGGCCCGCAGCCTGGCTCGCTGCGCCAGTAGTATAGTGCACAGCGCCCGCAGCACCGGCGGCAGTGTACGCAGCAGCTCGCCGCGCATCTGCCGCGCGCCACTCACGCGCGCCTCCAACTCGCTCGCGCTCAACGGCACCAACTCGCACTCGCGTAACGTCTGCACAATATAGTTGATGTCAATGATATTAATATGTCTAGATACGCAATACATACCCAAAATATGAAGCTACTAAAACTAAGACGTTTTTTCGTTTTTCATTTCAATACTCATTCAACTCTCACCGATTTTGTTAACTTTAACAAATGTTTTCTCTTAAAAACTGACTTCATCGAAAAACAAAGGGATTTATATGCACAGAGCCTACTTTCGTGATTGTTTTCTTTTCAAAGTTTTTTCAAATAACTATTCAAAGTTACAGTATTTTTCTAATTGATTTTATACATATATCTACATTACTTGTTCATTCATTCATTCATCAAAATGGGTGAATTTTCGAGAGCTGGCAATACAATATCAATTACCCATTTTTCCGTTCATTCTATCGTTCGCACATATTCTGTCTTTGTTTAATTTAAGGTTTAACCGTAGATATGAGAGAGACAAATATAATAAACCTATTTATATTATATAGTAATATTATTTGCAAAGCTACGTGCCGATTTCGGGAAAGTGCTTCGCTTTTTGGCGCGTCTGTGGTATGGAATTCCTTCTTTAGTTATTAAACTCATTGGTTGATGTTAAGCAATATCACACAGCGTGACCAGACCACTAGCTGAGCAATTGAAGAAAAAAGTCAGGACTAGAGTTAGGGTAGGGTCGCGAACTTATTTATCGAAATTAGTGGAGATGCACCAAGTTATATTACCAAATAATAATCTATAGTAGTCCATCCGATACAACTGTGCCAAAAATGTTCTAGCGCAATCCCGAGTCCGCAAATACCGGGATCAAAAATATCTAGTCCAACATAACAGCCCTATACCCAATTTCACATATCCACGCTGCTGTCAAAAAGAGTTTTATTATATGTTCTCGTCTTGCTATCGCCTCCAATCGAATGTCGCTTAAAGTGCATAGAAATTTCATAATATATCGTTCATACTGATCATCAACGGAAAAGTTAATCGAAAACTACTATAGGTACGACAAATTCATCTATGCATAGTATAAAAAAACTTAAAAAAGATAAATAACATTTATCTCAAAAGCTACTTATTTAAGAAAATGCTATTAAAGTCTGGAAAGCAGAGGTCGAGGATTCCGTAGGTTATTAATTAAATGATAGGTGCCCGTCTTCAATAGCATTTTCTTGAATGAGTAGCTTTTGGGATAAATATTATTTTTTAACTTGAAGTCGGTTCTATTTTTTAATGTTTTTATTACATCCTTTTACACTTTTTTTTATAATAGGTAACACTAAAAAAAAATATATAAATCAAAATAGTGAAGTCTTAGAAAAGAAGATTTTGTTTATTTGCTCGGCATAACTTTTTCCAATAAATCTATACTCAAATTATAAAGAGGAAAGATTTGTTTGCACTGGATAGGCTCTGAAACTAATGGACCGATCTATGAAAGACTTCTATGAGAAGCTACTTAATACGAATTGGATATAGGCTATAATTTGCCACGAACCACGAAGGCGAAGCCGCTGGCGAAAAGCTAGTACTAAACAAATCGTTGAATGGCAATTGCCAAAAAAACAAGTATTAAGATACGAAAAGACTAACCTCGAGCGCTCCATCGTAGTTCTCAGAGTGGAATCGATCGAAGAACGTCATCAGTTTGCATAGTTTCGTGTAGGCCTCCACCAGTGCAGCGGGCAGGGCCGTGGAATCGGCCCGCAGTCGCCGCGACACGTGGTCCGCGAGCAACGAGAGCCGCTGCCGAAGCCCTGAGGCTCCGCCCCCGCCACTGCCCACCACTTGCGCCAATAGCACGCAGAACAGCTCCAGAACTTTCTCCAAATTCTAAGCAAGCAAAATAAATGAATTTAACGAATGCAAATAATTTGATGTACTCTTTGACTGTACACCCGGCTGGACATCAGACTACCACGATATATCAAAGTTCCACTATTGATTTTGAACTTTTGCTGTCAATGCATTAAGATTTAAAATCTAATGGAGAAATTTGACAATTGAATACATAATTAGGATTCGGAAACAAAGATGACTAAGAAAATAAAGATAATCTTATATAGCATAAATATTTTTCTTATTATATTATAATATGCTCACCCCGGCGATGTCGTACATTGTAATGGCATCCTCGAATAAACCTTTATTTACTAATTGTTCAGCAACGTACAATGCTATAACCTGAAATGAAATATTTTTAAATTATGAGATCCTTATGGTATAGACTAATTCCCAAATAATGAAAGTCATCATCAGTTTTTAATTTACAAAATACAAATTTATAATACAAAACAGTTTTATAATTACAATTAGAAAATGAAATTTAAAAAATCATTAGTATAAACTAATTAAATACAATCCAATATCCAAATTAAATGTAAATAAAATCCACGAATTTATATTATAAATAAAATTAAAAAGTTAAATTGAGATATAAATACATCAATTAACTTTCATAAATAAATTATATAAGCGGATACTATGTCAAGCATAGATAGATCTTTTTGTATACTCTAAACAAATTTCCTATTATAAACTATGGCACTGTTATTATAAAACGCGGACTTAAGTTAGTACTTGGTTTAAAACATTGGCTACCATTAAATAGACCGTTATGCAGAGCCTTTGTAAATAAAGACACATTGACTAATTTTGGTCGGATAATAGTTTAAGCCCGGCATTAATCCTCATTTTATAGACAGTGGTAGTTTAGAAATAACATATCGAAGCTGAAAAACAAACACGTAGCAAGCTCTAATTTTTCTTTCAAGCATAATAAAAAAAAATTAAGCACAATTAAAAGTTCTTACTTAGGGTTACCAAGGATGAAAATAAAGTTATTCTGCTCTGAACAGTTTTGGTTTTTCATCGGTATGTGTGTGTATACCTTAGTGTCGATATGCGGATTATTGAACTGGTCCAGTAGCCCGGATGATCGCAGGCCGGTCAGCGCGTCCACGCGACCGAACAATAACTCGTAATCACGACTCTCCAACGCCAAGTCAGTGCAACAACACATGAAAAGGTTCTTGCCGCTCGGATCCTTCAGGTTTCTACAAACAATAATGATATTATTCTAAAAAAATGGTCAAGTACACACGGCTGCACGTCAGATTATTAAAACGATAAGTATTAAATAAAACAGCTTTTTGAACTGATGTAGCGTGGTAAAATTTGATTTCATTGTTACAGACCCTTTCCGTGTTCACTTGAGACTGAGATATCGATTGCTTTTTAAATTAAGATTATTGCTACTTTTAATACAATACTTGTGACATATTCACAATACATAAAACTTATATATATCGCACACCTAGATCTAAACTGAGACAACTCAAAAATTTGAGCGAGTTTTGACTTAGTACAATATTCAAATACTTGGTGATCATACGCATCTATCCAACATAACAGATTCAATAAAGGTTCGGGGATGAACCGCTAGATAACTTTAGCTTTCTTTTGTTGAATCTACAGTGGTCGCGCTCCTGCTATGTTAACAAATGTATTGTCAAACCTCAAAATTAGTTTTTTGAGTTGTCTTAGTTTAGATCTAGGTGTGCGATATATATATTTCAGTAGAGACGTTTACATTCATTAAATTACATTACAAAATATATATGAAATTTCGCATGAAAACAAAATCAAGAAAGATTAATAAGTGTTTCACTTAATTGATATTTTACAAAAGTTACTGGTGGATTCTGCTGATGCTCACTTGGTGTTTAATTAAGCTTACACTTAATATTTATATTTCGATGTATGTCATTACCAGTGGTCGGAATTAGGTAGAGTTATTCATGTACTTACACTGATTTCATACAGCGAAAGAATATAGTGGATATGCCTCAAATCCCGAGATTAATTTTAAAGAGCAGAAAAAATTTCATGATTTTTTTAATAAAAAGTTATTTACTTTTACACAATTTAAAACTACTGCACGCACAACGTTGCCAAACTTACATCAATGAAAGAAAGAAATAAAGAAATCCCGGGAAGGTCCACATTAATATCAACATTTCGATGCAAGTACATAAATAACTCTACCTAATTCCGACCTCTGGTCAATATATACACTCAAAATTATTTTGCATTTCTCAATCGAGTGACTTACTACCGATTATTTTTGAAAAAAAAAACTAAGAGTTGACATGAATTGTATGTTTGTATAAAATACATAGTAACATACTTTTTGAACTGAATCTAAAGTACAGTTTGTTAGTCACAATGATAGCAAACTTACCTCAAAAAGAAGTAGTAATGTAGAGCTTCAGATGGGTCAGTTAATTCAAACTTTCTGACGTAGAGAAGCAGCAGACGTGCCAAGTTAAGACGTCGAAGTGGAGTGGGATCATCAGTGTCCACCGATACTACAATCATAATATAATATACATATAATATAAAACTACAGGCAACAGCAAATTATTAAAAACTACCAAATTGACTCTCTAGGCGCAGAAATTTCCATTCGCGAAAGAAATTCCGCGACAATGAATGGAACTTATTTTTATAGAACAATGTTAAATTTAGTTTAGAAGACGTTAATTTGTTTTTAAGATAAAAAATAATGTTTTTGTTTTGATTATTACTTTATTAGTAAATACTTATTGTGATATTAGATAACAACTTAAACAAGTAATTTTACTTTTTAATATTTAAAAAAACATGAATGGATATATTACGTCTAGTTAGACCTCATCAAATAAATAAACACCTCATCTATTTTTAGTACTTTTAAGGCACAATTATTTGTTCCTTTTAATGAGGGGATTGAGATGATGATTTGAGACTTATCATGATGAAAATGTAATACTGAATAGCTTTGTGATTTAAAGATAAGAAAATAAAGATTGACTGATTATAAAAAGTTTTCTTTATTTTTCCCTCAAAATATGATCTTTGCCGAAAATCGGTTTCATCTTTGTAAGGAAGTTTCGGTTTGGGCCGAAACTGAGACCGTTGCCGAAATTAGGTTTCGGTTGGAAAACCAGTTTCGGTCGGACACTATATATTGCAGTAAATTTTTTTTAACTTACACAAGGGTGCTTGGACATTTCGTGGAGTGCCTAGCATGTAGACGTCATGTAATGCCATTGCCATATGAACACCATGTACTTGATACCTAAAAGAATAAATTGATATTTTTAAAATGACCCCACCCTTTTTAATAACTCGACTGTAAAATACTGTGATCATCATACATTTTTACATTTTGACAAGTACAAACCTTGGAATCCTTGACAGGAATTCGATGGCTGGTTCGAATTGCCCAGTCAAGGTCAGCACTTGGAAATACACTAGAGGTTTTTCATAGGCGTGGTAGTGGGTCTCACCTGTTAATAATACGATGATTAGTATTAGAGGGCGCATACGTCCAAAATCACGACTTACAACTGGTTTTGTATAAAAATAACAAAAACTATATCACATTTCTTTAACGACAACTACAACATATTTCCATAACGAAAGTACATAATTTTTTAAAGGAAATAATTACAATGTTACATCTAAAACAACCATTTTTTCCCTACATTGCTTTAAAAAACGCATTTCATAAGAAAAGTTTATAAAACTACGAGTCACTTTTTAGCTGAGGAATTATGTATGACTTTTCAAATAACCATAATAGTTTGTGAGTAATAAGTTAAAACCGGATTTTGCAAAGCAATTATCTATGCTGTCTGTCTTATTACAGATGCTGTATCTATGCTGTCTTTTTGCGCTGCGCAAAAACGATTTTATTTGGAATCATAAAACACAAGCATTGTGGGGGTAAAATCTATAGCCGTTTAGATTAATGGCAGTTATGCATTATTCGATTTATGAATGCATCTTTTATTTTTCCTAACCTTTATAAAAGGTTTTGGTGTCAGAAAAGATCTTTATCGTTTCTCTCTGCCTACCCCGAAGGGATAAATAGATAAACATACCATATTCTTCTAAAATAAGTTTCTGTAGATCCGAATAAGAGAAGAATTCTCCTTCTGTGTCCGAGCGTGACTTTATCAGGGACAGTTTCAACCAGAGGTAGTCATCAGCCGTGCGCGCCACCTCCGTATGTTCATCGCTCGCGTCGCAGTAACCGACCACACAATACACCTACAGTAGACAAAAACTACACATAACTACATATACAGATGAAATCTTTGTTTATGCACACTGACAAACAATTGTCATGATAGATAGATTATAAGCTATCTTGTTCCAATAACAATAAGGTGTACAATACAACGCACTACAAGTCTCTACCTACGGCAAACGAAAAAATCTACATCCAATTTTTGTCTAAGATCGATCTACGAAAACCTCAAAAAAAAAACATGTTTGTTGTATGGGGCCTCTCTTATATATATTTATATTATCCTGTTTTTAGTATTTTTTGTTATATTGGCAATACATCATCTGTGAAATTTCAACTATCTAATTTCACAGCTCATAAGATAGTCTGGTGACAGGCAGAATCATAGTCATAGGCTTTCCGTTTTTACATACTAAAAATGGTCAACGACACAATATAATATAAGCGTTGAAAAAAAAATATATAACTTGCTAGTAGCTATCTTGTTCCAATGACAATAAGGTGTACAATACAACGCACTACAAGTCTCTACCTACGGCAAACGAAAAAATCTACATCCAATTTTTGTCTGATGATCAATCTACAAAAAACTCAAAAAAAAACATGTTTGTTGTGGGGCTCTCTTATATATTTAAATTATCTTGTTTTTTGTTATATCGGTAATAGAAATACATCATCTGTGAAATTTCAACTATCTAATTTCACAGCTCATAAGATAGTCTGGTGAATTTTAGAATAGAATTTTAGTCATAGGCTTTCCAATATTATATAAGCGTAAGTCAACGACACAATATTATATATAACCTCTACATTGATCTCTCCACATCAATTCATAAAAACTTGTGTTGCTTGACATAAAAGACTAAGTTTGCATCACTTGTACTTACTGCTCGTTTGTAGGGATCTGTGGAGTTCCGCACTTGAATTCTATATTGGAAATTTATGGCAGTTTGCACTTTATCACTAAGGGGTTTCTCAGGATTTCTTATGTATTCTTCTAATGCTGCAACAAACTCCTCGTGGTCTCGTCTGGAATAACAAATTAATAATAAAATAGTTTTTAAATGTTTGCAAGCAAAGTAGTTTACATTGCGTTCACTGAAGGTAGAAGTATTATATAACTGTTAATACACACAGCAGCACATCAGATTGGTGGTCTCCATAGCGAGATACTTGAATCATTCTGATTGGCCGACATTTGCCGTGCTTTGAAAATTAGGCTCCAGTTGTACCTTACTGTAACACTCCGACTTTAGGAGACTAACGACCGTATAATGCGACCAATTTAGCAGTCAACAACTAATAACAGTTGCTACTGCATTATATTATTAGTGTTCCTGGGGTATTGATGGTCATTGTAGTGGTTATCTTCAGAACTAGTTGAGATCATTTAATGATTATCAACAAACACAGAGTAGCTCGGTGGCGCAAGGGTCGGTCACGGGATGGGTGACCAAAAAATTATTATCTCGAGCTACTCCGTGTTTCGGATAGCATGTTAAGCTGTTGGTTCCGGCTTCATTTGCAATCGTTAATACCCTCCAATGGGCATTTGGCCAGCATGGAGGGTCATGGCCCATCCTCCTTAACCATCCATAAGGAAGGCCTGAGACCCTGCAGTGGGAACGTAAAAGGGCTGATGATGATGATGGAACAAACACTAACCCAGCTTTCCTCAAGCAATGCATCGCCGCATTAGCGTCTCCGCTACGCAAGCAATAGTAGACCATCGGCCACAGCGGACGGTCGTCGATGACGCCATCCGTGAGGCCTTGCACGCCTTGTCCTTGTAGCCGGAGCCCCACGAACCCTCGTACTAGAGGATAAGTGCCTGGTTCTCCACCGCGCATTGCCGCTGCAGGGTTAGCGCGGACCACGTCGCTCATATACTGCTTGTATCTATATTATCAAATGGTAGTCACTTCAAAAACTAAAACATTAACCTAAATTTGTAAAAACATCTTACTAAAAAGTAAAAAAAGTTATGAATTTTGCAATTTAATTAGGAATTCTGCTGGTTAGGTAATATTACTATAGGTCTACTGCTTTCTCAGGACATGTTCCGGTTTAAACCGGTTATAAGCAACGTCTGGATTTTAAATATTTTTTAATAAGATGAAATAAAGAAATATATATTTTTATTATTACATATTGAAAAATATTCTTAATGAAAAATACTTAAAGAGCAGTTGCGAAAGGTCATGGGCTTGAGTCCCATCTCAGTGTGTCAGGGACAGTCTTTGTTTTAATTGATGTCTATTCAATCAATGAAATTTAAAAACACTACATTAAATTATGTAAATCGAATGTGGCTGTTGATCAGTTGTCAATTAAGGTATAATGATGCCATTAAGCTCTAATTAATGTCAATTGGTATGGGTAATGTTGCTTTTGCAACTAGCTGTACAAGGCCTCTAAGTGAGGCCTTTGCCAAAGAGCAAGGAGATTAGGAATAAACAGTGATGAATTATTAGTAGATGTTAGTCTAAATAAAGGTTTATTTATGATATTATGAAATTATTAGTACTTGAAATTATTTATTACAATTGCCTTAACTTTCAAACTTTAATCATAGTCTAAATTGAAATTTGGGGTTGACTACCTTAGGTTAGTATTATAAACAAATTTTAAGTATAAAATCACTTTTCTGATTGGCCAAATTTACTTTTTGGACATTGTACACAAAGCAAAATTAATATTCATTTATATATTTTTTTTGTCTTCACATTTTTAATAAGTTTTGGAAATATTGTAGAAATCTTGCTGCAGGGTCCTCTACAACTAGAAAAACTTTGAAAATCGTCAATAAAAATAAAAAGATGGAAACCCCTGTTTTAAAGCCATTTTAAATAACTACTGTATCAAGCTTGCCTCAAGCATTACCTTCATCTTTATATTTGTACATAAATAATAAAAAATCTATATATATTTAACAAATTATATATTTTAAATACCCACCTCTTTTCCAAATATTTTTTTCCTTGTGCAATCAAACATTGTTGTATGGTAGGATTGCCCCTTGCTTTGAGAGGATCTTCATCCCTGACTAAAGCAGGGATATTAGCCATTGTCTTAATAACTTCCCACATTTCTTTTACTTTCTAAAATAAAGACAAATGATATAAAATTGAAATGAGGAATTTATTGACTGCTGTGATTCTATGGTATCATTGTTTTAGGTCCTAGATTAAATTTCAACAGTATCAATGTAGAAAATTTACTTTTCTATCTCAGGTTGATGCAGAAACTTTATTGCATTAAGCACTTACCATGAGATTTGAGCAATAAGTGTAATAATAAAATTGTATTACATTCATTATTAAAATATATAGCACACAAACTAATTAGTATTATTCTATAAACATTTAATAAAGAAAGTTTAGTTTTACAATAGAATCTCAATTATCTGAACCATGATTATCTGGACATCTGATAATTTAGACACATACATCTCAGCTTAACTTAAAAAATTGACAGCACAACTAATCATGTTATGGAATGTTTATCGTTGACTGTCACTGTGATCCTCCGATCCAATTGTGTACTCCAGCTCTCATTTATTATCACTTGACAGACAACATATTGGGCACAAATGTATGCCATCTAACAAAAACTTTTAAACTTTTAGAAACATCTAGAGCTTTGAAAGACATGACAAATGATATCCCATACAGTTTTACATAACACATCAGGGACAGGCATTATGAAAAGATGTGATTCATTACATCAAAGCAAAGATCAATAACACTTTATTCCGAACCAAAATTATAAATAACCTAGGTATTAGTAATTTACTCTCGATATAGCTCTCTTTTTTTATAGCAATGAATGGAAAAAATATCATAATAAAATTGTTTTGACCAAAAAAATTTACTAATGCATCTAATGATGTGATAAGTATATCTTAAAATGTAGCTTATTTTTTCCTTAATTCATATTATGGAAATCTTAAAATAAAGTCAGAATCAATTGCAAAACTGATAGATATTTTCAAAAAGTTATCCATAAGCAATTCAATATAATTGATCCAGATAATTAGGATTCTACTGTATATAAAAGTCAGACATACAGGATCATTAAATTCCTCTGCTGCTTGTGCAAACTTCTGATGCAGTGCTGTCCTAGATTTGGACCCTTGGAACACATATTTATTGTACTGGTGCACCTGCCGTGCATATGCAACTTCAACATTATCCAGCATAGAATGGCCAAACTTCTTAGGTGTGTCAGCTATACTTGGAGGTTCAGGAGTGCGTTTCAAGTCCAACCAATTCTGAGATGGTCCTATCATTGCATTCATCACTTTTATTTTCTCTCTATTCCATTCAGACATCATGTGCTCCCACTTTTGATCTTCGGTTGTTTGAAGAGACTTAAATAAAAAAATTATTTTAAAAATACATTAGAATGCACTTTTTTCAAAATACATGATTGAAAATCGATATGATGTAATTTAGCTGAAATTCAATACAACAAAAATGAATCATACTTACATTTTTATTAACTTCATCAATAATTGACAATATGGCATTTTCTCTTTCATTTCTTAGAAAACTTTCAATATCTGAATCTGCAATCGGTTGTAAAGGTTCAAAAGTGCGCTTGGAGCTTAGAGTTTCTAACTTTTGAGATATTTGTTGTAAATCTATTCCTTTGGAACCAAACAAAAGGTGCCTGGAAGCATTTAAAAGTAATTGCTCATTACTCTGAAATTACAAATGGGTAGAGATAAATATAAACTGAACTTGAAACAAACAGAATGTCTAAAGGCTAAGTGAAAAACGATATAATGTACATTTTTCAGTAACTAATTTAAAATATATGAAGTATTATTGGCAAACAATATTTAACAATCACAATACATACGCTTGAATGTCGTTAGCGCCAGACTGTATAACTCTCGAATATAACTCTTGCGACGCTTCGAGTACTTGACCAAGTGAACGCTCTACTCGGGGTAGTTCTTCATTGCCTTCGATTTCAGTTGTTAATTGTTCTGCTTGTTGTAATAATTTGCTAAAATCTTCGTCCGCCATGGCTTTTATAGGTTAAGTATGTTAAAGGGTTATGTTAAAAGTTATTATCAAATCTATTTTATATAAACTGCAATGCACTAATATTTTTCAATAAGATAACTCAAAGAAAATTCAAATTTTGTAAAAACTTTATCAAATAATAATGTTGAACTCTTGCAAATAAATAAACAACCGGTGAAGTCCTTAATCTGGCGCCTATTTAATTTGACATTTATTATCAAAGACCAGTGTTGTCACGATAAAATTATGTGTATTTTTATCATTCGTTAAGATTTGAAAAATAATGAGTTGAATCGAAACATATATATTTTATCAATATTAAAGACAGCATCGTAATGAGGAAGTATTTATAAAAAAATATTCCCGAAATTAAACTAGATGTAGCTACGGTACTTTCTTGATTTCTCCATGACAACCTTTCCAACTTCAGATAGAATATGATCAACTCATATTCTATCTGAAACTTTTCGTATTTGGTTTCGTTTTTTTATATGTTAATTAAAAGGAACAGAAATGACTATCTTTAGAATATAATAGAATAGAAAATTCTGTATTGTTAACGTTACACAGTTTATATATACAAATTTAAAACAGTTTAACAAAACAATGTTACAATTGGCGGCCTTATCGATTAAAAACTATTCTTCCAGGTAACAATGGGATGAAGAGAGAGATAACAATATGCGGACGGGGGTGTAAATGTTATCAAGAACATTAAAAAGAAAATATGATCAAATAATCCTAATTAAAAAATAGACAACAAAATATGTAGTGAATCCATGCATAATATATACGTAATACGCAATATACATACACACATACATACATAAACTTACATAAACACATATAATATGCAATACCAGGAATAGTTTTCGTCGGCAGTAGCAGGATATTTCATTGTGAAAGGAAGAATTCCTTTAAGTTGTTTTAAAAATTTGCAAAGATTTCGGTCGCCTTATAGAAACTGGAAGGGAATTAAAGAGACGAGCAGCTTGTACAGTGAAAGAAGAATCGTAAAAAGAAGTACAGTGAGATGGAATCTCAAGACTCAGGCTCTCAGATGATCGCAATGTGTAAGAATTTGTGCAGTACAGAAAACTGAAACGTTCTTTGAGATAACGAGGGTAAGTGGGATTGAACAAAATATTCTAGAGAAGAGATAATAAACGAGAATTCCAGCGAAGTCGTATGGGAAGCCACTTGAGTTCAAACTAAATGAAAAACCAAATATGAACCTGATACAAAAGTTTTAAAGACGCTTAATTTTTTAGCTGATCCTCCGAAAGATCAAGGTACGCAAGCGTCAGCGTAATCGAGAACAGGAAGTAGCAGAGATTGCGCTAACGCAACCTTAATGGTAGTGGGCAAGTTGTTACGCAGCCAATAAGTTCAATGAAGCTACAGAAGCATATAACTTGCGACTGATAGATTGAAGTTGTGGACCCCAACCCAGATGGCCATCCATTACCACCCCCAAATTTTTTACCGTTTGACTAAAAGGAATGTCAACCCTCTCAAAAACAACTTTCGGAAGTACCTGCGTATCAATTCTGGAAAGTAATCTACTGCCACCTACTATCATGGTTTAGGTTTTTGCAGGATTGACGCTTAGACCAAAAGCTCTACTCCATTCTGCAATGAGTTGGATATTTAAGTAAGTATTTACTATTGCCTCATTTAATCTAGACAGCGTTGCTTTGCAGTAAATTTGGAGATTGTCTGCATAAAGGTGATACGAAGATGAAAGATTATGAGAAAAAGAATTAATAAAGATTGCAAACAAAAAAGGAGATAATACGCCACCCTGGGGTACGCTAGCTTTCAGGTCTTACCATGAAGAGAAATTCTCATTAAGGCGGATCCGCTGCCTGCGCCCATACAGATAACTGGGAAACCAGTCAATTACCATTGGAGATATGTTAACTAAGTGCAGTAAGGCAAGAAGTACATCGAAATCGACCGTATTAAATGCGTTGCTGAAGTCCAATAATGTTACTACTGTCAGATGGCCATTTTCCATCGCAAGACGAATATCGTCAGTAATTTTCACAAGAGTAGTTGTTGTGCGTTGGCCAGAACGGAAACCGGACTGGAGAGGATTCAATACGTTATACTGAGGAATATACATATACTAAATTGTTGACGTCCATCAAGTCGCTCCAAGACTTTAAATGGGAAAGAAAGAATAGATATAGTTCGTTAAGAAATTTGGGATTACTAATTCTGGGTAAAGGAATAATTTGAGCATCCTTCCAAGATGAAGGGAATATGGAATTAGAAATGGAACTGTTGAAGAGAAAAGTGAGGACAGGTAGGATGATGTCAAGGATTGGAACCAACATATTGCGACTAACGCCGTCACTACCAACTGCATTAGAGGTGATCGACAGCACACACTTTAGTCCATTCTTTTCCTGCAAAAATCAACTTTTGCTAGAATCGCCATCTAGTGGAGGTGCTTTCTTTTTATTTTTAAATACTTCTTCATTCATTAGTATCACTAGTTTCAATAAGTGATTTTTAATCACAAGTCTATTAATTTTTATCGATAACAAACAAGACTAAATAAATAAAATAAATAAATATTTAACAACATCACATACATTGCTCAGATTCCAAGATGAGTAGCTAAAGCCCCCGTATTATGGAGTATCTGAGACAACGAAGGTACCACAACACCCAGACCCAAGTAAATATAGAAAAGTTCATTTTCTACATTGACCCGACCGGGAATCGAACCCGGGACCTCAGAGATGGCAACACCTTGAAACCGGCGTGCGAACCACAACACTATAATTGATAAGGTTTTTTTTGTTGAACTAAAAGTAAAGTTATCAAGCTTCTAAGTAAAATGATTTATGTATGGTAACTTAATATTTCGATTTAATTATATCACAATAAATATTGACATTGTTTTACTCTATACTTTATTAAGGGGGAAACTTCCATGTTGATAGTTCTATCATATTTATCCAGTAAACTGAAACTACACCACTACTAAAGTACACAGTAGTAAACCAAGCAAGAAGTTCCTTTTTATACTTAATATTTATTATTAAAAATATGAAAGATTAGTGTAATCACGATATCAAAGTAATCTTGAAAATAACAAACAAACAACGTTTTTGACTTTCAGTTACTTTATTAATAAATCTCAATAATTTTGAAAATCCGTCAAAATAAGTGAATATGCATTGTTGATCAAAGGATTAAATGTAGAAAAGATAGAATCTTTTTTTAAGTCTGTAAAAAAATTTGCATATATCCGTCGAGCATAGAACCTCTTCCTTTCCAATTAAGAAGTAAGTGAATTAGAAAGAAACTCAAGTTTATAATTTTTACATTACTCCGACACGTAATGTAAAAAAGATCTAGCATGACGAACTCGAGAACGTTTTGTCTACGCTCAAATGTCACTTTTCTCGGGTGCGCCCATACTATATCTCACTCTCGACCCGAGAAACTGACAAATGAGTGTAGACAAAGCGTTTCTCGAGTTTGTCATGCTACGCGTGCTGGGTGGATTTTAAAAATTTTCAAAATATTTGTTTAGTTTAATCTAACTAGAGAGTGGATCAAAGCGGAACAAAACTGCTTGTAGAATATGGCAAATTTCTTCAGTTGATTTTAAACTCTATCATCAAAGCATTTTGGTTTTAATCAAGTGGTGTTTTCATCAGATTTGTACAGCCTGACAAACTATTAACTACACCACTCTTTAAATCGTTATTCTTCAGTTCCGCAGCTAATTTATTTTAGCTTGGGCAATAAATTTTCCACCATTATTTTCAATATTCTATTTACAACATAATTAATGACAACTTACCTTACTTGCATTGTACCCTCTTGGGGGGGTATCTCCTATCTATCGAATATACCTACTATACCATAATAATATCTATCTTCTAATATACCAAGTTACCTATTAATTTCTTTAACTCACTTCAATTTGGTGTTTGGTTTATTCCACCACCTTTAATTAACTTGAAATTCTTTGCGAGTAAATAAACATACATAATAATAATAACTTAAAAATTTCCCCCTTTTACCCACTTTGGACGGCGGGCGAGAAATATACCACAGACTAGACGCAGAGTAACGTCGCATTCCATATGTAGGAAAAGTCGTTCCGATTACTTTCGACTTTTACGATGCCATCACATTTAGGAAGTTATAATTATACTACAAAAAAAAACGATGTGTGTGTACTTTTATCTACGTATGTTATTAGAAAATAAGACACAGATTTAATATGTTTATTTTTTATATTAATATACCTCAATTTTACATCAATATTTATTTAAACTTTTTCGGACCGAATATGAGATCTGCGTCAGGTGCTCCTTTCGGATGCTGGTACTTCTGTCGCACGTGTTGTCCACGGTTCGGATTGCCACTACCACCAGATCCCCCACCACTTTCAGCACTGTACTCCTCCTCTTCTTGTCTTTCTGATATGTTGAGCGTTAAACTAAAAACAATTCATAAATATTGAAATGTTAACACGTCATAATGAGTTCGTATGATAAAAATCCTTTCATAAATTGCCAATTTGAACATTGTGTTTTATAATCCTTTACTATAAACCACTTCGCAATACTGGCTTTCCGCCGGTGGCTTCGCCCGCCTGGTCCTGTTTTATATATATAAAATTTCCACTTAAATCATTGTATATTGATGAAAACCACATGATAATCCGTTATATAGTTTAAAAATATCAGCGTACGGACAGCGGGAAACGACTTTGTTTTATACTATGTGTAAATAGATAAATATTAGACATAAGAAAAATTGTGGAGACTCAATGATGAGTAGCTAAAGCTAGGTACGTGAGACAACGAAGGTACCACACTATGCAGACCCGAGATAATATACGAAAGAATTTTAAAACCGGCGTTCTTGCTACTCGGCTATGGAAGTCAGATACATTTATGGCTTTACAGAGAAAAATGCCAGGGATAAAGTGGATTTTTAAGGTTTTTTCATTAAGAACAATATTCATACCGTTTAACTCTTTCCATCTCTTGTTTATCAGCTAACGCCTGTTGTTGCAAATTGCTAGCGAGCTCCGGCGGTGCGTTAAAAGATTTATATTGGGGTTTCGTGCCTTTCCTCACCATCAGTACAAACTCCACGCCCTCTTTTCCTTGCTGTAAAAAAGTCAATAATATCGAACAAAAATTAAGTAGATACATCATTTGCTTGCCCTTGTCCCCATCATTTTATTTCAGAATGCCTCAATATGTACCTATTCTTTATTCGAATAAATAGACAGACTTGCAAATATGTTAAAAATCCGCAATCGATTTTGAACTTTACAACAACGCATTAACACTTACATTATTAAACATGAATTTTTTTTATAACCTAATGTGGTGTTGACTGTTCAACACAGACGAAATATAAGTGTTGCAAAATTCTGGTTTATGTATTAAAATATTGTAGTTATAGTGTTATTTGCTTTTGTGTTGTCCTTTTATATATTTAAATTATTGTAGTTATAGTGATATATGTGGTGTTGTTTTTTTTTTAGTAGAAAAAGAATAATCTCAAGGAAGAATTGATTAATTACACAGACATATGTTATTATAACTACCGTTCAGTCTCTAGAATCACGTGTCTCTCTCACTACGGGATGTTGGCAAAATTTCCGTGCATAACGGAACAAGTCCATATTGAAAAAAAAAAGACCTTCAACTCTTACACTCACTACTGAGAAACACTTCGTATTCCTCGGTATCTTTATCTTAGTTATTATTACATTTTGGGTTTTGTTCTTATAAGTTGGCTGAAACTATATCGCCAGTTCGATTGTCACTTACCAGCAGTTGTTCATACGTTTTCTTGGTGGTTTGCCGACACGTCATTGGCACGGCGATGTCGCGCTGCTGCGGTCTGTTTTCACGCTGCCGCTCGGCAATATTCTCCATTACCATTTTCTCAAAGGCAGATTCGAATTCCATATCTTCCACCTACAATAAAAAAGTGTCCATAATAGCATCTTCCGCCCAAGTAGTTAATTAAAGCAGAATCATATGTTTTATTACTCACAGGCTTTGGACCAGGCCTTCTAGCTTCAATGGCAAGTTCATCCGAATCAGCTGGTATTTCGTTGTCATAATTTCCTGTGTTTTCTGTATTGGGCTCCTCATCGGAACTTTCATCGGGCAACTGTGGATTGTCAGTTTCATCATCTGTTTCTATAATAGTGTCCAAACCTTCATTCACACTATCATCACCTTGATCCTCATTTTCATACTGTTCTTCTTCACCTAACTCGGGGTATAAAGTCTGTCTAAGTTCTTCTATAGCATCTTTACATTGCTGCCAATTTGTAAACAAAGTTATCTTTGGTCTAAGAGTCGTGAGGCACTCTTGATAAATATATTTCACATATATTGGAAACTTATTTTCGTCTGTCCAATATGGATCTGAATATTTAAACCAAAAATAGTTTTGGAAAAATATAAGGAAGTAGTCTAATCTCTTTTTACTAGATCCACTATTAAAATAAGCTCCACAAGTTTCCAGCAATGCACAGACAAGTCTTATTCTGAACACGTTATCTGGGGGATCAAGTGGCGATATATTATTTTGATCGTTTGTTACTCCAAATGTAATAAAAGAGTATAAAACATTAAATACATCACGAGAATCCAAAAGCTTATAATTATATAACTCCCCAAGATATCTCACGGTTGCTATTCTTCTTTGATTGTATTTGGGGTGTGGATCTTCCATTGTCACCCTTATTTCTTCAAGAATAGTGTCGACAACGGCTGATGCAACTACTTCTTGCCATGCGGCTAATTCCGCAGTGAGCCGTGCCAATGCTCTCCGAGCACTAGCCCTAACTCTCCACCCTCCAGCTAAATGTTGAATCGCAACAGCTGCTAATTCTGGATCTTCCCAATTTAATTTCCTCATCAATCTAAGAATTTTCTCTTCATTGCTTTTCTGCAGATCTTCATGCAGAATTTTCCTAATGAACTGATGCATTGGAAGTTCTTCTTCTTTCGGCTGAGCGGGAGCCTCCGGAGGACACACATAGTAAAATGCATTCTCAATTTGTGTTACGTAACGGGAATCAAGGGCAGAGACTGTCTGGAAATGAGTAATTTGTATATTATTTTAATACTTCATCATAGTTTTATATATTCATGTATCAAAGTGTTTTAATTTTATACATTTTCTTGTATACCTTTTTCCTCATCATTTGCTGTAAATATATCATTGTCCTTTGGTGCGTATCCGGGTTACAATACAAATATCGGCCACATGTCTCCAACAAATTACAAGCCATTTCAATATGATGATGTTTAAAGTCGTGTAAGAGGACCTTTAAACAATATAAAGCTTCCATTTTTGAGTACAACCCAAATTTTACTAGTTCTCCAATAAACCTTACCACTTTTATCTGTAAAGAGATATACATGTTTTAAAAAAAGAAACACTAATATTAGGAATTAATGATAGATATTTTCACACCTTTGATTCAATATTTATTTGATCCTTTTTCCTGACATGATACTTGAAGTCCTGTTTCAACATCTGACATAGATCCATACAAACATCAGGTAGAACTGGGTACAGTATTGCTGCAAATCTTGAATAGAAAGGTAATAGATCTAACCTTGTCCTGGCCACACTAAAAAGAACTCTAGTGAGCTTTTTTCGATTATTCTTAGTATTGAGATTCAAAACAAAATCCACAGCAGCATTATCAATCAGTTCTCGATTTATGCAATTTGGTAGTTCATTCAGAAAAGCGTCAAGAGCATACCTGCAATCAATAACATGTTTTTTTTTTCAATAACATTCAGAAATTTCATGTCACAAGTTTAGGAGTATATACAGACTTGTTGGAGATGTTTGATGGTTGTGTATCTTCCTGTTCCACATCTGGGACTGTAGGGGGCTCCTCATTGTCACTTAACTCATCCTCCTTCAGGTCTTCATCAAGCATTTCTTCTGTTACTGTCTCCGCCTTACTTTTTACTGTCTGTTATGAAAAAAAAAATGAATAGAAACAATTTAAGTACTCCAAATTCAATATTTTTATTTTCATAATAAAAGACACTGTTACCTCTTTTAATTGATAATTAGGCATAAATACTTTCAAATCTGGTAAACTGGTATAAAAAGTGCGTGTATCTTCATCCTGCCATGGATCAGTGCCAGCTTGCATGTTGAACTCCTCACTACCACCTATGGTCACTGTGCCTTGTGTCTCAATTACTGTCATGGTTAATGTAGGAGGTTCTCCAGCTTCACCAAGTTCTTCTCCCAGAACTTCAGCGAAGTTTTGTGCCCCCAATAGTAACTTATCATACATGGCCTGCAATTTATTAAATCAACATTAGACCAATTTCTTTCATAACGAGAATATCGATGATTAATTATATCACACCTTGAGAAGATTTGATTAGTAAAATTTGAATGGGCCCCGACTATGAGTCGTTCTTTCTTTTTAGTTTTTATTTAAGTTAATTTTTTAAATTAGCTTTTACGCAGTCGGGGTTTTTGTTTTTCTTTAAAATATTTTATTAGTATACGATTTCCTATATGAGTTTTATATACCTATTGTCAATTTGAGTATGGTAAAATATCGCGTTTTTTAATTAGATCATATAACATTATAGCATATATATAAAAAGGTTTCTCTGCCTTTTCGCCAAAAAATATTTGGTTGATTATCACTTACCAACTAAAGTTTCGTAGAATTTTACTACGACGAATAATTATTTGCCAATTTATCATAAAATTTTGTTGTATTTCCCAACCTCACCATTATTAACTTTGCGCGGCAGCTTGAGTGTTTCATCACTCAAGCTGCCGCAGCACGCTCGCTCGGATTGTGCGTTGTTTATCATTTACTAACTTAAAATAACCTATATGTTTCTGTTACTAGGCTTATTACAAAGTTCTTGAACATAAATCTACATACTCAGAGGAAAAAATGTCATATTATCGTTATTCGTCTAAAAGTTCTGTGACCTAGTGAAAGATTGGACAGATAATAAAAATCCCAAATATTTTTTGCCATAACAATAATCAGATTAACGATAATTCTACCGAATGAAATGTTGTTATACAAAAAAATGCCAATCGTTAGTTGTCAAAGTGAAATATGGGCGAAACTTTGGTTGGTAAGCGATAATCCGCCAAACAATTTTCGGCGAAAACGCTGGATCCCATAAAATATGTAGAAATACATCGCCGTCATATATAGAACCTCCTCCTTTACGATTTTGAAGTCAGTTAAAAATATGTTTACCCAGTAAAGCAAAAAACCTTAAAACTCCCTTAAATAAATAACTCTGCGTATATAAATAAATATTAATACGTTATATTCAAGAAAATATCTTAACTGTATTTTATTAATTTGTCTTACACAAAGACAAAAGTGTTTATTATTAGATATTTTCTGAACATTCATTGTCATAATTCACTAATAGTACTTGTGTCCGACCGAAACTGGTTTCTGGAAACTGAAACCGAATTTCGGCAACAGTCTCAGTCGGCCGAAACCGAAACTACTTTACGAGGATCTTGTTTGAAAGAAAAATAAAGAAAACGTTATTATGATCAGTCAGTATTTATTTTTTATCCGACTGCAGAGGAACTTTATATTATGTATTATTCTTTATTATCCATATCTGCAGAACTGCTAAACTGATTTACATGCTTGAAGTATCATTAGTTTTGTTTTAGCAGCTCAAGTGTCGAAGGTAGAAGACGTTAAGGAAAATCAATCTCGACGGCCGTTCGACGCCATTGTATTTAGTAAAAAATTTTTTTTAATATGGGTTTCGATTTAAAAGGCTTCACACGAGGATTTCAAAAAGGTATATCATGATTATCATTACCATAATACTAATAAAAATAATACTTTTAAATATTGATTTTCTTGCTTTCTCCACCAACGTAGCAATTTGTCTAACTAATAAGATATAAATAAAATATCTAATTTTAATTAAAGTTCCAAACTTTTAACTTGGTTTTCTATTAGTTATTTTTCAGTTAGGCAGGTTTTTTTTATCTTTAAATCACAAATGTAGTCTTCAATATTTTCATATATTTATACTCAACATTACAACCCCACATTTATGAAACAAATTAAAATAATAACTAGGCCTTAAAAATACTTCTTTTGAATATCATTTATGGTTTTAAAAAATATTTAACATAATATTACATATTATTTGAGTTATAAGTAAGGATAGCAAGCCCGGTTCTATACCCACCCCATATAATGTTTGGCTATGATGAGACAGACAGACAAAATCCGTAAATGAATAAAGGAAAAAATCTTGCACTATAAATATATAGTAATTTATAAGCTTTGTAAACTTACCTTAAAAGAAACAAACATTAAACTACTAATTTATAAACTCAAAGTAATCACAACACTGCAAATGGCAATGATTAAAACTAATAATTATTAGTGTGTATCTATAACTGTTATCACATTAAAAATATAACATGTTCAAAATGCACAAGTTTCATCCATCCATCCTTGTTATAGATTTAGGGATACTTTAAAAACGCACACCACAACATACCTTTTAAATAAATTAACCTAAGATAGATATTGTTTTATGTAAGATTCTTTTACCATAATGTGTATGCCATGTACTCCTAAATCTATGAACTGTACTGTACTAATGTACTCCTAGGGATGGATAGCTGCTCGCACAGAAAGACAGGTTCTGATTTAATTGCTTTGTTTACGATTTTGTATTGAATATCGGTTTAGGTCGTAGTTTCGGCAGGTTTGCCACGAAAACCGAAAATAAACCGAAAGCCGTTTTTTTGCCGAAAATCCACCGAAATCAAACCTGGAACTTTTTTGCACATAGTACTATGCAGAAACTTCATTCTAGCTTGGTGTCATGTTAACTCGAACTAGTAGTAAATCTACTGAATTAAGACAGTATGTAAATATATATGAATATAGATAAATATGGAAATTTTCTGGATTAAAATTGTCCGTAAATTAGTTATCATACAGAATTTTCTAAACCCACCACAAAAAGACCAAAATGCGTTTTAAGAGTAAACTAAAGTGGCTTGACTACACATGGTGTACAAAAAAGTATAAATGCTATCAGACATCATGTGATAGGTGTTTACCTTTATTGACTAAACTTTAATTAACTTATCTTTCACAAATCAATACCTAATTAGACATTCAAAGAATATCTCCTTTGTATGGCTGATAACTATTTTGAGTATTATTTATTACATTTTTTTACAAACAAAACTTGTAATAAAGCATATTATGTGTCCAGATTGGTTCACAAATTTTGTTTGTAAAAAATAAGAAGTTTAATTTTAATACTTAATTTATGTAGTTATTTCTTTATTTTATTTAAATAAAAACTTGAATTATAATATTTTAGATATGCACATTGCAAATCAAGTCTTGCTTTCTAAAAAAAATTCTTATAGTAAATCTATATATCGCACCCCCAGTGTGACACTGTCACTTTTGCAAAAATTACAAAAATTAGTTAAATATGTAATAATTGTCCTAAAGCACCCCTTTGCTTGGTGCGATAATGTTACTTTTGTTGTACGCATAGTTTCCGTATGATTCATCTTTTTCAAGTTTTGTGAGGTGTCTGAGTTTAAAACTCTTCTCCTGAAAAACTAAATTTTTGCATAAGTGACAGTGTCGCATCGGGAGTGCGATATATAAAAGCGAAAGGTCACTCACTCACCACAAAATCACAGAAACTACAAGTGCTAAGTTTCAAATTTTTTATGAAATATTCTCATTTCTACTAGATCATGCAGGTGAAGCCGCTGGTGGAAGTATCTTAATAGAATTATAATGAAATACCTGATGTTGTTCTAATTGATCCTTTCTCTCTTGTGACAGCTCTCCACGAGTGTGCAGTGTTCTTTGATTTGCAGCATGCAAAGTTTGCAGCTGTGTTCTCTCTGCTAGCAAATGTTTTGTCAAAGACAAAAAATATTCCTTTAATAAAGTTCTCACTGCAGTTTGTTTTTCTGCTGGCAAGAATGTGTTTCTTGGTACAGTTACATTGTATTTCTGAAAAAAAAAAATAGTTTCATCTAGTTAAATATGAAATGTTATTGAAAATATAAATAAGATAAATAAGCATTTTATGACCTACTTCTGCTGAATCTCTAATTTTTTTGGGCATTAAACCTGCATAATCTTCTCCACAGTGTTTACAAAAAGACAGTAAAATTGATATGTTATTATGTTCTTCTTTATCCATATTAATAAGCACAGTAAGTACATTTCCCAATAACGGCAAACCCATTTTATTAGGGAATATGCCAACTGCAACCAACTCTGCATAGAACCTAATATCAACTCGCAACTTTGATGAATTAGCAATTTTGTCAGTAGCTTTAAAAGTCAATATTTTTTGCCAATTTTCAAAGAAGTTCGATGCAAATTCGGCGTAAGTGCGATGAAGTGAGGAACATAAATTTATTGCAGCTGGAATATCAGACATTTTCAATTTCGCGTCTGCTATGGCAGCTGCCACTTCTGATATATATTTAGTTAGATTCAAAGTGCTGAAATCTTTAAGAAGTGCATCCATTTGGGTAGCACTAAAGGATTTTAGCTTTTTAACAAATGTAGTATTTTTCTTTAGACCAGAATCTAGTTTAGAGAAATGGTTATCTGGTGGTCGAACACAGTTCAAGTTTTGATGCCTCATTTCTGACTTTTGTTTGATTCTTAATTCGAGATTATTTATATATTCATTTAGTGCTTCCTTATCATTTTCTTCTGTATTTTCCGACGATTCTTCTTGTAAAGTGGCATTGCTCTCAGTTTCTTTATCCATTGCTCTGATCTTTGTCAAATTTGTTGTACGAGATTTAGTGTTTATTATTACTACACATCTAAAGTGTCGTATGTTATTGATAACTTGTCATTATCATTACATTAATGCTATATCGAAAAGATATCTAATTATTTTAAAACTAGAATCTCCGATCAACAATAAAAACCAGAATCATAAAAATTTTGACATATATAGGGATGCAACGATGTTCCAAAAACCCATATAAATATTGATAAATTGATAGTCCAATATATCGTTTTGATACACAGAGTTGGGCAAAATGTAATCAAATTAATTATTAGAGATTATGATAAAAGTGTTTAATCGTAATCTTAATTATTTTCATGATTGATAAAGGTGAACACTGAAAAGAAATTTATAATGTTTAAAAGTAAATTAGTTTTCAAAACTTAATAAATAACTCATATTCTATTTGTACTTTTTCCCATTTGTATTGTTTCAGTTTTTTCATATGTTAGTTAATAGGAACGGAAATGAATATCTTTGGTCCATTCGTTTCCTGCAAAAATCAACTTTTGCTAGAGTCGCCATCTAGTGGGGGTGCTTTTTTGTGATTTCTTTTTTTTAATACTTCCTTATTGGTATTCTTATTTCAAAAGTTTTTTATACATTCCAATAGTTAAAATGATGAAAAGTTCGAAACTTAGATATCAATATAAATACAATAAAGTACAAATAGACTATGAGTTGTTTGAGTTTTGAGAACTAATTTACTTTAAAAATGAAATAAAACCGAAAGGGTTGTCATGGAGAAATCAAGAATGTATCGTAGCGACATCTAATTTTTTTTTAATTCAGTAGAAAATAAATGAACAATAAAACCTTGATAACAACGAAATTAATGTGATTGAAACAGATACCATTTAAATGCAAATGTTTACACTAAGGATATTGAAGTTTAAATTTTTAGTGAACGATATTTTTTTATAGTGGCAAGATGAAAGAACGAGACATACGGCCTCCGTTATGACTATTTTGCTCGATTCAAAGAGCAATTAAAAGTATACTTTAATTGATGGTGATAAGTGTCTTTATTGTTAATAGTATTTTTCGGAGGTATAAGTCTTTTTATAAGTACTAAGTCCATGGGATGTCAAGTGTCTTTTATCATTTATTTTACTAAGATTATCGTCTAATACCGATAAGAAATCACAGATTTTTGTAAAATACCGGTTTTAGGCAAACGCTACTCAAAAAAATCTGGGTTCATTATTTCTAATTTTGGCATTATGCTCTCGCTCAGTATATTGTTCTGTGTCAGTAACTGGTGTACGAAACGAAACAAAACAATTCGTTAATTCCGGCTATCTTCTCTAGATATATTGTTTTACTTGAAATGCAGCCGCTGTCCATAAATAAAGGCGATTTCCAAATTGATTTGAATCAAGTTAGAATAGATATTGGATTAGGAATAAGAGAATGTAATGATCGGGGACTTGTTCAAAGTGCTAAGTGGCTAGCTGAACTAAATTATGCGCTCAAAGATCACAAGATTTCAACACCAGAAGAACAGCTTAAAGGTTTTGATGATGGTATTGTTGCTGAAGATCGAGAAGCATACACTTTGGCCAAATCATACTATGATTGCCAGGAATATGATCGAGCCGCTCATTTTTTAGAAAATTGCACGAGTCCTAAGTGTATTTTTCTTCAAAGATATTCTCAATATATGTCGAGTGAGAAAAAGAGGTTAGATAATGCTACCGATGTAGGCAATGAAAATACAGAATCAACACAGGTCTTATTGGATTTGTTATCTTTTTTCAAGGTTTGTTAAATTTTACAAAATTTAATAATAGTTTGTGTGAAATCCTATTGTTTAGCTTAAATTTTACTAATGAAAGTAATATCATTCTATGGTCTTTGTTGTATCTATTGTATTTCCAGGCAAATCGAAATCATCTGGATGGTTACCTTATGTATTTAGAAGGTGTTGTATTGAAAAAATTAGATTTACGAAGTCAGGCAGTGATCGTTCTCCAATCAGCTGTGGCTGCTGCTCCTACACTTTGGGCAGCATGGGTAGAGCTTGCAGGCCTTGCCAATGAATATGAAGCATTAGATTCTCTTCAACTTCCTGAACATTGGATGATGTACTTCTTTGCTGCTCATGCATTTGTTGAGTTGAAGCTATCTGAACAAGCCTTGGATGCATATATGGGTCTAGCATCTGTAGGCTTCCACAAAAGCACATATATAACAGCTCAAATGGCTATTGCACATCATGATAGGAGAGGTAATTATAAGTAAAATCTTATATTAAAGAAGATTTTCTTATTTTCTGACTTTGTAATATAATTGAAATAATACAAAACCAGAAGATGATTGATTCTTCTATCATAATTTATTCACAATGTAAGCAGTTCCATAAACTATATCATGTTTATTATACTGCTAATAGCCTATAAAGAGTGTAGAGCTACAACTCAATCAGGATCGTCATAATAAGTCTGGCTTATTCAATTACATGGAATCTATGTCTCCTATGTAAATAATCATATGAGTAATTATTGGTATGAATGTGTACAAAAGTTTCATTGAAATGTTTTATGGCTTATTATTTAATTTTTTCTTGATTGGTTGTTAAATAATAATAATATAATAATAATAGGTTGTTAAATAAGTTGTTTTTAATTAATACAAGTCTTGAATTTTTTTTTTTATGTGTCTAAATTATAAAATTTTTAATATTTTTCAGATGTCGATTCATCATTAGATTTATTTCGGGAACTGTACCAAAGTGATCCTTATCGTCTAGACAATTGGGACGTCTACTCACATTTACTATATTTGAAAGAGAAAAGAATGGAACTTGCAAATTTAGCTCAAAGAGCAGTTTCTATTGACAAGTATAGAGTAGAAACGTGTTGTGTAATAGGTAAGATGATTATTTGATCCAGGTTAATTTAAAGCTGATTTGAAGAGCTTAACATAATTATTTAAGTCTAATTGCCACGGTACCTTTGATGTTTCAGATTTCCTAATACAAGTTTTTAAATTGATAACTATTGAATTTGGGGTCTAAAGCAATATATGCAATGTTAAGAGTAATTTATATTAAAAATGTTGATCCTAATATTGCTGACCATGAAATTTTATAAAAAAATATATATGCGCAACATTTATTTATTTATTAAGGCTGATGATGATGATGATAAAAGAAAGTAGATATAAACACTTTCATCATAATAAATTTATGATTTTGATTATGACACATGACATTTTTTTGTTTCTCCAGGTAACTATTACAGTTTACGGAGTGAACATCAGAAAGCAGTGATGTATTTTCAAAGAGCCCTCTCTTTGGACCCCCAATATCTATCAGCTTGGATATTAATGGGCCATGAATTCATTGAATTGCAAAATTCTAATGCTGCAATTCAGTGTTATAGACAAGCTATAGGTGAGTTTATTATATATGTTGTGGCCAGGTTATAGAAGACAGGTTTTTGATCTGCCTCCTGAGAATGATAAAAAACTTTTTGAGATATGAACTGAGCTAAATTTCCTATATCATTCACTACTGGTGTAGGTGATGTGATGATAGTTTTAAAATTTAAATTTTGAGGTTTTCCAAATGTGGATTGCCATATCATTAAATGTTAACGCTTATATATAATTTTAGGTGGCTGTATTATGAAATACATCTGTTTCATGAAATGGCCGACCGATTCATGAAAAGATCAATTTTACCATATGGCCACGATATATATACAAAATTAGGACTATTACCCAGTTGTACAAACATCCATTAAGGTTTAACGACAACTTAAGCTCTAATGAATGTTCTAAATTTGAATTGGTAATGATGCTTTAAACTAGTGAGAATTTTAATGTATTTTTAAAATGCCCAAGTATTCTAAAAATAATATTTCTGGCTTTTTTTAATGTTTTGATTTACAACTCTTGACCTCAATCTAGCCTAAGAGCATAGATGAGATCTATAGTGGGACGAGCTTACCCAGAAGGAACCTATTCATTCTTGCCTTAAATATGGGTCTGGGTTATATGCACTTAGGAATATAGACGCCGCAAAGGAGTTCAACTCTTTGGAGGTACGCACTAAAACAGAAGAAGAAAAGTGCTTTGTGAGGCATCATGGAGTATTAACTAGATAAGGATGGTATCCCGCCGTGCGTCTAGATTGCGGATGGCAAATCGGTGAAGGCGGAATGACTCATGCAGATCCCGAACTAACTGGAGATATTGTTGATTTATCTGTGTCTATTATTAATATTAAATTTATAGTTAGTTTGTATCTAATTTCAGATGTGAACAGAAATGATTACCGGGCTTGGAATGGACTAGGACAAGCTTATGAGATATTAGGGTTAAATGGTTATTGTATATATTATTACTCAAGGGCAGCACAGCTAAAACCTGACGACTCAAGAATGTTTGTTTCACTAGGAGAAGCGTATGAAAAGATGGATAAGATACCAAATGCACTTAAGTGTTATTATAAAGCTCACAGCACTGGTGATATTGAAGGGATGGCACTATTTAAATTAGCTAAGTAAGTGTAGTCTGATACTAAGGATGATATAGTTTTTAGATTTAAGAAAACTGTTCTTTTAGAGTCTCGCGACTACAACGACCCTATCAAAGAATTGGGTGGATTGCCTGAACATTGATGAAAATACGCTCTGTAGTAGCGAAAAAGTACTTGAAGAATTCGTCAGTCCTGTTAGATTCTTGTTTTTTTAATCATTCGTTAAGAATAAGTTAATACGTTTTAGATTGTATGAGAAATCGAACATGCCGAACTGTGCGGCAGCGGCATATACGGCGGCATGCCAGGACGCGGCCAATGCTGCCAGTAAAGAGTTACCGGCCGCCCTCCGCTACCTCGCACAGTACTATCTACGTTTCTCATTGCTCGACCACGCCGCACATTACGCCTACAAGTGCCTGGAGCACGAGAGCGTGAGTATCCACTCTACATCATACTCTTCATATGCTTGATAACTTGATACTTGAATCATTCCCATTGGCATTATTGAGCTACTTCAATTATATCTTAATGTATTATCCTCGCTGCCGGGAAAACTAGTGACTATAAAATTAATGCTCAATATAAAATTATTAGGTAAAACGCCCAGACTGAAATACAGTAATACACCGGATTTATCGATTGGTGGGACCGGATGATGCCGCGTACCTAAGTTGAATTCTCGCAAGTCAGGGTCCAACTTTGCTTATAAATACGTATAAATATTGTGTAATCGGAACCAGAGTCTCAAGAAAACAATTATTTAGAAGAAACATGTTTTAAAAAATGTTAGAAAATGAATACTATTTACATTACTCTGAATATAACAACGTAAATCAAAGTTATTTTGATGTTGAAGGCTCCATATATTCTAACAATGTCGCTTGATTTTTAAGACTGTGAGCCTTTCACAGATTCTGTATTATTTTCTTTATTTACAATTGTACAGATTATTGATTCCGGTAGTTCATCAAATTTCTTTGCAATCCAGATTTTTTTATTTTAGATTGAAAATCTTTAAATATATTTAGTTTATCCTATAAAGACGGTGTTTTCGGTTCTTGCTGGGATCAAGCGACTCATGTTTCTGTCTTTTAGATGACATAAAATAAATCATACACTATGTAAGTAAAATAATTACACAAGAAAATTCGTCGTACACCGAATGTGCGCTGCGTTCATAAAACGATTCCACACGGAACACGTTCGAACTTGACGTAAACTGATGCCGCCGATGCGCGCGGAGTTCAGCCCTGCGATTCTGTAACAATCCAGCCCTGCGATTCTGTAAAAATCCAGACCCGAATTCGAATTCACTCATGTGTCCGAATTCACGTCATTTAGTGTAAAAATTCTATTGATTCCATTTTTTTTATAAAAATACAAAACAAAATTGATCGAATACACGTGTCTCAGATATTCTATTCCTATATCATTTCGAAACTCACTTCACTCATGCTACGAAACGTTATTACCAATTCAAGGTTGAGCGGATGCGGCTTTTTGAAGTGAATTCGGACACCCGAGTGATTTTGAAATCGGGTTTGAAGTTTTACAGAATCGCAGGGCAGAAAGAAAAACCGCGTTTCTCCGAATTCGCGTAAAACGTGGTAGCATAAGTCTGTTATCTAACATATAGTTATTACAATTTTTATGTGCTTTATACGATATATTCCTCGGAACGAGAATAATTCTTTTTGTAACAAGAAGAAAGTGTAAAAAATGACTCATATTTTTGAGGTTTTTGAGTTGTGCCACTGTACCTTCTATTCAATGAGCGATATATTATATAGATGCTTGTAGTAACAAGCATTGTTAGTCATCTAACTATATTCCATTTACAGACCAAAGAAGCTGGGAAAAATATTTTAAAGACAATATCAGAAAAAAGATTGACAGCATCCTCATCACAACCTACCAGCTTGCCTGAAGATTTACCAGAAGCTATTAAGAATGTGTCCACGATATCAATATCACATGAAACGCCGAAGACGCCTTTACCCAGTCCGAATGTCACGCCCGATAATTTTTCTACACCAGTATTTACTAGAAAAAATAATAAATACAAAATGTGACATATGTCTAGAAAGTGTAAAATGTAAATAAGAGACTGATCATGTGAATATATGCTTAATTCTCTAATAAGATTAATTTTATGCTGTAATAAATAGTTAATAGAGAAAAGTAAACTTTTTCTGGAAATTATTTACCTACTTCGAAACACATGTACTATTCAGTCTTCTCAGTGTTTTTCTTTTTATTCTGTGACAGGGATAGAAGTTCTTTAATAATAAATGAAGCTTTATTATTATTATCATAAGACTGTTAGTGTGTCTTATGATAATAATAATAAAGCTTCATTTATTATTAAAGAACTTCTATCCCTGTCACAGAATAAAAATAAAAAAAATAAAAAAAAAATCACTGATTTTTCACTGATTTCACTGAAAATCAGCTTTTATTACCGTTTATCCTTTGACTGATCGAAGCGTTTACCATTTAAATCTGTGTACATACAATACACAGCTCTCATACACAATACATATTATCAATATTTGTTGAATCTCTGTAATCTATATTGGTTTTCATGTTCAAATTATATATATATATATATATATATTTGGTATTCTGTGGTAACATGTTGTCTATTAATGGGTCCCTTGTCCACTTACATAAAATTTCAAGATATCATAATAGTATATTTGTTTTAGTATGTTATGCACATCCTTAAGCGTAATTTTTTTAAACTTTTATTTGACGCTCGCCGGCTACTGCCACGGTCGCTTGACTTGCTTTTTGTCACAGTATAAGTTATTTGGATCAGTTTTGCATTCACAATGCTATACTATATATTCCCTGGCACTCTAAGGTAAGACTCGAACTCATGGCCTCTCGCAATCCGGGCGTCTGCTCTAACCACGGCTGTTTGGGTGGATTGCTTGAACATTGATAAAAATCGCGTCTAGTTTGCTGCCTTAGGGCGGTTCACGATCGGCAGGGTCGATAGTGAAAATTATCTTTTCTGTCTATATTTTCTCTGATTTAGGTAAAGTTAAAGTCCTTCTATATTAAGGCTGCGTTCACACCAAACGACTGTGATCGAGCGTTACGCAGGCGATTAAACTTTCATATATAATGACTTTTTCGTATACACCAACTGACAGTACATCAAGGCCAGTCTGACGATAGATCTCTTGAGTGTCTCTCGGAATTACAAGATAATAAATAAATATTACATGACTCAGAACATACTTGTATTATGGAAAATTTACACAAATTACCACAACATATATTCTTTATAGACCCAGCCGGGAATCAAACCTGGAAACTCAGAGATGTCATATCTATAACATTTTTTTGTTGTTAGACAAATTGTGGTGCTTCACATATATGAAGCAAAACAATTGATGAAAACTAAATTATATTTGTAAAAAAATATTTAATAGTGATTAATTTTTACAACTTCTATAGGTACATTAACAGATCTTAGTGCTCAAATAGTAAAATAATAAAAAAAAAAACTAAAACTAAATAAATAGCAAAGTGCATTGATTAAAAATAAGATTTGTTCAAATTAGCTCATTGCAATTAAAAATAAAATTACTGATTACAATCACAGATGAAATACAAGTTTGAGAGCTCAATTCAATATGTATGTCAAAGTAATTATAATTTATCTATAACAAAAATAATAAATGGGTACTTTACATTTCATAAAGCTGAATTAAAATAGGGAATTGAGTCACATTCGCATTATTAGGAATTTCATATCATGCTATTATTGAAATACCCTGAGATGACACCAGTTCATTATCACGTCGAAATTATAATATTAGGGAATTTAATACAATGCAAACGTCATACTATTATGTGACTAGTAGGCGATGTAAGTTAGTCTGTACTTAGATTTCTAAATTCAGTTTCAAAATAAGGCACACTAAACCAGCGCATTAGTTAAGTCTACATGACTTGTTTCAAGACTCATTTGCTCAGTAATTACCAGGTACTTTATAAATACTCTATTATTGTAAATATACGTAATTAAGTGACAGACCATTTCAAAACTAGGATCGCAGTCCTAATTGCGAGATAAATTTACCAACTGGAACTGCAGTCCCACTGTTTAGTGATCTTAGATGCTTGACTACTCATAAGTATGTTAAAAGGTGTCAATCAATATTCTAAAACATCATTGTTGTCATTATAACAATTAGTAGGTACAATAATTTTATATAGATATGACTTTTAAGATCAAACTATTGTTTTTCTTGGAACAGAACAAACAATAGTCACTGATTTGCACCAAACTTTCGTTTTTTAATATGACTCCAATCAAATAAATTATACTTTACCAATGTTCAATGCGTTAAAATTATCTAATAATAAACATTACTTAGACCTGGATTGTACGCAACAACTAAACAAATATCAAGCAAAAGAAATCATTAAAAAAGTCACAACATTTAAACCGCATATGCCTTTAAGACTTCCTATAAATAAATACATAATTATTAATAATTAATTTGGAGTAAAGCTACGACCAGTATTTTCATCAATATCTAAAATAAGTAATGTCATTAAAACCAATTTAAATTATGTATGATGTCATAAATCCTAATATTTTTGATCACAATAATTAATGTTAGATTGAGGCACTTAATTTTACAACCATTATAGATGTTATGTTTACAAGTAATAATAAAAAGGAGATTACCACTATGGCAAAACATGAACTATAAATTATTACTTTATCTATGTTATAATTTATTAATAATATATAACTTTGTAGCTTGATTTGTGCTTTAAGTTGCATAATTTGTTCTTCAATTCTGGATCCAATTTTTCAGCATCTTGATTTACAGAAATGGATTATTTGAATTAACAAATCCTCCATTGTTCACTGGTGGCTGTAATTATAAATTATAATATTAATAATAATTCAAGTTATAGAGAATAAATTTTCACCCTATTGCAAAAACATCAATGAAATTGTCATTAGTTAAATTAAAGCAACATTACCAATAGTAATACAAATAGATATGATTTAAATTGAGAACTGGATAGTCATCATTAATTAATCCTTAATTGACGTTTGTGCTTATTATCTATTACAAAACCATAAATCTTGATTTGGTGGTTAATGTCACAATAATTATGTACAGTTGAAGTATTTGAAACTCTGTGCTACTTTTAGCGAATTATTTAAAACTTCCCTTTGATTAGGGTTACTATATCTCAGGTTTTGTTGTGATATCTCAGTATTTTTGGATGCTTTTCAGGATTGCGGTCGGATTTTGCATATCTCAGAATTTAGAGCATTTTAATATTTTTTTTTTACATTTATATGTTCTCTTGAATAAAAGTAATACAAATTAAAAATAATCGTCCTAACTTTGCAATAAGCCGACATCCTCGATGGCCGCAGTGTATAAAAACAATAATTTGACTTTTTAAAATTGTTCAGTATGTTTAAGAAAAAATATCTCAAACTGCAACAAACCTCCGGAATAAGCCTTCTTTCCAGACTTTTGATATTTTCATTTGTTACCAAAGCTAGCAAATAAATATTAATTGCAAAAGAATAATAATAATGCTGATAATCGTAAATTGTGCCGATAGTTAGCCCTTGTTGCAAATAACGGAAGTATGTTATCTAATGGCAAATGATTGACATAGTGACCAGCTCAGATAAATTTAGAACTGTTATAGCTCAGAACAGTTCATAAACGATGGGGTCATAATAACAATTATGATACTACTATTATTTAAGAAAACTACATCTATAACAGAACTGAACTATAATCACCACCAACCAAGTAAAAAGAGGGCGAATTGTATTACGTTTACAATAGGCTTATAAGTTTCTATGGATTTTAAAAACATGTTAGGCAACATCACATAAATTGCTTGAGTAGCTAAAGCAACCGTATTATGGAGTATCTGAGACATCGAAGGTGCCACAACACCTAGGCCCAGGACAATTTAGAGAAAACCATCTTCTTCATTGAGCCGACCGGGAATCGAACCCGGGACCTCAGAGATGGCGATTCATTCAAACAGGTGTGCGAACCAATCTACTACTGATGTCATCAAGTCAATATACCTAAGTCATCTAATATGTATATAATTATTAGACAACATTGCATACATTTAAGTAGCCAAGTCTTAGAACTAGGGAAATCTGAAGCAACAAAGATATTAAAAAACCCAGAGCCAAAATAATATGCATAAGAATCCAGAATTCAAATACAAGATATTTTGTAACATGAATGCAAGACACTCGGCTTATATACTACTGCAAAAATAGATTAAAAAAGAATAAAACCAAAAAAACATACCATAAATGGATTAACTGGAACTTGTGTTGAAGAACTCCATCCACCATTAAAAAATGGATTTTTATTAACAAACAGGTCATTGGTAGATGAACTTTGGAATGGGTTTTTATTATTAACACTATGGGTCTCTTCTGAAAAATAAAATGTGATAATTTTCATATGATTTAATTATCTTAAAACATATTTCACGGATTGGAGGGTATTAACGACAGCAAATGCAGCCAGGACCAACAATTAATTAATTAAGATTAATCACATGCTACTAATTCTCTTTCATCAAATATAGAAAATCAATAAATAGAATATAGTCCAGAATGCAATTGATGATTAGGTTGCAATGACTGGATGTTGATGTATACATATTTTTTAAATTGTGCGGAATTTTCTGAGGTTTTCTATTATTTGGGTTATGGACTGTACACACAGTTTATTTCTATGAGGAATGCCTAAGCTTCAACCTGATTATAATATTTTCCTTTGCCAATTTAAATATATATATATATATATTAAAAAGTGGTACCTAATAAAATCAAAGATTGCTTACCCATATTTTTCATATTCTGTTGTCTTAAGGCCAAATCTAAATCTGCAAGGGCAGCATATCTATCATCTGAAATTAATGCACAAATATATAACAAAATCTAAGACATACCTAATACTATCAAACAAGCAATACTTGTAACATAAAATTTCAATCACAAACAGAATGACATTCATGTCATTTATTTTAGGAGTTCATAGGAGACTAAATATAGAGTACTAGATTTTTTAAATCATCAGTTGAAACAAAGTGATATGAAATAAACACTCACTTGTAGAAGAAGAAGGTGAACAAAAAGCATTAAAAGTTGGTACACTTGCAGGAGGTGTTACAAAATGGTTATCCACATTATTGTTCACTTGACTACTATTGTAGATGGTTGCAGTAGAAAAATCAACTGGAAAACTGACAATAATTATTGCATTAATTAGATTATGACATTTTTGAAATTTGTGTCATCATAACTTATTTATACTTACTCAGGAGCAGGTGGAGCATTTGCTAGTAAATTTATGTTCATCAGTACAGGCTGTGGATAATTACTAACTGGACGAGCTAATTTACTACTGGGTTCATTTGCTGTCGCCAGAAAAGTATTGGCAGCTTTTGAAGCATTTAACATGGCATTATTGTTAACCACACTCTTTGAAGACTGAGGTGATATAGATATTAGAGGCGTCGTGCCAGCAGTTTTAACTTTTGATTTATTAGTTATTGAAGATGAATTACCATTGACAACAGCATTTGCTTGGGATTCCAAGTAGTAACGTTTCTTTTCATATTTATCTGACATAAAATCTTTTACGCTTTGTTCGTCTGTAAAGTTAACACTTTCACCTTCGTAAAGGCCTAACCACACACGCCTGCAGTAGTCGTTACCTCTAGTTTTAATAAAATCGATCTCTTCTGGAGTAAAAGTAGCCATGGATATTGACTTTACACGATGAGGCGGAGTAAGGCCACGCCTGAAACATAAAATACAAGATGACTTTTGTTTGTTGATTTCATTATAACGCGAACAATAACGCAAAAACTTTACTTACAACATTCCCGAACATTTCGAACAGACAAAGGATCCGATCGTGGTATTAACATAAGTTGGCCCTCTTTGGTTGCAATCTAAACAATATTTGTTACCATTCAAAGAGATTAATTCACGTAAAATTTCTAAATTTTTATCATCTTGCTTCCGTCGATTTGCAGCCATTTTTGAAATGTCGTTTCAATTTTTTAATTTCATTCAATCACCTGTCTATTTGACTGCCACCACAGACCAATGAGAGATACTAACTGCCACTATCAGTCATTAGAGATGACGTTTAAACGAAAAGTACTTAATTAAGCGTGCTTTTCTAAATATCTAATAATCTAAAACCGGTTTTTCAATTAGTAGAAAAGTATGCTAATACTTATTATATGTCCCGCCATCTATCTAGTTATGATGTAACTAATAGATTCCATTAACTTTTCTATGACGGCATTTTTCTTTTGGAGGGCAACACTTAACATAAATGCACTGTATGAGATTTTTAAATGGATGTATACCTTCTATAGCAACATGTGAAAATCTCGATGGTGTAGTGGTTAGTGCGTTTAATCTGCGACTGCGGAGGTTAAGAGATGATTGCAAAGGCCGAAAATTGTTGATGGTAAATTTATTTTAGTTAGCGGATTTATTTTAGTTTTTTTTAGTTAGCGGGGTCATAAGTCTACCACTCGAGTCTTTTATTAAGTCAAGCACTCGAGCCCAGTATGAATTACTAAGTAGATTAGTTTCATCCATTAAGTACACTTGTGCTTTAGCACTACCAAAATTTAGCTTTGGGTCGGCACCAGTACGGAATGTTGGGTGAATTAGTTTCAAAATTCATCCAGCATTCCGTACTGGTGCCGACCGTACTTCCGTACTGATATAGTAGTGAATTATGGTACCTAAAGTTTAGCTCCACCAATCCGTTTTGGGTCCTACACGCGGACTCAGTACGGAATTCTGTGTGGTTTAGTTTCATAAATTAACAATACCTGTATTTAGCATCACCGATCCGCTTTGGTTCTAACATGCATTCCTTGTACAGAATGTCGGGTCAATGACAAAGTTGCATAACAGTTTATTCAGAAAACTGTATGAACTACGTCAACTAAACTAGAGTTTGGCAAGCGAAACGTGACACCACCTATTTTTCCGTTTTCATATGGCAACAACATAGAACTGTCAGTTTGACACTACGTTAGACAATTCAAGAATATTGAATTTTGTTGTTTTTGCGAATTTGAACTTGTGTTTTTGGTTAAAAATTATGTCGAAGCCGATAAAAAGTTCATCGAGGAAACTTCTTTCCATCATGATTGACAAGTTTACTGAAGTGAAAACTGAATTAAATAAAAATTTCATGGAGAAATTACAACGATTAGATAAAGTTGTATCTTTTTTAGGTTAGTTTTGTATTATAATTTTGATACTTTCGTTTTAATTTTCTGTAATTAACTAAACAGATATTTTTTATAAAATATTGCTCTATTTCAGATAACTGTGATGGTGATATTCAACCAATAATGGAGGAGATAAATGCAATAAAAACTTTAGAAAAACAAGAAATGCTGAATTCGGAAACGCAGTACTTACAAAAAATTTCTTCAATGACAGGTCTCTTTTCTTGTTTTGATTTAAGATAGATTGATAGTATTCCTATAATATTTACATAGGTTTTTTATGATGTATTGGTTTTTATTGTTGACATCCAATGATGTCATAAGAATGTTTTGTTTAACAAGGAAATTCACAGAATTCATGAAACTAATCAAACCATGTAATTGTTATACATGCTAAATATGCACATAAACTTAACTAAATTAAACATAAATTGCATTCATAGTTGAATAGGTATTTAAATTATTTTGATGTATGTGTCTATCATTATTTGCTTTTAAATACATTTAACATATCTTTGTTTCAAAGTGTTTAATCTTTTATAGATGTAAGTATAAGGACACTAAGAAGGATAAAAAATGAAGCATTAATTAATAAAGGAAAATGGGACACTCCTGGGAAAAAACGACCTCATCAACCAACAGTGTCTGCTTTAGATAATTTTGATTTAAGTGCAATTCGGAATAAAGTAAATGAATTTTACTGTGTGAAAAAAATTGTTCCAACATTAAGAAGCCTTCACAATGAATTAAAAGATGCAATAGGATTCAGTGGTAGCCGTGAGACTTTACGAAAAATTATGCTTAAGAATGGATTTTCTTTTAAAAGCAATGAAAATGAACGTTCTATGCTTATAGAAAAATACCAGATTTCTGCATGGAGGCACAAGTATTTGAGAGAAATAAATATAAAACGAAACGAAGGAAAGCAAATTGTGTACCTTGATGAAACTTATGTACATCAGAATTATAAAGTTAAAAAATCTTGGCAAGGACCTTCAACAACTGGTGTCACTACAAAGATATCCTCTGGAAAACGGCATATTGTTGTGCATGCTGGATCTGAGGAAGGTTTTGTGCCTGGTGCATTATTAGTGTTCAGTAGTAAATCCAAATCTGCTGATTATCATGATGATATGAACTCATCGAACTTTATGAAATGGGTCAGAGAAAAATTAATACCAAATTTAAGTAAGCCCAGTGTAATTGTTATGGATAATGCCAGCTACCATATAAAACAAATCAATAAACCGCCTATAATGTCTAATACCAAAGCAGATATCCGTAAATGGCTTGTAAATAATGGAATACATTTTGAGGAATATCAGACAAAGGCAGAGTTAATGTGTTTGGTTAATGATAAGAAAACATTGCCTGTATATGAAGCTGAAGAGATTTTAAAAGAACATAATCATGAACTTTTATTGCTGCCACCGTATCATTGTGACTTAAACCCAATAGAGATGGTTTGGAGTCAAGCAAAAAGAAAAATTGCAAGCAGAAACATTGGAATACCAGGAAAGGAAATGGAAAACTTAATAATAGAGTGTTTTAACTTAATTACCCCTAGTGACTGGAAGAAATACACTGATCATGTTTTAAATGTCGAAAATGATTACAAATTAAAAGATGGCAATGTTGAAAACGAACTTGAAAAATTTATTATATCTGTTGGTGCAGACAGTAGTGAAGAGAGTGACTCTGATGATTCCTTGTCATTGTTATCAGGTGTAGAATATTTAGAAACAGATTTTGACTATGAATCAGACTAAAGTATTTTTAGTCTGATTCATAGTCAAAATCTTATCTTAAATTTTCTATTGTGTTTAACATGATGATTTTGTGACACCTGTATTATGTAATTTATCCATGGCACTTAATTGTAACAAAAATAAATGTTTTTTTTATTGTAATCTGGTGTTTATATTGACTAATTTAATTTGATAGATAGTGGTTCTGGATCAGAGCAAAAGGTTGTGATGAAAATCCCTTAGGAGACATGTATGTGTTATGAACACATTATAAATATAAGGGCCAGAAATCAAAATTGGCTAACATCACATTTATTAAAAAAATGTGGCCAGAGTCGCCCATATTCATTACAAAAAAACAAAGAAGTCGTTGCAAAAAACACCCTTTTAATTAATGACAAATATGAATTTTTAATATTATAAGTGCTGTTAGCCAATAGGTATAACGAATGGGTTAAAAAAAAGATTCGATTTAGTCCGTCAGTCAGATAATAGAAAAATATTGGATACGTATTTTTTTTCGCTTTAATTTAACAACAAATGGCTTAAGAGGTACTATGCGACGACTTCAAATATGCTTTGCAACAATGTTACTTTAATACAGTTTATCGATACGAAATCAAGTGTCAAAATGGAGTCCAGTGGAGAATGCCGATATTGACATTTCGAAATTGCTCATCATTGATAGAGAATACGAAATAGTGATTTTGACACAATCAAAGTGTCTATTTTTTACGGTGATGACGATTCTTGGTTGTCAGTTGAGTTAGTGAATAGGCCTACTGATATGCTGTTAACTGTACAATTAAGAACAGTCACGCTTTAGTCAAATGTTCCAAAACAAATAATTTTAATTGATATCTAAATGTTAAGATTAAATATAATTAATAAAAGTATCAAAATTATTTTGCAGTACTACATTCAGTGTTTACTGCTTAAGAATTTTTGAAATTGCCGCCCTTTTCTTGTGACACGTTTCGCTTGCCAGACTCTAGTAACTTCGACACAATTTCTTGTTCGGTTTAATCCATCTACGACGTAAACGAAAAAAAAATTTTAGGCTAGTTTACGGTAAACGATAAACAGTCTCGGTTCGTTGATCGAAAAGCGTCGACACCTACTCCTGCTATAAAAATATCAATTAAAGTATGCTTTTCATTGTTCCATCTATAAAATCTAATACAAGCCGAGAGAGATAGTTATAATGTCATGTGTTCGTTCTTCCATCTTGCCATTATAAAAAAATATCGTAGATGAATTTTTTTACTAAATGACCCTTAGTTGAAACAATTGGTATTTTTACTATTTTAAAATTTTAAGTCATCACATTAATTTCGTTAATATTAAATTATAACAACAATCCTATTAATATTATAAATGTGAAAGTTTCTTTGTTTGGATGTTTAGATGTTTGACTGTTTGTCCGTCAATCACGCCGAATCTTCTGAACGGATTTTGATGAAATTTAAATTTGGTATACAATTTGGGTATTTGCTGACTGACTTTTTATCCCGCTAAACATTTCCCTTGGGGCCACGCGGGCGAAGCTGCTGGCGAAAGCTAGTATACTAATAAATCATTAGTGTGCATCAATGATATTATTAACATTTACACCCCCATCTTCATTATTCATATTATCTCTCTCCATCCACTGGTCTGGAAGAAATCGCGTTAAGCGATAAGGCCACCAATTGTTACATAATAGTGTTAATTTACTATAAAATTGTATCAATCAATTGTGTAATATGAACAATAAAGAGGTGTGTAGCGTATTGTATACATAGTATGTTTATTCCCCGCAAATTGCTACTACACCTGGACGCCATTTTGATTACGTAATTGCATTGCAAAATCAGTACCTTTAACAAATGAGCAAAAGTTGATTTTTGCAGGAAACGAATGGACCAGACAGTCAATTCTGTTCCTTTTAAATAACATAATAAAAAAACTGAAATTTGAAAAGTTCAAAACTTATATATAAATACAAATACGAAAAAGTACAAATAGAATATGAATTGTTTATTAAGTTTTGAAGACTAATTTTCTTTTAAACATGATTGAAAACCGGAAAGGTTGTCATGGAGAAATCAAGAACGTACCGTAGCGACATCTAGTTTGATTTCGGGAACTAAAGTTTTTTTTTAAATACTTCCTCATAACGACGAGGACACTTATCGAGGTGGATCATGTTGAGATCACATATCGATTTTGTTATGTTTTTATTGGTTTCTATTGTTATTGTTACGTTATGTTGTAACTTGTTATGTTTGAGTAAAATAGCAACAGCTGTTATGATTTTCATAAGGAGTAAACATAATTTCACTACTAATAAATACATATATTTAATGTAACTCATTTCATTATCATTTTGTCAAAAAAAAATGTCAATACGGTTTGTTATCGCGTTATTTATTACAAAGCAAATTTATTTTTTCACAGATTATTTACATGTAAATTGATTCTGTTTTCGAAAATTCATATCATAAATTAACAAAGTACACGTTATTGTATTGTAATTACAATATTTTTGGTATTATTCATAAATATTCAAATAATTAGAAAATGATTTATCTAATGTCTTTTGCGCTATCTATATTCTATTCTATTATTTAAACAAGGTTTCAGCGCATCAGCAACTTACGGGACTTATACTAATGAGAAAGTATTTTAAACAAAAGAAGAAAGCACTAAAAAGCACCTCACTAGATGGCGACTCTACCAAAAGTTGATTTTTGCATGAAACGAATGGATTAAAAGTCATTTCCGTTCCTAAAAGTTCAAAACTTAGATATCAATACAAATACGAAAAAGTACAAATAGAATATGAGTTGTTTATTGAGTTTTGAAAATTAACTTACTTTTATACATGAAAGAAAACCTGAAGGGTTGGCATAGAGAAATCAAGAAAGTACAGTGGCGACATCTAATTTGATTTCGGGAACTAATGTTTTACAAATATTTCCTCATTATGTATCAAGGCTATTTCTTAACTTATTTTCTACTGATATCCCTTTTGTCATGGCAGTGTTAAAAATAAGTTGCGTATTGTGGTGATCTTGTTAGATAATAATCTAATAAAGTTAATTTCTTATAATCTGCAGTTGTAGCTTAGCTAAGTTGTATGTTTAGCTTTGATAAAATAATGTAAAGAAAATACAATAATTTTAGGAATTTTAAATAACGAAGAAAACTCCCTGTAGTTCGTTGGGGGCCATAAATTACGTCACACAAAATTCAGGATTTTTACCCCCCCCCCTTCTCTCACCTATTTTTATCTATACAAATTGTACTATAAATATTGTTCTAATGTCACAGTTCGTCGACCCCCCCCCCTCCTAAAGTGTGTGTCATGCTACGCGTGCAGGTTCTGTTTACTGGCATGTGACGTCACACGTAAACAGGATGTCATGTCAAAACTGTGTATCTCTATACACAAAATTAATAGTTATACATACAATTTGTAACTAATTATGACCTTTGTTGCTGATTAAAAAACCCTATTCATTCATTCACCACACATAATATAAAAATATGATTAAAACGTAATATAGTAATGTTACTATAAGTTCAACAAACAACTAATAGCAATAAAACTAACTTACCTAGTTGTTATTGTTTTCAGAACTTTTGTTGAATATTATTTATAATAATGGCATTTAGCTACGGTATACAATAATATTACCGTGATATAGTTTTTATAAATAAAATCTAAGTATCTAAGATTTTTTCATTATAATATTAAACAATATGTATCAAATATACTAGATTTCGTACAAAGTAACATGATTTTTGGCTAGAATGACGTTTGTGCAAAGCATAACGTGCAAATAAGTTGTTCTTTCGAAATTGAGAGTTAAGAAAAACTATGATTTGTTATTAATATTTATAATTAAACGAATATAAATTAGTTTCCTTAGCTATTTTTTGGATTTTATTATGATCCTGTGTTATGCTTTACATATATATATTATTTTTGTTAAATATGATTACTTACTTTTCTTAGAGGTTCAAAATGAATCGAGGAACTTTGACTTATATTTTGGTAGTTGACGTGCGGTCGTGTGTACACACGTAAAATAGTGCAGCCGTGTGAGGTTACCACAATATGTCTAATTTCTGCATTGCATTTTGACATCTTCTGTCAATATATTACTTTAAAAAAAAAAGAGTGGGAAAATTTGCAAATAGTCTGAAGTGCAGTTGACTGTACATAGTGTTCTTGTAATCTCTATATGTAGAAAAAAAGAAACCTAAGAATTTGATACTTGAATTTAACCCGTATGAACACCATTGACGTTTTGCCGAGCAAGGCCCGCTAGAAGTACACACGTAGTAATGCTTAATTTAGTGGTATTCACTTATTGGGTTACAAGTTGTAACTTACAACAGACATTTAATATAAACAAAAATCATATTTTAAGACAACAAATCATTTTTTATTAAAGTTCTCTTTAACTGCTTTACTATCTTTGAAGTTTCTTGATATATCACTACCTTTTTCTTTTTTATTTGCTATTCTTGATCCAAATTGCAAGGCTCTTTTAGGTAATATTGCAACTTGTCGTAAACCAAGATGAAATGCGACAAGTCTCAAGAAAAGTTTGTCTCCTATTCCAGGTCCCAATTCTTCACTTGGGAAACACCTGAAATTTAAATTACTTTTATTGTTAGTCTACAAATATACGTAGTTGATAATGAAATTTACTTTCACTGAATTTCCATTTTAAACCTTAAAATCAAGTGGATAAAATTGACACGTTTATATAATAAGACATACTATTGACTAAACTTATCTATTACATATTAATAAAGTCAATTGAGCAGCTGGATAATTTTCCCTTTGTACAAGTATTTGCAGGTGATTGTGATGTGATGTGGTTCATTATTTTATATTACGCCCAGTTGCACAAACGTTCATTAATGAACAAACATTTATTAAATTTGCCATTAATTTAATGGTTCATTAATAATACAAGTTTTGTAATTTCGAACGTCTATTAAAACTTGAAGTAGTTTTAAGCCTTAAGGTTTACTTTAACGTTTTAAGTTTTACTTAAAGAACGTCTATAAAACTACTTTAACTTTTATAGACGTTCGAAATTAGAAAATTTGTATATTAATAAAACATTAAATTAATGGCAACGTTCGAAATTAGAAAAATTGTATTATTAATGAACCATTCAATTAATGGCAACTTTAATGAATGTTTGTGCAACGGGCAGTTTGAGCCTTGAATTTGTAGGGAGCGTTTTCGGCAACTAGCAACAGTTTCACAAGCGTAGCACCGTATCTCCGAAACAATTAACTGCATTCATGCTGCTACCTCTATGTTATTTCTCAGATATTAATGGACTATTTATTTACAAAATAAAAAAATGTTGTTTATTAGCCTATTATAACTTCACTAAAAGGGAATTTCGTCCTTGTTCCTCTTTTAAGAATAGCTGAACATTACTTCCTACAATCTGTCAGAAATAATAATATTGAATAACATTGAAACCATTGTTTACACTCAGATATGTTTATTTTACACATTGAGATATATTTATATAATTAATACTAACTTGAACCATGGCTTTAATTCCAAAACATATTGCGTGAAAGTTTCATCTAAGTATGGCATTCTAGGCTGACGTCCATGGTCACAAATGATACGATTGTCTCTGGCTAAATTTCTAAATGAAATTCTCTTCCAGTCTTTAAGCAACTCTTTATAGAGGCCTGTCCAACTATCGCGTCTAAAAATATTTCTATGTCTGGTATAACCACCAAAGAGTTCATCAGCTCCAGAACCTATTATTAAAACCTGTGATCATAATTACTAGAGGTTATTAGGTATATTTATGGATATAATTGATCATAATCTCACATAATGATCGTAATGTGAATAAATAGGTTTTAGATAAAAAAAAATATCCAAAAAGCTTTTATCAAGTTGTCTCTATTATATTTCAAGAAAACGAAGCGGGAGGAGTTATCTTCATGCTTTTTTTTCTGTCTAAATAAATGGTTTAAAAATGTGAAGACTTGTACACAGACATAAAAATTATTTAATGAACATCAATGAAAATATGCTCATTAGTATCAAAAAGTGCTTGAAAAATTGGGGCTGGTGGATTTTTAATTAAAGATAAAGTGTTTTATTTTAAAATTGCATTATGCATGCAAAAATAAAAAAAATTAAAATAAAAATTATTTACCCTACATGGTGACACTGTTTCTTCATCATTCCCTTGAGCAGCAAACCATAATGCAGATCCTAAACTTTCATCTAAAATTGTCTGCCTAGGATATATTAAATCTGCTATAGTTGTTTCTTGATATTTCATTAATACATCATTTGGTACATTGATTTCTCTAAATATCCAGTTTCTATGTGGGCATAATTTTTTTAACTCTTCTAAAGACTGTTTTCCAGTTAATCTATCTGGAACATCATATGTCTCCTTGTCCTTTTTAAAAGCCACATTTATAAGATCTATACTTTGGGCCTTAGGTAAATGTTTGTCAACTAAGTATGCTAATATTGTGCAATCTAGTCCTCCCGAAAATAAAATTCCAACAGAAGAATGATAACATAATTCTGCATTAAACAGACATTTTTTACATTTCATTGGTTGTTTTTTTGTGCGCATTTCTACACTCAGATTGAGTAAATTTAAAATTTTTAAAACAGAGTCTTTTATTTCAGAGTTATTTAGCAGAGTATCCATAATCACATACTTATCTTTTGAAATCTTAGCAGTGGTTTCTATGAAATTTCTAACATTGTCCTAAAACCATAAAAATATAGCTAATTAAAAATGTTTGAAGGAGTATTTAAATTTAACATTTATTTATATTATCTACAAACCTCAAAGTTAAAGTCAATATTTATATTACAGTCTAGAGAAAATCTGTCATCAGGTATATTTTGTAACAGTTTAACCGATTGTGCCCATGCATCTATTTTATACTCATGTTCAAATACATCCTTATTCCAAGGATAAAGCTGCACATTATTAGTTATCAAATTAATTATATAAATATGTGACGCTGGTATCTCAATACAATCATATTTTCGACCTGAAATTTTTAAGCAAACAGAATTAAATATGTAATTCAAAACACTATTCAATAATTCAAAAGACATAATCAATTATGACAACTTTTAATATAAATAAATACTTACTTAAAACACTGCTTATTATTAATGAATGATCATTATTGTAAAATAGTAAGGAATTTCTTCCAATTTTATCTCTGCTAAAAATTAAATCATTGTTTGACTTGTTATAATATATGAAACTGAATGGACCCTTGATTTTCTTTACTTCTTTGATAATTTCTGTAGATGATACTGTCTGTAAATTTTCCCAAAAGAGTGATTGTACTCAGCACAAAAGTAAACCCAAATACTAAAAGGACAATGTCCAGCCCCCATACATTTTTCGCCTAAGAACCTCTAAGCATGTACTATCACTTTTCGTGTTCTAAAGTATCTATATTTACGTCTAAATACATGTTTAAGTAACGGACACTTCTAAGAAATGTATAAATCAAAAAATATATTTTGGATTTGAGGTTATAATTTTAACAATTGTAGCGTGCGGTTAGATTCTTTTTAATGTTTGTTTTACTTGCTTTTTGTAGGGAAATGTATGTCTACTTTGCTTTAAATGTTGATTGTTGTTGTTTGCTTTAAAAGGTTCTGTAGGTTCTGTATCGGGAGCATGTACTTACCAATCTTGGAGCAACCCAGTGTTGTATACACTGAAGGATCTGCTCATCTTCTAATACCATGCAACCAGAAGCTGAACCGCAATTAACACAAAATACTTCAACACACCCAGATTCCATGTTAATGTCCGTTAAATAAATGCCAAGTCGTCGTCTATAGTAGGTCGGTATGCCGTAAATCACTGCCGTAGGTCGATATAATAAGACGAAATCAGTCCTTAGTTCAAGCCAAGTCGTTATTTTATAACTAATATTCACAAGACACAAGAAATCGTACAAACAAACTCAAGCGACGTAAACACAACGCGAGTATGAAAGCGATTGTCAAACAAAACTTCAAAAGTTCAAAATTGTCAAACGTATGTAAAAGAGCGCTTCCAGCCGCTTAAAAATCTACGAACGTTTTGAGTCTCGTTTTAATGTCAAGCGCTTTAAGTGTTCATTGGTTGATTATACATCAAATTGTGTATAGATCCTGATTTGTCAACTTATTAAAATATGGTGGCAGCGTTTATTGAAGTTTATCAAATGTATTGATAATACTTTTTAAAGTAATTACAAAAATGGGCAGTGTCCGTTTGATTTTAAAAGCTGATATATTAATCATAAAATATGATAAGAATTATGATATACAAGATATTCTTAGAGGTTCATAGGCTAATTTGGACATTGTCCTTTGATTTTTGTTTTGTTGACCCAATTTTTAAAGAAGTTTTTTAATTATATGAACAGTTTTTTATGTAAGTATTAGTTGTCACTTTTTAGGGTTTAATAAAGATATATCATTTTACATGTTTAGTTTCTGTACAATTACTTTCCTGCCAGATACTATTCTGTATTATAATAGTGAATATTAATTATGTGTTATTCATATGGATCAAGTCCTAGAAAAGCAATTAAGTGTGTACGTGCAATATCAAGTAAAAATATCTAGCAAGTTTGATATATATTATTAGCTGATTAAGTAAGAGGTTTTTAAAATTCTTAAAATATCAGTTAAATACATACCCTGTTGAATCTGTCCATAATTTCTTCAGTATCGTTTTTTTTGTCGTTCAAGTTCCAATCAAATATATCACCATTATATAAAAGAATTCCTTTATCATTTTCAAGGGGTTGAGAAACAGGTTGCAGGCCCTGCAACCATAGTACTGCTCCACAGCAAGTGATATTTATTCCATTAGTGTTCACATTCACAATTTTATTACTATCTGGTCCTCTTCTATTGACATGAGTAAGAATATAGGAATCTGGAGGCTAAAATTATTTAGATAGTTGAACTTTAATATGAGTTATTTAGTTGTAAATAACATATATTTAAAAAAGAAGATTTTACAAGAAGCGTCCATATATTTATTTTATGGTAGTAGGTAGTAAATTTAGTAAAATATAAATGTTATCAACTTTTACATTAATACTTACCTTAACTGTGCCAGCACTTCGAAAATATATTTCACACATTATTCCACACATTTTTATTTGAAGATTAAATTATGTTTCAGCAAGGTTTCTCTTTCAGTAGTTAAATTCGATTTAAAAAAAACCCTGCTCGATCCAGATTGTCCAAGAATGAAATCTCAACAAACTTAACTAAAAGAAATAAAACATTAATTTTTGAAGAATACCTATGGAATCATTGCAAAAACCTTAGGAAGTCTAAAAAACGTCTCCACAAACTACATAGATCTTCTTTTTTGATTTTTAAACAAATTCAAAAAGCGCAAGTTACGCTCAGAAGAAAAAAAAATCTCTCTATAAATCATACTATCTGTGACAGATGACATTTTTACCAGCGCCATAGATTGTGACAAGTTTTTGCAAATCTATAGATTTACTATTTTTACCATAATGACGTTCCTTGTCGACATTAAATCGATAAAACAAGTTAATGTAACTAAGATATGGCATGGATATGACCGATGATATTGACGCTGGAAAGCAAACACTTAGTAACCTGCACAACCAAAATAAGAAAGTATTTTAAGAGAAAAAAAGAAAGCACTAAAAAAAGCATCTCACTAGATGGCGACTCTACCAAAAGTTAATTTTTGCAGGAAGCGAATAGACCAAACATAGTCATTTCCGTTCCTTTTAACTAACATATTTAAAACTGAAGTATGCAAAGTTGGAAAGTTAGATATCAATACAAATACGAAAAAGTACAAATAAAATATGAGTTGCTCATTGAGTTTTGAAGATTAATTTACTTTAATATATGAAAGAAAACTGGAAGTGTTGTAATGAAGAAATAAAAAAAGCACCGAAGCGACATCTAGTTTTATTTCGGAAGCTAATGTTTTTTAAATACTTCCTCATTCGGCGGACTTAGTGAAGCTCCATAATATAAAACGTTTTCTAAATTAAATAAATTTTTATTTATAAAGTAAAATACGTGTGTTTCCGGTTTTACGTGCACGTGTACAAGTAGTTAGCGCGTTTGATCTGAATTTGAGAAGATTGACAGGAATGGAATGCTTAGCCAAATAAAAAAAAAGTATTTTGCTAATCAGGATGTGCAGGGTTTTTGCTCTCTTCCCTTCTCCTATGTGTACCATTGGTTAGAGAATTTGTTCGCGATTGCGAAGATTAAACGACGTTTGCTAGTAATGGAACGGGCAGTCAACTTTTTTGTAATTGGTTAAGCGTGGTGGAGTAGGACAGGCGTTGCGAAATATTCTTAATGAATGAATAAAACTAATCCACCCAGCATTCCTAACTGGGCCCGAGTGTAGACCCCAATAAGGATTGGTGGTTCTTAAGCACATATATTCTTAATGGGTGAAACCAACCACCTAAAATCCGCGCTGGGCCCGCGTTAAGTCACAATGGGGATTGGCACTGCTAAAACATAGATATTGTTAATGGATGAAACTAGTCTAAGCAGAATTCCTAACTGGGTTCACGTGGAGGTCTCAATGAGGATTAGTGGTGCTAAAGCATAGGAATTCTCAATGGATGAAATTAATGTACCCAGTAATGCGTACTAGGACATCGTGGCCGTCCTCGTCCCAAAAAGAATTTGACCATCTATCTGATTACTAACTTTGCGATCGTTGTTTAATCTCCACAATCGCAGATCAAACACGTTTCTTATTTTGTAATATTATTATTACGGGTACTAACCCGTATATGTGAGATTGCGCAACTGATATTGCTCCTCAACCATCACAAATCGAAAGTAAATCGAGCCAGTTGAGCCCTCACACAATTAAAGCGATATCGCAGATCATGAGTACGATTTGTGACCAATATTGATGGATTGTGCAATCTCAAGAGTAAACAAACATATTATAAGGGTGCGGGATTCGTGGGATATCGCTCATGGATATCGAATTGCACGAAAAGACTACAAAAAATAATAAAAAGATATCAATTATAACAAAAAGTTTAACAAGATTATAGTGTACGATAATAGTCGCAGTAGTTAAAAAACTGAATTATATGTAAAGTTATAGTCATCTTATTAGAAAGGGGTAAATAGCCTCTGTGCTTTATATCTCGCTCGATTGTTTTTCAGCTACGAGTACTCTGTCCTGTTATATAGTACTAAGTCCATGGTTTGCCCTCGCTTTCCAACATCTAATGTAATGTTGTGAACTCAACTTGTGCTCAAAGCAAAGATTACAATATTATACTGGCTCAAAGTTTGTTGTCAATATTTCCTTAGTCTGTGTTGTACTGTTGTCAACCAATTTGTAAATCACCTATTGAAACCAACGAAGGTGCGATAACTTGTAAAATTTGTGGAATTTATTTTAGTTCCTTTCAACCAGTATAGTTTTCGTAATTGTGTAATATTGAGGTGCTTGCTTACGTATCCGTAATATATATATATAAAATAAGTTTATTGGTCAGATTTTATTAAAAATACTGTCCAAACGCAAATACAAGCACTTTAAAACCATTTTACTTCAATTTTATCTCAACTTATTTTTTTGTAATTCGTTAAGGTTAAGAGAATGGCGGAACAAAATACAGAACCTCCGACGAATGAAGTAGAGAGTAATTACTCTACCCCTGCAAATGATCCGAAAAACATGCAAGAAGTAACACAATACGTAAGTACTTTGTTTTGTTAGATAAATAATATCACAAATTGCAATATAACTTCGGTACTGGTTTAATATATCTTTATAATTGCATACTATAAACAAGGTAAAAAAAGTACTTTGACTATTTACCACTCTTGGACTGAAGTTCATGAAAAAACAATGTATATAAAGTTTACCAGTGCCAGGTGCCACCATTTGAACCTGTAATCTTTCGCAATCTAGGCAACTGCTTTCACTACTAACGAGCTTGTTGTATTTATTGTTGTGTATTAAAAGCTTGTTGTTGTGTATTTTTCATAGGTTTTTAGGTAATTTACCTTTAAACAGTTGACAATAATATGTGGTGTAGTGTAAGTGAAAGTAATACAAATTATGTGTATTCTTAAAAAAATAATAACTTTCAGTTTTTGTTAGGTGCATGTATTTCATTCAAAAGATATAAAATCTGCCTAATAAAAAATACAATGGTACATAATACATTTCACTTGAGTTGTTATTAAATATATAATAATATGTTTGCTACGTAATAAGTTTGTTTTGAAATTAAGTTTGAGAGATGTCAAATGTGGCCTATTACATTTGACATCTCTCAAACTTAATTTCAAAACAAACTTATTATGTAGTAAACATATTATTATATATTTTTCATAGTTAGGGCAATGGTACAATTGGTATCATTTATAGCCTTATAAATAATAATAAAACAATTTTATGTTTTACCAATTTTAGTATAATGATAATAATATTAGTAAGCTTTTATTCATAAGAAAATTCCATGCCAGATATACTTTAAATTATTACAATTTTATTCTTTGATTTCATAATTATCTTATTTAGCCAAATTATTTAATGTTTGTATATATTGATATTTTATTATTTATGTCAATGTTAGGTTTTATATGTCAATATTAATATGTTAAGTTGGTTTGTGGTTATTCCTGTTTGCCTTTTAGCATAGGCCTCCCCATGTCACTCCTGCAATTTTTGTAAGTTCATCTTGCGATTGTCTCTACCTCCCTCTCCTCCTTTTCCTGTCTCTTGGTATCCAACTGAGTTTTCTTTACACTACTTTTCTATGCCTTTGTTTAGATTACTCCCTTCCTTCCTTTTTTTCTGGAATACACAAAATAAAATAGAAACTATAAGTTATGTACCATATATAACTTTGACCAATAAACCTTTCTAAATGTAATAAATCTATTTAATTTTAAATAAAGTAAACACAGCTACAATATCCGTTTATGTCAGTGGAACATTGCCTTTTTGCTCAAATGGGCAATGCAAAGAGGGTTATGTGTTTATGAGTCTATGTATGTATGTTTGTTCCTATATCGCATTGTAGAGACCAAACGGCTTGGCCAATTTTGATGATTTATACATCAATCAATTTGTCTTAACCTTGTGAGTGTTACTAAACACATAACAGTAATCAAAATTCTTTTTTTAGGGTACCTCCTGTACATGTAAAGTGGGGATGATTTTTTATTTTTTCGATTTTCCTATAGTGTGGGGTATTGTTAGATAGGTCTTTAAAAAATGTTAGAAGTGTGCAAAGACCGTTTTTGGGTACTGTGAGCCGTTCGCGAATTAGTAAGCTTTAAAGTGCCAAGTACAAGCCCAGCAGTTAAGAATGTTATTAAGTACTGCTGAATAACTGCTCCATTAAAATAGTATTAAAATCTAACTACACATAAAACATATTATAAATTCAAAAGCAGAATTGAAGGATTAACAGTCAGGACCCATTCAAATTATACGGGGCTCTTTTGATTGGTCAAAAAGGATTTGGTTTAAAAAAAACTCTATAGAAACAAATTACAAAGTTACTCCTAAAATTCTCAATTTACTCCATTTCTTATTGTAATTATTTTTTTAGGGAAAATTTATAGATAAGTAAATTACTTTGTGAAGTTTGCCAATAATTCATCAAACAATTTTTGACGCATAATTTGACATTCTTTGTACCCTATCTATTTTCTGTGGGCAATGAGTGTTATGGTATGTTATGTTTCACGGCGGGGTTTTCCGCAACTCGACACTCTGTGCTTATTTTGCATGACACGGGGTTGCATTAGTCCTGCCACCCCAGCTCCTCCAGACCACAAGTTCCCGAACTCTGCCGCATGCCACTAGTGTTCTTGGGCTACCCAGATGTGTAGTCCTTTGTCTTGATAGGCCTCTGCATTCCAGTCACACATGAGCGCTTGTCTCCTCAGTCTCCATGCACACCCTACACAGAGGACTGTCAGAATAACCCATGTTAGCCATGCCATGCCAGTCGTAGATCTACCTTCGAAATTGCTTCTTTGTTTGCCTGCATTCTGTCGTTTGTGACCAGTATTCATCATGTCGGCGTAAACTACGTTCTCTTACCCAGTTCCTGAGTTGTCGAAATGGGTTGGGTATAATGGGTTTCGGTCCGATGGGTTTTCTGCTGGACCCCTCTCTGGCCAAGCTGTCTCCTGCATCATTACCCCTCGACCCACTATGTCCCTTAATCTATTGCAGAGTTAATTTGTTTTTCTTACATACCATCGTTAATTTACAATGGTATTCTTGTATTAAACCTGATGTCATTATGTTGCTGTCTAGTACTTGTAATACTGATGCACTGTCAGAGAGTATACGGATATACTTACCTCTCACTCTCCACTGATACACTGTAATTGACACAACAGCCTTTATTATACCCAAACATTTTGCCTGGAAGACTGTGTTGTAAGTTCCCAGTTCCGTAGATATGTGGATATTTAGGTCCTCGGAGAAAACACCCGCATCTATACCTGAGTTAGTTTTAGAGCCGTCTGTAAACACTCTTAGCTCCTTATGGAGGTAGGAATCTGGTGTGTCCTCGTAAAGTTGTATTTTGTATTTCTTGTCAAATACGTGATTTCTGGGAATTAAGTCGTTTATTGCCTTAAAGAATGGGTATTCTTTGTCGATGTCCTTTAGGATATTAGTGTGCGTAGTACCACCATAGCCCCAGCGTGTATAAACGTGTGGCAGTGCACATGGTCTCCTGTTGTATGAAAAGATGTGGAAGTCTTACATTGAGTGTCGTCTCTAGTGCTGTAGTCGGGGTAGTCCTCGTGCAGCCAGAGATTGCGCAGCATGCGCATCTTTGGAGGCTTTTTAGTTTATTTATGATTGTAATCTGTGTTGTCTTAGTCCACCGCACAATCGCTCCGTAGTTTATGATGGGCCTTATAATTGTCTCATAAAGCCTCCTGGTAATATGTGAAGCTAATCCCCATTTCTTACCTATCATCCTGCTGCATTGCCAGAAGATGATGCTGGCTTTTGTAATGGTTTTGTCTATATGTGTTCCCCAGTTTAGTTTGGCATCTAGTATAACACCTAAATACTTTACCTCATTGGAGAGATTTAAGTTCATGCCAAATAGCTTTGGCAGTCTAAATTCGTCCATTACCCTTTTATTCGTGAACATTACTAATTCAGTTTTTGCAGGGTTTACCTTTAGTTCATAGTCGTTGCACCACTTTTCTACCACTTCCAGTGCTGTACGTGTGATGTCGCACACTGTGTTTGCAAACTTGCCTGATATTAAGATAACAAGATCATCTACGTATCCTATTGTTTGAAAGCGGCGGTTATTTAATTTAGTGTTCAGGTCGTTGACTACCACGTTCCACAGAAGTGGCGAGGGTACTCTTCCCTGTGGACAGCCTTTAGTCGCTAGTGCCTTTAGCTGATGGTCCCCTTGTAGTCTTATTAGTCTGTTACGCAACATATTGCTTACCCACTGTGTGATGGTATCCTCCACACCATGAGCTGCAAGAGCTTTGGCTATGCTGTCGAAGCTGGTTTTGTCAAAGGCTCCTTCAATGTCTATGAAGGTGTTTAGACATACCTCCTTCCTTTTGAGGCTACCCTCTATTGTACTTACTACAGAATGAAGAGCAGATCCTGTCGATTTACCGGCTGTGTATGCATGCTGGTTAGGATGCAGCGGTATGTTTTTCAGTTGATTGTCCCTAAGTTCTCTGTCACATAATCTCTCTAAGGTTTTAAGGAAAAAAGACAAGAGACTAATTGGTCATAATGATTTAGGATCACTATAGTCAGATTTACCTGATTTTAGGATGAATATCACCATAACTTCTCTCCATAATTTTGGAGTGTACCTGTGTGCTAGACACGCTCTTAGCAGAGGCACCAGAATTCTTGTCACTGCCTCCTTGGCCCATTGTAGGAGCGCCGGAAAGATTTCATCTGGTCCAGTTGCCTTAAATGGCTGGAAGGTGTCGATAGCCCATATTACCGTTCTCTGTGCAGTATCCCAGGATTGTTCAGTAGGGGTCCAATTTGTTACCTCCCAGTTTTGCGACATCTGTATTATGCAGCCCGGAAAGTGAGTTTCCAGTAGAATCTTGTTCGCATCCTCCTGTGTATCGGTGAGTGTGCCGTCAGTTTTACGCAGCTGTCCCTTGTCTTGTTGTTTGTCTTTAGATAACAGTTTCCTCACCTTATTTGCTTTCGTGCATGAGTCTATACCGGAACAGAATTTCCTCCAGGATCCTCTGTTTCCAGTGTCGTATACGTTTCTTATACAGTAGTTTTGCATCTCTGTACGCGTTCCAAAGGTGGGCAATGAGATACAAAGGTGTTTTGGATTTATTTACTCGTTTAAGTTTGCTAAAAACTAAATAGTGAGTTATTCATTTATTAAGTACCTGCGATTTTCTTCTGTTGTTCTTGTTTCAATGTCGACACAATACATCATTTATTAATCCATCTCATGAAGTAATTTATTAATAATATTCATAAAATTTATATTATTTATGCACAAGAATTTCATTCAATTTAAAGTTCTTTGAAAACCAAATTGATAAGTTAAATTGATCGAAAATTTAGATTATGTCAAATGTGGCTTTTTATAGATGACCCAACTCTAGTCATATTTACACACTGTCAAAAAGGAGCTAGGTTGTATTGTTGATCGAAGGAGGAGAGTCACGAATACAAGTAAAAGTGTTGGAACCCATGTCAGCCACTATAACTGATCATGATTTCTAAGTCTTACAAAATATTGTTTGAAAATCATGATTTCTAAGAATGTAGTAACATCATACCTTCTGAGTCTAAATTACAATGAAACTGAAGATATTTTGAAAATTAAGGCTTAAAGATTTATTGGATATGGAGATGTGTGCAGGGACGTATTTTAAGATTGCGCGCTCCGGGCTCCTGTAGCTTTCCGCCCCATCAAGGAATGAAAGGAAACAAAAAAAAAATTATCGATTTTATATTTTACATTTTTTTTCTGTGGACAAAATTTTTAATAAATTCGTTTATTACATCGTCATAATCAATTTTATTTGTTAAATCGGCTTCGATGTTCAAAATTGCCAAATTATTAAGCCGTTCTTCGATAAGACGCGATCTTAAATAGTTTTTTATCCGTTTGAGTACCGAAAATGAGCGTTCTGCACTACAATTCGTTACTGCAGTACAAAGAAATATGCGCAACGCAATTTCAATGTAAGGAAACGCCACTTTCAGATCCTTTTTATTAATTAATAAGTTTAGTTCGCGTAAACTTGTTTTAGTTTCTTGTCCCTGAGATGGCAAAAAATTCTTTAATAGTATGCATTCATCCTTTAAATCATCCGCAAGATCAGTAGGATAAGACTTTTGGAGTGATAATGCGTTCAATTTAATTTCCGCCTCAGATAGTGTACTTAAATTGGATAGAAATACAAATTTGGCGGTTACAGCGTCATAGGATGTTTTACGCCTCCTTAACTCGCCCAACAGTTGGTCGCATATTGGCAAAAAAGTATTCACTTTAAAATAGTCCCGTCCTTGTAAAATTACTTCTCCTTCGCGTTGCTCATCGTCTCGTTTTTTTCTTTTTGTTATCCTTTTCCGGCTATCTTTGTAATCTTCAGTGCACTTTTCTTTTCCAGCTTTTTCAAATGCATCGAATAATTCGCGTTGATTTTTCACAAAAGTAATCAGGGAATCGTAAAGGTTGGAGACTACCTCAACGTTTGTGTCCACACCTTGCAAAACTTTAGAAACGGTATTAAATTGTTTTAGGACTGATCCCCAGAATTCCGATAATATCGCTGTTTCTAAGGAATTCAGTTGAGCCAATAAATCTGTAGCTTCATTTTTGATTAAGGCTTTTTGTTGCGAAGAGTTACTTTTTATTGCTTCCAGAGCTTTAATTATTTGTTCCCAATTTTTATTCAGGCTCGAGCAAGCATCATCTCTTGCCGACCACCGCGTATGTGACAAACTTTTAACGGTTATATTTTCAGGTTTCGTTAAAAATGTTTGCAATATTTTTGTACGTTCCGTTGATCCTGTAAAAAATACGTACAGATTTTGCAATACTCCAAAAAACTTTGTAGCTTCTGGGCAACACTCAGCTGCTGAGGATCCGATCAAATTTAAGGAATGTGCGGCGCAAGGTATATATGTTGCATATTGGCATTTTTCCTTAATCTTTGCCTGCAGGCCGTTATACTGCCCCGACATGTTGTTTGCATTATCATAAGACTGACCTCTACAATTGGCAATATCGATATTCAGTTTGTCAAAAGTCTTCAAAATGGCTTGCAACATGTCTTCTGCTTTGTGACCAGTATTTGGCAGAAAGCAAAATAAACGTTCAACTGGTTCTGCATTATCTTGAACAAATCGCACAATTAAAGAAAGTTGATCTTAATGGGTTATGTCCGGAGTAGAATCAACACTAAAAGAAAAGTATTTGGCTTTTTGAAGTTGCTCAATTATGGTTTCGGTAACTTTGTCAACCATAATTTTAATAATTTTTTCATATGTTGCAAATGATAAGTAAGAGGTGCTGCCCTTTCCTGGGTTGCCAAAATGCTCAATATGTTTGGCAAGAAATGGATCAAACTCTGAAATAGCTTCCAACATCATCAGAAAGTTTCCATTATTTGTGGATCCAAATTTATCTGTCTTTCCACGAAAAGGAAGTCCACGCGTAGCTAGATGTTTCACAGCTACAACTACTCGAAGTAATACGTTACGCCAATACTTTTTTTCATCTTCTAATTGTATATATAATTGAGAATCAACCCGGGTCTCTACTTGTCCCCGATTTTTCATTTTTAGCAAACAGTTTTTATGCCCCAAACTAGACTCATGAACCTTAAGTCTCTCGTGAGCATGTTTCCAATCAGAAAAACCTAATTCAGAAGTAAGTTGACCTCCATGTTCACTTTCGAAAAGACGACATGGTCCACAAAATATGGAACCCTTCGATTTTGAATATATTAAATAATTACGACAAACTTTCTCTCCGTTTATGAGTCTGGTTTTAAATATTTTTTTTGTTCAAGAAGCGATATTGAACCTCGGATCTTCGCTTGGATTGGGAAAAAAATAGACGGTTCAACCGGTTCAGGAAAGAACAAGGGACGACTTGCATACTTCAATTAATTTCGAATTTCTCCAGACATGAAATCCACGCACATCACAAGGGGCGGCTTTCATACTTTAATTGAATTTCAAATTTCTTCAGACATTAAATCAACATGTGGAAAGGTGGCTCAGGGGCGTTCTAGGCTTAAGTCTGAAAATATTTTTTGTATTTTTTCAAACGTCCAAACCAAAGCCCTAGCCCTGGGCCGCCCCTCGCGGCCTGCCGCCCCGGGCTATAGCCCTTCTGGCCCTAGGGTAAATACACCCCTGGATGTGTGAATGTTTGTATGTACACATTCACAAACACTCTCTTCCTATAAACACATACACACAAGCACACACTTACACAAAAATGCACACATTCGCCCACTCGCTTGCATACGGTCTCAACGTCTCACACTTGATGTGATACTTTTTTTGCTTTTCATTGTTTTGAAACCTTTTCTTTAAAAGTGGCATTGTGGTTATTAATTCGAGAGGTGGAGGCCAGGAGTGCCATAGAACGGGGTCTACCTAGTTTGGACTCCTGTCTTCTACATAAACTTGCTGTATTTTTATGTTGTACACATTTGTTGCTCGAAATGTAGAAGAAAATAAAATAAAGATTATTATTATTATTATTAATATGACATAATGAGCAACATGCTAGTATAAAAGGATTATAGATCAACGTATATAAACGTATTATAAATCCCCGGTGTATTCTATAGAGATAGTCTTTTCATTTCTGACGATTGAAGTACCTATAAGGTACAGTTTAGTCTATTATCGCTAGATCGGGGCTTGAGTCTGCGTTCTATTCTATAATACTATGGTATTGTGAATTCGTGATCGTAGACAGGTTCGAGAAGCTTGAAGTGCCTAATCTCCCAGAGTGCAAGTTTATAATAGGGCTCTTAACTACAATTACACTATTTTTACTATAACTTTCTTACGCTGCTCACTCTATCCTACACGTTTTATATATCAGAATAAAGCAATGTCTGGCGGCCCTGGGATCTTGGTCTTAAATATTTAACTAAGTATCTGCCTTGTTTTCAAGTCATGAATTTATCTTTATATTCTATACTAGCTTTCTGCCAGCGGCTTCACCCACGTGGTCCTTAGGGAACTGTTTATTTGGATATAGATTCATATCATGACACGGATATAATCACAATAGCATATTGAAAAGTATACAATGGTTACTATGGTAACGTTTTAATTCCCTAAATAAAATTCCAATTCCATTTTGATCGCTTTATTTGCAGTTTTTTTAGTATAAAATATAGCCCATGTTCACAGCATATGACGTAGCTTCCCGTAGGTGACAATCGGTCCAGTAGGGTCGGGCGAACGAATAGGTCGTTGCAAACAAATAAACAATCAAATGTTTATAATATTATAGATTTAAATTCTTGCATGTATTGCAAACCTTTACGGTTTATATGGCAATTTGCACTGTAATGGCATGTAATTTAATGTAAAATACAGTTTTTGTAACGATAACATAATAAAAATCCATTCAAAATTACAATTCTCAAGTGCCCAAGGTGGGATTCGAACCCGTTACATTGTCAATGCAAAATAATTCAAATTTTAATTTTACATTTCGTGAAATTAATATGAGCAGATTTCCTATATTTTCTTTCTCAAAATTACGTCAACATTGTTTCAGGTGCAGTCTCTTCTTCAAAATATGCAGGATAAATTTCAAAGTATGTCAGACCAAATCATCAGCAGAATAGATGAAATGGGTACCAGGGTCGACGAACTGGAAAAAAACATAACTGACCTTATGACTCAGGCTGGAGTGGAAAATGAAAAATAAACTAAATTTCCATTTGTTCTGAGTATGTACGTATCGATCATATTTTTCACCCAAAGATAGTGCCTGTGTCATATTTACAAATTTATATATGATAGTTCATTCACCTTCTACATTTTCAAAAAGTTGTATATAAACCCATTCATGTGCGTGAGTGGTTTATTGATGCAGTTAACGAATCGGTTAATTATAATTAAGTATAATAGAAAATATAAGTAAAAATCCATCAATCTTGTAAACTTGGAACGTTAGTACACTAGATTGGAATGTAAAAAATTTTGGGATCATAGATATTGCTGTTTTAGATCTCTGTGTTTGGATGTATGTAAGAATGATTTCCTGTTTTAGTAACATTATAGATTACACTGATTGTATTGTACCATGGTGTGTCAGAAACTTGTTTGTATTGATTGAAGATAAGGAATTGTCTGTACCAGGCGTAACATGGTACGGTTTACTGATGTAAATAAACATGGCATTCTTTACATGGCAGGTGCGTGCGGCCCTTTACCTTTTGGCCCTTTCCGTTATTGAGAATAATACACTTACATCAAAATTAACCGAACAATTGAATGCTGAAATCATATAACCTATATTTCAACCAAAATTTTTCAAAATTTACTATATTTTCGGTATTTGCAACTATTGATATAAATTGTCGTAGGTTGTAACTTGTTATGAAATATCAAATACGTTACTTGAAGCTGAATGCGCTTCTGATCCTCTTTATGATAATGGCATTTTAATTATTAATTCTGCTAATTTGATAATTGTTAATTCTAACAAACAATTCTGTTAATGTTTCTAATCAATCGCATCTCTAAACTCCTGTAATCCACTAATCTCTAAATACTTGAACTCAATTTTGATTATATATCTGTCACCATTGCTGTGTAAGGAAGACATAGCACTAATAAAATAGTACCAGTGCCGAATTATGTTAATTCTGGGCAATTTTTTTAAAAGACCAGTTTCCCCCCACCCGAAACGGAATAGTCGTCCTTTGCTTTCCGAATAGTACAGCACAATTAATGTGTGACTTGAGTTTAATTTGTCAGTTTATAGTTAAAAATAAGAGTTAGTCAGAAGCGTGGCTGATAATATATTAATATTTTTATAATTTATTGTATTTTTTTTAACATTGACTTGAAAAAATATTTTATTGGCTATGCGCGGGGCCCCAAACGCGAGGCGCCCGTGACATTTGCTACTTTTGCTACGTGGCTAATCCGGCTCTGGATAGTACAATGGTAAAATACATGTAGTTAACTATTAATTATAATAGGGATGAAGATTAATTTTTATTTGTTTGTCCGTCAGGTACATTGTTGAAAAATATTAAACAGGATTTTTTATTTATTGCGTAATCATTAAATTGCGGAGATACATTGAGTTGAAATGTCATGCTTTGGTAGATTTTCTACAAAACTGAGCCCCCACTCCTCAACTTCAATGCCTGTTATCTATTTCTTGTTACATTGAAGTAAATAAAATACGTATCTAATATTTTTCTATTATCTGGCTGACGAAATAAATAGATTTTTTTTACCCAGTCGTCATCTCTATTCGAGCAACCAAAATTGATGACACAGTCATACCTATTAATAAGTTATATATAATGTTTCTATATTTAAGGCAGGTATTATTTTAACTTTAATAAAAGCATTGCAATTATTGAATTTTTAGGGTGAATTTGTATCTTGTGGATGTTTGTTATTAAAATCTTTTTGTTAGTTTCTATTTTGTATTCAATAAGACATTTAATGTAAACCACGAACCTGCTGATCTAAACTTAGGTAATATATAAGTTTACAAAAAATTTACATATAACACAACATTAGATCAATGAGTCAATTTACCACGAAATCTGGAAATAAATATTATTCATTTATCCTGTCTAGCCTGTCCATTTATCCGAATCTAGAAATAAATGGAGAAATATTTATTTCCAGATAAGATTGACCGAGTAGTTACGTTGATATAGCGACAAAAACTTATTTAAAAATAAACATGTTAAGAAGTAAACTCATTCATTTTTCATATTAAAGTAATACCAGAAACTTCAATTCGTGTTAGCAAACCCTATTTCAACATTTTAAAAGGAACAACACCAATCTCACCAATGAACATAAGAAATTAAGTATTTATCCAACACATATTTTAACTGCGAAAGTTTGTGAGGTTACTCTTTCGCGCAAAAACTTTTGAATAGATTTTGATAAAATTTGTGATATGGATAATTCTAAGCCTGAATCAACATAACTATAGGATTATTTTCCCACTAAACGGTTCCTTAGCGATAAACTGTCCACTCAAAAAATTTGTTATATTTACTATAAAATCACATAATTATCTGACTTGTTAATCACATTTCGCACGTAAATCTGTGTACCGATCACTATTAGCAGGGAACAAAGTTCCCATCAAGGTCACAGTTGTTGGGACACTGGTTTACCACCGAGTGGATCGCATCAAATTATAATCAAATTTCTTTAAAACAATCGTGAAGATGACAAGACTAGAGCTCGTGACAAAAATGAGTGTTTTCTAACGGTCGATACTTCAATTATGCGAAAGTACTAAGAGTAGGTACTTATAACCACATCACTAACTCAATATGCATTGACGAGGTGAAGTGCTGCAAATCAGAAAAAAGGACTATTTAAATTTATATATATCTGTTCACCTTTTGTCCATAGAAAACGATTTTGTATGAAGATCCATTCTTATCTATTCAGAATTCCGCGTCTCTTCAGAATTCTCGGTAAACAGTTATAAAATGTTTTTACCATACAAATGGTGTATTTAGATAGGGTTCAGCGCTGTTCCGCTGAGGTGAGCGCTGTTTAGCCGCGTTCAGTGCTGTTCTGCAGCGTTGCGACCTGTATAGTTTCTGAATAATGAATAGCGTAGTTTATTGCTTCTTCTAGCGGAGTGCGCGGTACATGGAGTGCTTTAAATGAAGTAGAGATAAAATGCTAAGTCGCTTTTTCAGAATCTTACAACGCTGTACGCGGCTGAAAGAAGCAGAACTCATTATATTTAGTACCTACTTTCACATACTGAATTATTAACCGTTAGAAAAACTAGCTCTTTTTTGTCATGACTTCTCAATCTATAAATAGGTATGCAATAAAGGAATAAAACAATTAGTCTCTTAAATATTATTTTAATTATCCTTCTAAAAATTCTAGTTATCGAACTTAAAAGTAAAAATATTAACGTGACTCCGTGTCATCAGATGTTTCTTGATCACCAGATTCTTCAGATTCCTATAAAATAAAAATAGCATTTAATAATTGGGGATGGTGTTAACACGGCACAGAAAACAAAGATATTCTGTGTAGGTAATATGCACAATGCACATTACTTATAATGATTAATCAGTTTCGTTCACTGAATAAATGGATTTAATAATTATGATTTGCGATGTTTATATTTGGATCTGAAAAAAAAATCTGTGTATCTTCTGATGATTAATTATAATTTAAGAAATACTCCTGCTAAAACAAAATGACGTGTGTTTAAAACTAACCATCTGTGCAAATTGAAACAAATGTTTTAATTAAGTACTACGATTAAACGAAGGTCTGATATATTATTGACTTGAAACATTTGGATCTGCATTCTTGAAAATTTATGAATTTTAGGAAAATAAGATATTCTTTTTCCAAATACTGCACCAATATCAATGGAACCTTGCTATTATCTGAAGACTTCAAATAATATATTTTGCAACAAAAATATTACGATTTAAACGTATGCCTTATTATATATTACCGTTGCTGTTTCATCTTCTTTCGTCGGTGAATGATTCATCAATGCAGCTAATGAACTAGATCTTCCTAAATTCTTTTCGGGTGATTTAATTCTCCTTGAAGATCTCTGTAATTATTTTAAAAGAACAAATTCGGTGGATAAAACTGATCAACAGTTCAAAAAGTTAATTTAAAAAAGAATTCGACGGGCGCGGTTTATAGGAAAAGTATGTTACCATAGCATCTTCTTCGTCCCTCAATGGAGACGATTGGTTCATGAGGGATGCCAACGATGAAGACCTAGCAGATATACCGGTGCTTATTTGCTTCTCCGGAGAACGAAGTTTTCTTCTAAAATGCTGTGAGATTTGTCGAATAATTACGTTATTCTTGATATAAGTGAATTGAGTAATTATTATTTTTAAATAATATTTACCGAATTATCCTCATATTCTGAAAGACCTGTATTTAGACGCTATTCAAAAAATATTACCGTTAAATATTGATATTATACTAATTAAGGAACTTATTTATTAGAAGGTGCATTATGACGATCATAATCCCCAGGGGAGAAGACTCCAGGGGACAGACGGAAAGTGTGTAGTATACTTATGAGAAAATATATATATGTGGGGTGTTCGATTTATGTCATATCTTAGAATATATAATCATAGATGACTACTAATTATATCTACTGACCTCCAAATCAGCCTTATCGTTAATGTCTTTGACTTGTTGATATGCCACTGTGAGTAGTTCTACAGCTTTTCCGTGGAAAGTCATTTCGATCATGATGAAATCCGAAAGGAGTGACTTCAACTGTTGGAGTTTTCGACGCTCGAAAAATTCTGTTTGTTCGCTAAGGCCTTTGGCTGTGCGCGACATCTCTGCTGATGCTTTCAGCAACTCTGATTCAGCGTAAGTCTAAAAGGTTTTTTATAAAAGTATAATCTCGTGCTAGTTGCAAGTCGAGAGGTCCGATTTTTCGTTTGTCAAACATATTGGGCGCTTTTTATAATTTTTAACAGGGAAGTAAATTTTATGGAAACATGAAAACGCTCGCCATAACGTGGACCTCTTACGACCTTTCCTCTAAAAGCGTCGCTTTTTTTGTAAAATAAATTGTTAGGTAAAAATAAAAAAAGAGTTATTCCCATAAATTAGATATTTAGATATTTTTGTCCTTTCTCTTAGTCGATAACGTAAAGTACAAAATTAAAATGAACATTTACGAAGTTTTTTTTTATTTAAATATTTATAGGTAATTATTAAAATTGATATCTTCATTTTTATTTTTATTTTTTTTAACATGTTCATGTTTATTTTAATAACAAACTATGGGTATAATGACCAAAATAGGTAATCATTCATCAATCTTTGGGAACAGTATCTGTTTATATATCGATCGAACTTTTTTATCTACGTTGTTTAAAAAAAGAGACGTAAATTAATCATTAGTTTTCTCCTGTACATACTTATACAAAAGTGCTTACAACTTGCTGCCTATTGAATGGTTGCCTTTCCCGGGCCTTATCCAGTACTTTTTTCCTTGCTAATTCTTTTTCTCTGACGTTCATAGTATGTTTCAATTCTTCTCGTGCATGTTTACAAATAGTTTCGTATTGGCATAACTCTCCAACCACCTAAGTAAAACACATCAATAATATACAAATATTAATCAATCCGAAATTATATTTAACCCGAACTGCATGTTGTCAGGCGCGGGTGCGCAGGTCCGATATAATGTAAACAAAGTGGATTTACTTACATCATTCTTTAAAAAATTATAGTGAAATCGGCTGTGAAGAATAGACTGAAATTTATCCGCGCGGGTGCGTCGGGCAAAATTTAATGCTGATTTTAGTACATTTAGTTAGCGATTTAAGACTGATCACGTTCAGTGTCAGTTACGTTTATTTCGTTCATTTGCTCGACACGCGAGATGGAAAGATTACCCGAATCCCGCAAATGGTGGTCCCATACTAAATATATGGAATGGATCCGCATGGCGAATTAAATATAATTGCAGCTTTATGTGTTTTAAGAGGAATTTACATGATATAAATATTTGGTAACGTTTTAAAATCAAACCTTTGCTTCAAGACGTTGTACTTCACAATTTCTATATTCTTCAATGGCTGTTAGCGTAATCGACAAGTTATCCAGCCCAGAGCTTAAAGACTTGTTAACGATTTCATTGCTTGAATAGTCTTTTAGAACCTTGCTCAGTTCATCCCCCATGTCACGTAATCTATAAAATAAAAAAAATCGTACATAGATCGCAGAGCCGAGACTCATTGGCGACGAAAACCTAGTGGAATCAAAACTTCACAGGATGGCCAATCGACCAATCGAGCTAATAAATAAAAATCTTACCTTGCAGTTTTTCTGGCGTAGTCGCCGAATGCTACACATAGTTCTCCAAAATTTTTTTCAACATTTGTTATTCTATCTTGAATAAATTTTGCTTGTTGTTCATAGCTCAAAGAATGAGAATTGTCACCCCTAAACATTATTAGTACAGATCAAGGCTTTACAATTTTTTTTATAAAATATCTGGTTTTGCTCGTGCTGTAGACGAATTTATCAGAAGCGTGAAAATTAAACTATGAAATTGTTAAATATTTTTTCCTATTCTTCTTGACAAATATCGTCTGTAATGGTTTTGCACTGCAACATTTATTTAAACCAAAACGCAATACTTTTAAAGATTCTAAGTTTGTTTGTTTGATTGAGTCGTCATGGTTACCCTACTCTATACCAAAGAGAAATTATAGCTTCCCATAGGTATAAACACTTCCTCATAGTTTCTTGATACATTAAACTTCCGTAGTAGAATGACTGGCGCGCCAGTTTTAAGATATCACCATCTCTATTGTCATGAGTTCGAAACTGTACGTTTCTATAATTATTTTCTCAGGTCTGGGTGGTATAACACCTTAGTTGTTTCCTATTTCGTGGTGTATGAACTTAATGTAAGTATTTTTGTTAAAAAAAATAAATGCCCAGTGAGCAGGAACTGATGGGCGCTTATCGTTTAAAAAACTGTAATGTAAACAAAAAAAAAATCAATTCGCCCTAAATTCTCGGGTATTTTCCCCTCACTGCAGCTGATACGTTTCCAAACCATTGACATTCAAAAATTTGGTCACTACTTTTAGCTCTGTTTTAATGGTCTTTGCGCAAGTGAGGCAGGCATACGTTTGGACACTGTTTGTTACCATTTTGATTACCATGATATGATACTTTAGATGTACGCTGAAAAACCGACAATACATGGAAAAAAGTGCACTATGTGTTCAATCATGTGATAATAATAGTATATAATTTTTATTTTTTTGCAATAAAGAATAAATAAGAATATAGTCCTGTTTATACAATCATTAGTGTCAAATTATTTTTTACATGTTCAATAATTTCGTATGGTATGTACACGAAGCAAATGGGTTAAGTACTTTGTATTTCTTTGTGGGTATTAAAATAAAATTGAAATGTAATATAATAATCTATCACTTTAAAAAGAGTGGGTTAGATATGGGTTAGACAACAAATAAAAAGCGACTTATTAATAAGAGCCAAGGCAGTATGGTTAAGATAACCTTTGCCTTACATTTGAAGAAAAAAATATGACAAAGAAATTTCGATGTCATGGTGTTTCTTATCAAATGTTGCCAGATCGGGGGGAATTACTCCAAAGGGTTTAGCCGGATACGTATGACGAGTCGGCCCCCAAATGGGAATCGATATTGAAACTTATGTGTTAATATCGACTTGATGTTCAAACACGATTTATGTACTTTTCGCGACCGACTTCCGCTTTGACCTTGAGATAGAGAGCAAAATATCCGTATGCTTGACTATTACTGAATGTGATATATCTCTGAAGCTAATTAAGATAAAGAAGTGAAACTAACGCGAGGTGTTAGGTTACATTACAGAGTATATCACATATATTTTTTTATAATTTTTAGAATAAAAAATTACATTAAAAAAATAAAAAGTAAAAAAAATCATGTTTTTTTTCTGAGTTCTCTGTGACTTACAATCACGAAATTAATATATGTTATGCTCCTTGGTGTGCTCTATTACCCATAAAAATTGCGTGAAAAAAAAGTTGGTGCAACACAACGAAAAAAAAATATATGTGATTTCTGTCTTATGGTATACCCCTGTATTATAAGGTTTTCACATTACATCATTGTTTTTTTTTCGAAATTTCACATCAGCTTGTTTTAAAACATAAGTAACTAGTCTTAAGAGATGGGATAATAGTTAAAAAAGAAATGAAAAAAAAAACAGCCAGTGTTCAATACTTATTATTATTACTTTTTCGTGTCTATCAAAATACGAGAAACAAAATATTAATCATCGTCACTGTTGTAATTAATTACAATCGGAACACTTTGAGTCGCAAATAACTTAGTTAGGACCTCAGCAGGACGTACGATTTTGGACAAATATCATCCATATGATAGATAATAAATAATAGCTGCTACATGAGAACAGCATCCCACTGTACGTTCGCCATTGGGGCAATCACAGCAATAACGAAGAATACTATTGTAGTCATTACCTTCGGAAATATAGTGAATGTAAATTCGATAGACTTTTCTATTTATATGTCTTGATTTTACTTCTGCTTTGATGATATTAGGTGCTGATTTCACATATTGTACTGAGAGATTATTTTGATCGTCCATTATTTCGGCCAAGTTAAATGCTGCACATTTAGAAGTAGAAGCTTTTTTGTTAATATATGGGATAAGTCGACACTTCTTACAAAAAATATCATTAACTATTACGATTTTATTCAAACAGTCACTAAACACTTTAGCTTCTTCTTCATTCTTTATAATTTTTTAATAACCAGGAATCTTACACAGGTACTTGTTACAATTTTTACACTTTGTCGACATTATTACTTAATAATGATTTGGTTCGATAGTTAATAATTACAAAATACCTATGACAGAATTTGAGTCCCAAACTGCCTTCTTGTGTAATACAAATGACTGCTACTTTAGCTAAACAAACGATGCAGTAAACAGCTCGATAACAAGTTCGAACTTGTTTGTTTATACACTCACACTACAAGGCGCGAATCACATATAATTTTTTTTCGTTGTGTTGCACCAACTTTTTTTTCACGCAATTTTTATGGGTGATAGAGCACACAAAGGAGCATAACATATATTAATTTCGTGATTGTAAGTCACAGAGAACTCAGAAAAAAAAACATGTTTTTTTTTATTTTTATTTTTTTAATGTAATTTTTTATTCTAAAAATTATAAAAAAATATATGTGATATACTCTGTAATGTAACCTAACACCTCGCGTTAGTTTCACTTCTTTATCTTAATTAGCTTCAGAGATATATCACATTCAGTAATAGTCAAGCATACGGATATTTTGCTCTCTATCTCAAGGTCAAAGCGGAAGTCGGTCGCGAAAAGTACATAAATCGTGTTTGAACATCAAGTCGATATTAAAACATAAGTTTCAATATCGATTCCCATTTGGGGGCCGACTCGTCATACGTATCCGGCTAAACCCTTTGTTTTTTTCAAGCTTTAGGGGGAATACAGATAAGAATATATGATGTTCACGCATAGACGTGATGTGTAATATTTTAGTTTCTAAGAGAACGACTCAAGCATAGTGGTTTAATTGATAAAATATGTATCTCCACAAAGAGCTCGGAAGGTCTAACAAATGTTACACTATTCCATGCGTAGAATAACACACAAACTTGACAAACGCTTTGTCTACTCCAAAAGTCACTTTTCTCGGGACGAGAATGAGATATCGTATGGGCGGACCCATTACGATATCTTGCTACAAGTTTGGAGATAAAACTTTCTCGAGTACGTTATGCTACGTGTGCTGAGGTTGTGTTTGAAGATTTACCTAAGATTATACCTGTAACATAATTAACGCACATCCTTAAAGAAGTTTGTTTAAAATTAGACACTGATGTGATTTCAAAAACTTCTAATATAGGTATTTTATTGCTAAATTTAATTAGAATCAAGTAAATTATAGCCACATGCACCCAGTACTCAGTAGATGAAGTGGTGGACAGGGGTGGGAACACTGTTCTCTGAGTATATAAATAAATATTTTTTATAATTGTCAAACTGTCAAAAATTACGAATTTTAAGTTCACAAGTGTAAGCGGACTTATTTTTAATCTCATGAAACTGAGGATCGGCATGATCCGCCATATTAAATGAAAACTAAACTTAAGTCAATGTACATAATAAGACTTTTCAAAACGCACTATATTCTTTGTTGTAATGAAATTAATTATAGGAAAAAACAAAGAAAAATGAGTTTTCTTTTAATGTGAATTTAGTGTCAATGCTCTTAAATCCTATGATGTCCAAATTCATAAACCAAAGAGTAATATAGTACATGAACAAAGAGAAGAATAATAATATACCACACAGTGGCGTGCACACTACACATGCAAATAAGCACTGCGTAACATACCCATAAAACCCAACTAAACCTACATTGTTTAATTTATACATATTCATACATTGATACGAGTATTCACAGATTCATTATCATGATTTGGTTAAATTAGCAAAAGTGCCATCTAAGTTGATAGAACTACTGTAACGAGTGAGCAGCAGAATATATATATAATGACATGATTTATGTAATTTTTAATGTGGTAAGTTTCTATCGCTTGTTGTTCTTGTCATTTTCATTTTATTTCATTTCATATTTTTAACCGACTGCTGTGCTGGCGCCACCGTCATCAATGCGGCCGTAAGCTGCACTTCTTACTATTTATTCGCCATCTAAATACGGCAAGTTGAAACTCATATTGTACACAGAAATAATTTGTATGTGTGTGTAAAATTAATGCATGTGTTATGGTATTGGGAGGCACTACTTATCGCAACCTGCCCCCTAATTGTCTAATTTAAAATCTGTTGCAATCGCTTTCAGTTTGAAAGGTGTTGCACAACCATTGCTTATTTCTGAAGACAGTTGAAAAAAAAGTATTTGTATTATGCAGCAATGGTTGTGTAACACCTTTCAAACTGAAAGCGATTGCAATAGATTTAAAATTAGACAATTAGGGGGCTGGTTAAACTAAGAAGTCATCAAAAGAGTAGCGTTCGCGCAAAAGAGACTACTTAATTTGTCCGATCATTTCAAAAACATTAGTTGCTGAAATCAAATTAGATGTAGCTACGGTACTTTTTTAATTTCTCCATGACAACCATTCCGGTTTTCTTTCATGTATAAAGTAAATTAATTTTCAAAACTCAATAAACAACTCATATTTCTACTTTTTCGTATTTGTATTGATATCTAAGTTTCGAACTTTTTAAATTTCAGTTTTTTAATAGGTACGGAAATGACTATCTTGTGTCCATTCGTTTTCTGCTAAAATTAACTTTTGGTAGGGTAGCCATCTAGTTTTTAGTGCTTTCTTTTTGTCTTAAAATACTTCTTCATTGGCATTACTTTTTACCCTGAACCCGAACAAGTAACAATAATTTGTTTGTACAATTTTTTGTGGGGGAAAGTTCATTGACGTCTGGCAACATTAGTTATCTCATATCAAACAAATGTCATTCTATGGAAATAAATAATGGTAAGTATTGCAAAATATTTAGCAAAATGAATGAAGAAATTGATGAATATGATATTTATCATCAAGACTTTACTACTGTATCGGAATGGGAAGTATTCATAGCGAGGATCGAAGAAATATTAAATGAATGGAGACTTGCAAAAACAAAAATAGTGAGGTATCCAACAGTTTCAAAGAAATGGATAAGTAAATCTGAAGAATTTAGTTTTCAAGGAATAAATTTTAAACTCTCATATCACGCTTTGGAGCCTGTTTCAAATGAAGAGAGTACAGAGGATTCTGATGGAAAAACAATATTCCAAGAGTTGCAGAATGGTATCTGGGATGCCACATCACATTTTATGGACGAGGATGATGGTAGTCCTTTTCCCGTATCGATCTGGTTTGGCTTAAAACGATACTTAATGTTCTGTCCAGAAATTCCACTTGTAGATGGTAGTATTATAAAAGTAGTTATGAGTTCAGTGAATATTGCTTTTGCAAATGTAAACTGCGGTGTTCCTTTTTTCGTTAAGATTAGAGAACATTGGCAACATAATTATCTGGGATTTTATGAAGACAATGAATATAAAACTAGCTTTGACGTTATAAATTTGAAACGAATATCAAATCAATGCTCTCATCTCACTGGTCTTGTAAGTTTATTCAAATCAAAAATATCCTCCCCAGTTGCATTGGATGCTGTGATGGTATCTGCAAAATTTTCTTATGAGTTGAAAGATTCAGAAGCTTTTGCTTGGAGGAAAGTAACACATTCCAATGAATTCTTATCTGTAGATGGTTTTGATGTGAAGAAGTTAATAGAATTGCCTTTCGGTTCTGAAAGAAATCCTGTAGCAAGCATACTTCTCAATGCAATTTGGCCACGGTTTCGGGAGAGTACCATAGTAGATTCTTCAACATTTTCTGACATTGATCCATTGATGGCCCCAGTTTGGAAAGTTACATTAAAATTTAGAGAAAATATAGCATGTCAGTTATCAGAAACTATTAGTAAAGTGATGAATTTGTTAGAAAACACTGCTTTGATTATGGATACTCTTGGTTTGAGCAGAAGTTTGGGAATAGTTAATCCTTTGCATAAAATAACAGAAGCCCCTATAACTATATCTAAATTAGTAAAAGCTGCCATTGGCCAGAGCAGCAACACCTCGGAGTTCAAAGGGCCATTACCTGATGATTTGTTAATGCCTCTTTTGTACTATGTTTTTCCGGATGCTGTTGAAGATGACACATTTAATTATCCTAAACAATTAGAAGTGGAATTTAAGGTATGACATGAATATGATTAATCTTCATCTATTTTTGCATAAAATTGATGTTTTATTATGTTTAAAGTACCATGATGTTATTCTATGAATTCCAGAGTGATACAAATGAAAACAAATTGTGCAATTATGTTAAAACTAGTCCTGAAAGTGGCCTTGTATGGAGGCTATCGGTGACAGCAGCTCGGCTTCACGATGCAGGAGGACTACCTTACTTGGCTCATTTTTGGTATGAGTTTGTACAAGAATTGCAGTATAGGTGGGAACACAAGATACAGGTACCAGGGTAAGTATAAAGAAAAATTTTATCTTTAAATAAAATTAGCACCATTAGCATGAAGAATCATAAGACTTCAAGTTGAATTTATCAGTATTGAGTATAAATATCATATTATTCTTTTGGAAAATCTTGAGTGTTTCCCTTTAGGGGAGGTATATTACAATAAGCTATTATCAATAATTTAACATCTGTGGTGTGGTTTCAAAATATCCTATTAATATTATAAAGGCGAAAGTTTGTAAGTATGGATGTATGGATGTTTGTTACTCTTTCACGAAAAAACTACTGGACGGATTTGGATAAAACTTTACAGCAATATAGGTTATACATCAGAATAACACATAGGGTACTTTTTACTGGGAAAACTTCTCACTCCCACGGGATACCGACTTCCACGCGGACGAAGTCGCGGGCGTCCACTAGTAATTTTATAAATAAAACTGACAAGTTTTCTTACATATTTCTATTACTCTGTTCTATTTATTATTACTTATGAACTAACATTAATTATTTTTATTGAAAATGTGGATACAATTTGAATATTACTCGTACAATATTAAAATTATATTTCCAAATATGTAAATGTCATGTTTTACAAAAAAAACAGTTGCCTTGATATAATCTAAAGAAATATAGCACTATTTTGATTTTACATTATTTACATCTGGCTATAAGTAATTTCTTCTTATTTGCTGCATAAAACAATAATTATCTAATATTTACAGTCTGTAATCTATCTACTACTTACATCCTATATTTTTGGGTGCTTTAATTTTCCACTATTAAAGATTCATTCTATGGATAAAAATATACTGTGACTAGTATAATCATAAGTAATTTTGTTTTTAAAGTTTTTGACAATTATTAATTTTGATACTTTTATGCCTGTCTTTACTAAACTTAGCAAATCTGTCGCCTAAATATTTCGGAATCCTCTAAGGTAAAATGCATTTCACCATTGACTAGGAACCACCTAACGAAATTAAGCAATCTCTAAACTTATAATATTCGTTATGTGGCGCCTTGCACTAGGCGTTTGCGTATATGACATGAAGTTAATGTTAGGCGTTCTCTACTTAAGCTATGCCTTGTTCTCGGTCAGTGAAAATGGGTGTTAGAATTATATATACAAAATTTAAAGTCATTAACATTCTAAGCACATTAATAATAAGATATAGTTGTCAATAAATAAGCACCAATTTTGTCAGTCTTCACTATCTGTATAATAGCAATATTTAGCAGTAACAATTTGCAATATTTCCTTACACAAAAATGGTTATTTGTGGACTAAAATATTATTGTAGTCCAAATTTAATTACGTTCAGGCATTTCTCGGCTGACACGGTGGTAGTGAAGTCTATGTTTGTGAGCTTTATGTGCACACCACGAGGTGCAGACCATCTTGCTCTTCGAGGATGGCGAGAAGCGTCCGTGCGATGTCACTCCCGTCCGCGCCATACTTCTCGCGCGCTATAACGGCACCAGACCGCCCCTTGTCGTAGGGTTTCGTGCCATGTAAATGTCCATATCGTGATCTGTCCAATTGTCTGAGGTATCACAATAACCCAGGCCGAGTGATCCGACGCTGTAACGGCTAGCCGGTCGCGACCGTGAACGAGGTCGCCTTCGGGAACTAGTCGTACCACCAGTAGCGCCGCCTGCTGCGCCACTTAAAGATAAACGTGACGCTCGTTCTGATGCCGCCCCTAAGGATTGACGCGATTGCCGAAGATCTAAAATATGTTAACGATATTAAAACAATGGATCAGAATAAATATACTGATGTTGCTGTTTAATTCGAAACGCGTAATTATAACTAAGCTCGTAAATCTATCTCACTCACCGGTTCTTGATCCTAACAAACTGCTTGGATAGCCGGGGCCTCCATAGCGAGCAGAGTGGGAATAGCTATGTTGTGACTGGCCATCTGCGAGGGAACGCGCTCTACCGGGTCGGCCTGGTAAGGGATCAGGGTGGGTTGGTTCGGTAAAAGTGCGTGCGCGCGGGATCGACCGTGAGCTGTAAGCTGACACTTGATCCCACTCACGCTGTTTTCCAAAAGCGCCGAGAGTCGCTAACGATGACAACGGTCCACTGGGGCTAGGTGTGCCGGTCAGACCACCACAGCAGGCATTTGGTAGTTTCTCAGGAGCTTGTAGGCGGTGAATGGTGCGTGAACGACGACGTGATGCTGCCGCAAAAACTAGCACTGCCACTACAATAGTGCCGCAGATTGCTGCGCTAGCCGCTATCGTAATTTTGTCCATATTAGAAGCTGCGGCTGAAACTGTTCGTACTTCTCGACATTGAGAGTACGGAACTGTTTCTGGACTTACGTGTACCTCCTCCAAGGAGATCACGCAGACCACAATGCATTCCTGTAATGAAAATATTGAAAATAATGTTAAAACGGGTAAATTTAGATTGTGTGTAAAATGTTGTTTTAGTTATACTATATATTTTAGAACAATATCATCCACTATCATAGAATAAAACTACTTTCAAATGATGGATTTTTGAAAAGACGTTTCGGACAATTTACAGAAGTAGTTTTATTTAATGAATAGTGCATGAAAATATAAGAAACAAATGTCTATCATCATGTTATGAATAATGATAATTCAGTTTATCCTAATTATTTACATATAATGATATTGTTGAAAAACAAATAGATAAAATTACCTGTGATGGAACATTTTTTATTTTGAATTCTCTTTCGCTAGCCTCTAGAGGTGGTCCTTGCTTGAAGCTTTTATCTCCGAAAAGTCTATATACGACGCGGAAGCCAAGTATATTAGCGACATCTGAATCCCATTGAATGATGACTGAGTTGTCTTGTCTATATGCATTCTTTACAATAACTTCATTAGAATCATCAATCTTTTGTTTTTGCTGTGGGAAATTCATGACAAGTGGGGGACGTTGGTTAGGTGCATGACGCCAAGTTGGTGCCGCAGGCCTTATGGACGGAATGCGACTGGGGCGTACAGTGGTAGTAGTCGTTAATGGCGAAGTTTTTGATTTTGTATCAGTGTTAGCAAAAGTAGTAGTTGTAGGAGTTGACGGTGTTGTAGTTGAAGTGTTTGGAGTATCTTTGGGAATTACCGTAAAAGAAGTAATTGTAGTAGGACTAGTTTTCTTTTCGTCGCTCTCTTTTTTCACTATTGTCGACTTTTCAGGAATGGCAGTTGTTTCATGTTCACATACTAATTCGTTAGGTTCAAAACTATAAAAACCACGCTCCCTGAATTGAGATGGCGTGCCGCAAAACTGAGGGTTTCTTTCTCGAGAAGTGACCTGTAGTTCTCCATTGCGTATCCATTCAATTATCCAACGTAATCGACAGTCGCAGTTTAAAAATCTTCCACCTAAGCTGAGTCCGCGAAGCGTTTGGTTAAGATGAGCAAACGCTTCTAGTGGTACTGTTGGCAAAGGATTACCATCTAATGCTAAAAGTGTTATTGCAGTATTTTTTGAAAAAGCATCCACAGGTAATTTGTTCAGTAAATTAAAACCTATATCTAAAACTCTCAGATCACTTAGCGTCGCAATGGCCTTTGTTGGAAATTCTGGTAACAAATTATTGAGAAGACTTAACGAACTCAGTGTTGATTTTATACCTTCAAATGCATCTTCTTGTAAATTTACTATTAGGTTCCTTTCTAAATTAAGAGCTGTCAATGAATCTAATCCTTCGAAAGTGTAACTCCCGTCAGGTCCTGGCAATTCTCTTATACTGTTCTGTGATAAATCTAAAAAAGCTAAACTGCGAAGACCTCTTATACAATCAGGAACAGACTTTTGCCGTGTGCCTTTCAGATTCAAATTTTTCAACGAATTTTCTAATCCTGAAAGTGCGTGAGTTGCTAAAGTGATGTTATTATCTGACAGCTTCAAAGTTGTCAATTTGCGTAAATTAATAAATGAATGATTATCGATGTAGGTTAGGTGGTTTTTCGATAAATCAAGTAAAGAAAGGTTTGTTAATATCTTCAGAGACTTCACGGGAATCCCGGGCAATTCATTATCTTGTAAATTCAAATTCTTCAAATAAGGTCCTTGTCCCTTAAACGCGTCGTCTTCGATTTTTTTTATCTTACAACCTGATATTTGCAGATTGTGTATTTTTAAATTCGTAATCATGTCATTTTTGAGAACTGGAATTGTTGAATTATTTATATACAGAAGATCTATGGATGTGCCTCGAGGTGTACTTGTGTTTATTGCTGCTAAAAGAATATTGAAGTCAACCTGAAAAGATTAAAGTAAAATATAAAACAATGTTTTAAGTAACCGAAATTGTAAAAGTTTAAGTTACAGAAGGAAGAGAACTTCACTTCTTTGGTAATTTTAAGTTTACATCAACTTATAATCGATATTACTTTAGACAAGCTATGTCCGTCGATTTTGTAAAAGACCGTGTAAAATAAATCATTCGTCAATTGATAATATTAATTAGAAATAGAAATGTATAGGAAACAAAATAATATGACTGATATAAACCTGGTCACATTGTATTGATAAGTCACGGGCCAGATTGTATGCGCACACGCAAGCCGCTTGTAACGCTGGAGCCCCTTCCCATGGGCACTGACCGTTGACGCTATTTAATAGTATTGACAGTAGCATGGTCATCATCAAAAGCCGCTCGGCTTTTCTACTGATGCAATATCCCTGAAAATAAAGAAATATATACTTTACTGCAATGTTAATTCTTACTAAAATAGTGTGTGTGTGTAAGCGGCGTGTTCGTTGCTAGATCCCGGAGTCATCCCTCCCCACCAAGGGAATTCTTCAGCCGATTATAACAGGAAAGCCAACCACAATTCAAACTGTTCTTTTTAGGTGGTTGGAAGGCGGTTTAGATTTAAGGTGCATTTCCTTTGCGTTATCAAAAAAGGTTAGGTACTATACACCTAACTAGTACTACACTAGCTCGATTAATAATGGTTATTAATAAAAACATATACAGAATACTACTATTCAAAATATTTTGTCCATCAGAAAATAAGTAGCTGTGCGGCTCTAGCAAGTTACTCTATAATTTTATTTCAATGGTACAATCAAGCAACCCATATTATTTTATTTACATTTTTGACGTGCATACGTTTAGTGGGCTTAGACGAAATAAATAGTCTTTGTTACTAATATTATTAAATATTTTCATCAAGATATTTTTCAGTGTAGCACTGTAAACGCAAAATTGAGCAAATATAATAATTAGAAAAAAATTTCATCTTTATCGAAAGTTTTAAATATTTGTTAATAATATTGTTTTCGGCCGTTTGGGTAGATTGCCTGAACATTGATGAAATAAGCTCTGCTCTGTTATTGATAAAATCGTCAGACCTGTTAGGTCCTTAGTAGTTCAGTGGTTAGAGTAATCACCCGGATTGCGAAAGGTCATGGGTTCGAGTCTCACCTCTGAGTGTCACGGATAAAGTGGATTCTTAAGTAAATTTACATCAAGAATATTTTTCAGTATAGCATTGTGAATGCGAAATTGATCAAATCATCACCAGCCCTTTTACGTCCCCAATGCAGGGGCTCAGGCCTTCCTTATGGATGGTTAAGGAGGATGGGCCATGACCCTCCACGCTGGCCCAATGCGGATTGGAGGGTACTGCGGATTGGAGGGTAATTGGAGGCTGTACTAGCTTTCGCCAGCGGCTTCGCCCGCGTGGGCCCTAGGGAAATGTTTAATGGGATAAAAAGTATCCTATTATCTAAGTCAGCTAATACCCAATCCGTATACCAAATTTCATCAAAATCCGTTCAGTAGTTTCGGCGTGATTAACTGACAAACATCGAAACATCCAAATATACAAACATCCAAACAAAAAAACTTTCACATTTATAACATTAATAGGATAATAGGATTAATTTGCAGCTATTAAAAATACCGTTGCCAACTGTCTTATTTCAGAGAGAGACACTAGAAATTTGTTCACTTGACTTGCACTAATGACAAATACAAATGTTTCCCCAGCGCAATCAATGCGTGCAAGAACCGTTGTAGTAGGTGCAGCGTGTCCGCCGTGGGTCGCGGCTTTCCCCGCGCGCTTCTACACAACACACCCACTCCCTCGCGCTCGTAAACTAGGGATTCCAATAGCCCAGTGGCTCTTAAACTTTCAGTTATTACTATTTGACAATCTTGCCATAGATAATCTACTTGGTTTAATATATCGACACTGGAAAGCAAATACTTAGTAACCCGCAAAACCAAAATTGTTCTTTAGATCAGAAATCTTTTATTTTTTTCGATAAATAATTCCTATAAACGTCCATGGTAACAAATAAGGTATTCCTTATTTATACGGAAAGAAGATATTGTTTTTGGAAAAAATATAAAGTTTTTCCACTTTAAATATCCATTTTAGTTTTGCATTTTGGATATGTAAATAAAGTATCATATAAAAATATAAAGTTTTTCCACTTTAAATATCCATTTTAGTTTTGCATTTTGGATATGTAAATAAAGTATCATATATCTGTAAATAAAACCTACGTTACTTAGGATGCTTCCAGGGAACATCTGTGGTCCGCGGATCATTGCACTAGGCTTGCGAACTTCATTTTTCTTCAAAAAGTAACAAAGCTTAGTCGATCTCTTGTTCACGGTATTTCTTTCAAAAAGTTTTAACGTCTCAATAAAGATAGCAAAATAGTAAAACCGGAATTCGTTCTTTTTATCTTCATTATTAATAATTAAATAAAGTATTCGAGCTTTTTTACGTTTTATACCTTCTAAAGTTCAGAAGTACGTATATTTAAACGCTATGTAAATAATTATAAGGTCAATTAAAGAAATACGTTATAGTGAAAATCGCAAGTCATTACTGGTAACTTGATCATTAGTTGTTCGTCTTCACAACTAGCGTAGTTCAAGAATGTAACACTGCCCCCTTAGCATTAGTTAGCAGTCATCCGATTTCGCCGTTAACGGTACTGTATACTAGCTGGACGCATCTGAGCATCTCCGATTCACTTTCCTTTGGCCCCGATAAACGGTCACATTGCGTATCATCTCGAGTTCTATTGGACACTTGCCATAGACAAGATTTTTTAGTTATTAATTTCTCCTTAGTCATTGATTTTTATAGAATTTTATTTAACTGTTTCATCGTCATCGTCTAAAAATTATTTCTCTGCTAGGAACAAAGTTATGCCCTAGAACCACTACGTGCACTAATAAAATCTTTGAAAATTCGTTTAGAACACCGTATTAAGTTTCAATGTAAAGTGGTAGTTATATTATAATTTATGTAATCTTTTGTATATCTTTAATTTAGAGGTCCGTATTGTTTTGAATATACATTACTATAACATTGGCACGATCATAAAATTCATAAAAACATCACGACTATCGGTTGCATGTTTATTATGCAATTGTTCTAGAATTTAAATGTTAACTGGTGTATCTATTTATGTGTAAAATGGCATGTAACATCACATCAGAAAACGGGACGAGGCGAAAGTAGAGTTAGGTATTACCAATTGTCAGATTTCTGCCCCGAATGGGAATAATATCTGTATTTTTTCCCATTGGGTTTTTTTCACCGCCCATCTCTAGTTGGTATTGACATCGCCATACGTTATTTGCTTATCTAACTAATTACCTAGCTAAAATAGTGTAACAAGTTATTCGACAGTTTGAATAATAACGTAAATTTATTTACATTTGATAGAAATTTTAAAAGTGACTTGATAGATTAAACAGAATAAATAAAAAAATCTTTATAGAAAGTTTTAGTAACATTTTTAGTTTTCGTTTGTCTTCTTCTAGCGATAATTCCTTTAACAAGGCTACATCGATCGATACCATTACATGTCTGTAACTATGCTGTCTGGTTTGAATAATATGCGGTGTTTGGGCGTAATACGCACAATTACGTATACTTCCTTCAAAAATTGTGTTAATTGTAACTGCTAAATTATGTAGTTACCTACGAGTTATAAATTGTGGTAATTCAGCAATGATTCTCTACTACTTTTTAGTGAACATTGTCTTAATGGTGTGTTGGAGTCTTGTGTAGGTATGGGATAGTTACATTTTACCTATCGATTCATTAGATCAATTGGTGATTTTAGGCTTCAGGGTATAATGAGCCATTGTAGTAGGCCGCTTTGAGAATCAATGAGTATTATTTAGGCTTATTAAAATGTTTACAACTTTATAATGATCAGTAGGGTAGGTGTAGGTGTTTAAAATTTTGCATAGGGTTCTTTTAAAGACGTAGGTATTAATGCGTCATTTAGGTAAATTCGGCAACTAATGCGATGTTTTGGGGTTGATAGTTTGTATGAAACACCGTTACTACAAGTACTAGGTGTCACAAATTTTGCAGATGCATTTTTTTAGGACGTTGGTATTACTTAAGAAGGCATTTTGCGAAAATCGACCCCTAAGGCATAACTTGATAACCACGCGGATGAAGTCGCGACAACAGCTACTTTAATAATATATGTGTATAATAAATAAACTAAACAGTATTTATAAATGTGAAAAATAACATTGATAAGCAATGTAATAATAAAATATTATTCTTATGGAGAGTGGGCAAATTTTCGCTGTATGTTAGTCGGAACTGCGGTATCCGTTCGCCACCCGGGCGAAGGCGCACTCAGTATCTCGTGTTACGTATTTAGCTTTATCGTTCCACGTTATAATAACAGATGGCGCTGAGTGTCTACTCAATCACGCTATCGTTTTGTTTCTAGTGTTATACTAGTAGTTGTATTAAGTATTTTACAGTCGATCTTTCTAAAGGTTTAACGGGGGATGATGATCCGGATTGGACATGCGGCTGCATGAAGTCCGTCGCCGAATGTTACGCTCTAGACGGGCCAAAAATCCTTCTGACCCCTAATTTTTTGAAAGATCCATTAAAATGAAAAATGGTTTATTTTATGGTCCATTAATAACGATCACGGATTACTACAAAGTTTCATTTTGATTATTTCGTTAATGAGTATGTACTATAAATCACTACACAAGGGAAGTCTAAATAATATAGTATATAAGAAAATATATAATTAATTAAAAAAACACAACCTGTCTAAAACTCTTATATATAAGACTGGCAGTCGATATAATTATTCAGGGAACGTGTCGGATTGTACTAGCGTACGGTATGCCGCGTGATAGCGCATCCAGCGACAGACTTGACGCTGCAGAGTGATCAGAATCCTTAACAACACATCCGTAGATTAATCATATTTCAATGTCCACCACCATAGTATTTATAGATTTCATGAAATAATATGACTTGTAAAGTACTAAATTAATAATAAAATAAAATATAGTTGTCATAATAAAAAATGTGTCAGAAATTCAGATTGTCTTTTTTTGCAAATTTTGCAAAATCATAAGATTAATAAAAAAATATTTGAACTTATGATTTGAACAGAACATGTTAGATATCAATAAATATAGCAGTTTAAATAAATAAACATCGTAATTTTATGTAACCTAGACAGGAGGACTATGACGATAGCTTTTTAAAAAAAATATCCGGTTTTAATGTGCTGAAATAATGACATAATAACGGAAATTCGCTATGTTATATATATTTTTTATGCAGGTTGAATGAAAACAAGTTTTTGTCCATATGTTCTTTAAGGTGGAATGCTTTCTATTCCTATTAAACAAACTCGAGATATTTGAAATGAAAAAGAGACATTACAAAGGG